CGAGATCAACGATGATCTGGAGTTTCGATACGATAATTCTTCTTAGAAACAGACACGTCGAACCAGAATCGAGTCCAGGCTTCTGTTCCATCGAGAAACGAATAACGATGCGATATGGTGCCAGTGTACGAGCAAATTTAGCGTCAGGGTGCTGCTATGGAACACCGACAAGGAGTCAAGCATGATCTCGAGGCTGGATACGATATTCCGCTTGGAGGACAGAGATCACATAAAACGAAGCCTCGTTGGACGTCTAGTCGGTCGGAAGCCTGCTCGTGCCATAGAAAAGCAAATGGCAACACGGTCCGGACCCAAAGACGAGGGATCAAAGATGAGTCTTAGGGTTCTTCTGCAAATGACTGACGCGAAATCAAGAATGATCCCTAGGCTGAATACGATTCCGGATGTTGAAAAGGCAAAACATCAAAGAGAAGGAAGCCTGGCTGAGAGTGGAACCGCAGACTGTCCGTTTCCTCGAAAACATATTTCGCCAAGGGGGAAAATGTGGAAAATCTTAGTGAAATCACTCGACCAGTCGATTCACCGTTTCTTCCAAGCCTCGACGAGCATGCCGCGTTCTCCGTGGCGAGGAGGCCATCAGCAACTAATTTTTCATTCACCGGGAACCATGTCAAGTGAGCAATTAGATCCAAGGGCCTGCTATTCCGGGCAATTCCTCGCAACAAACGCAGAAAACGCCGTACCAAACGGAATTTTTAATACCGCGAATCCCGCCAACCTCACGGATCAGCCTTCGCCGATGCATTCTGGGAACGTAGCCGAGCACACGGGGTTGTTTTAATATTTCAGGGCTCGAAACCGCGCTTAAACCAAAGGAATTGATCGCGTGTAATATGCATTCCAAGGCAAAGGCGGGTATCCGCCATTTCCAGGCTTCGAGGTTGGGAATTAAATTAATGCCGTGAATCGAACGAGAGAGCCGGGCTCTCTTCTTCTCCTCAGGCGCGAAACAGAGGCGAGGAGGCTGGAGGGAAGAGGCGTTCGTTAGCATTAAACGCAACGCGAGGGAGTTTAATTTCCGCGGTTAGCGGGTCTCTGGTTTTTCGGCGGGTGCAAGGGGAAAAAGGGAAGGATCAGTTGGCGGAACGATAGCATTGCAAAAGTTCCACGGCATTTTTTTACGACCCACTTCCGGCTGCACGCGAATTTCGAGGTTGCCGCTATGGCCGCGAGTCGCGTACGCGACTCGACAGAAAAGGAGAATTAATTCCACCCCCTGAGCCACCCTTCCCAACCGCTTTCCAGCCGTTTAATGCGTTTTTTCCACCTTCCATTCCGAACTTTCCCGTGTTAACGGCGCCAGGGGAAAGAAACAGCGATAGATTCGCGACCCAGAAGCAACTAATCTCTGTGAACTCTGCAAAGCGTGATAGCGTGGGATATGTACCGCCATTATCGAGTTTCAAATTATCAGTCGCGAAGAGAGGGTACCGTGAATCATTACGAACAATTCCACGTTGCATACTTTCAATTAAACTTCCGAACATCAATTCTTCTCGTTAGCAGCGACTCCTTTGACTCACGCTTTCCTAGTAAATACATAGAAATAAAATATAGAAATATAGAAATTCTGTAACCCAATCGACGAGATCCCACGAGAATCCAGAATTCAACAAATTTTTGCTTCCTATCGCGTCACTTTCGCATTACCTATTGACAGCATCCAGCTCGTACCCGAGGAACAGCCATCCCGAAATATTTCCTCCGCCCCTGGCCGATTCATCGCAATCCCCGCTAACTGAATCATTACAAATAATTCCACGTCGTATACTTTCGATTAAACTTCTGAACATGAATTATTCCCGTTAGCAGTGACTCCTTTGACCCACGTTTTCCTAGTAAATATATAGAAATAAAATATATAAATATAGAAATTCTGTAACCCAATCGTCGAGGTCCCACTAGAACCCAGAATTCAGAAAATTTTTGCTTCCTATCGCGTTACTTTCGCATTACCTATTGACACCTTATCTATTGACAGCATCCAGCTCGTACCCGAGGAACAGCCATCCCAAAATATTTCCCCTGCCCCTGGTCCATCCGTCGTAATCCCCCGCAAACCGCCTAATCTCATTCACCTGACTCGTCGATGCCGCATTCCCACCAAATCCTCGGCGTTTTGTTCGCCGATGTCCCAAACCTTAATCGCGGCAATCGGTGTTCCGAGGTGTGCCGGAATTACGCAACTTCACGGTCGACCGTTGTTCGCGGAGTATGGAACAATGACGCCAGTGGCGGACGTCGGGACGCGCGTCGTAGCCGCGGAAGAACCGTGCAGCTTGTTCCACTACGACGCCAGACGTTGGATAAAAAGGAATAAACGTGGGCAGATGGCCAGAGAATCCGCCTCTCCCCGAGATTCCTCTGCTCTCGCTGCCGATGACTCATGTGCACCGCCATCGCGGCCAAAAATATGCCTGGTGCCACGCTGACGAACCGTGACGAGGAGATTGACGAACAGCCACGCGTCGAGACGCTCGATCGACCTCGCCGGAAATCGACTCGGCCATCCGACCTCGCAGAAATTGCTCGCGTTGGACGAGTAAGGGGGACCACTGTCGAGAGATTAGAGGATGTACTGTAACGACGACGTTGAAGATTTTTCGCGACGTTCGCGAAAATATGCACGCGTTCCTGGAAGCCATCTACCACGGTTTGATTTCGCGTGATTTACGAGGCGAGCGTGCGTTATACGCCGCTGCCATGACGATAATCAGAGGCAGACTGTAAACATTCCAAAAATAAAGTCTCGGTGAAAGTATATTTTCCCGATCGACGCGATGGAAAGTATACACGGGATAATGCGTACGAAGCGAAGTACGTGCACGCGATTTATAAATTTCCCAGGGTTGCCTGCTGAAATCGAAATTCCCTTTCGGCCTCCGAAACTTATTTATTTTCAAGTCGAATCGCTATGCACAAAAGGCGCCGAGGAAATACGGTTTTCGGTATTAATAGACGGTTCGCTGCGTTTCGTGAAAATAGGACAGAAAATTGAGGACAAATGGAACATTTCTGAAATCCGAATCAGAAATTCATTTCGGTACTAACTGGTCTGCTAAAGAGAACTGTATTTCGGTTTCCTTCGTTCCATTCGTTATCGAAATAAAGAGAAAACTTCGAGTCCCGTTCTCTCGATAATATTACAGTATCAGGGTATAAGATCTCGGACGAATTACAAGGTTCAGTACTTACAAATATCCTTGCAAGACGTAACAGAACTCGGCTAAAATTTATAAACACGCAATGGCAAATCTCGTACATAGAATCAGCAACTTGGCTAATTAATTCCCAAGCAGATTAGATTTTTATGCGAGAAACGTTTCCGTGACTGACAAGGAGCACTTGATAACGCGAAAATACTGATTCCTTTGAAAATTTGCAGTTTTGTTGCAAACTATTCACTTTATCAGCTACCTTGTACGATCTTCGAAATTACAGTGGGATAAAATTATTTCACTGGAATAAAAATAAAAAATTCCTCTTTACTGGCATTAAACGGTTAACCAATTGCGCGTGTTTGCACGTGTTTGTGCAAACTCGTCCCTCCGATCTTACGTGGAATAAATAGCCCTTGACTCGTTAAGGACTAATAATTAGATGGATAAAAACAAGCTTCCATAGTAGAAAAAGAATTTTAGGACCAAGCAACATTCCTGAAATTTTCCCGGAGAAAGTAACAAAATTTCCGTCGTCCATCGATCGCGGAGGAATGTGACGATTCGCGAGTGCCTCGATCTATCATCTTCCTCTGAACACCTCTAAACTCCTGCAACTCGTCTCTCCACGCTCTCTTGCCAGAGAGCTCTCGTCTAAGATCAAAACGAGTATTTTCACTTGGTAATTTGCCCGGTTGTAAAAAACCGCTGCAACCAGCACGGCTGTTCTCTAGCTACGAGCACAACGACGTAGTATTAAACGCCTCGATTAAGGTCCATATAGCTGCGCTCACGTGACTCGCTCGTAATCGAACGAAACCTGACGTCTCCGCAGACGTAACTGCGCTCTCGGTTCATTCGAGGAACTTGGGTGGAAGAAGAGCCTGGAATTTCCCGTTTCGCAGCGGGTTTCACGAAAGTCAGCCGTGTGATCGCAAGGCGACACTTTGGCCACGATATTATATAAATATGCGACGGGCTTCTCGAACGGCTAACATATTGATCCATCCGTCGTCCTCGAAGGCAATGCGTACACGTCTCGTGGAAGGAAACGCAGAAGAATTAGGCGAAGTAAAACTGAAACGAGACTTGTTGCGATGCCAATTGCGAATCGAGTGATCAATGGCGGACTGTCAACGCGAGGGTACTTACGAAGGCTAGGGGTCTACGAGATTGGACAGGTCATCGGGTCGCGACGATCGAACGTGACGGAGAACGATCGTGCATCGAAGGATTTCGAGCGGAAAACACCGAGTGAATCGTTACATCGGTGGCTCCCTCTTCGCTCCGCATTTTTGGCCAATCGATAAACGCGTCTATTACGAACTATCACGAAGGGATGGAAAAAAGAAAGCGGGTGGTCGCGAGTAGATCGATAAGTCTCCAACGAGGATCGTGTGTTTCGATTCCGCGCAAAGGGCGAGTGTCGTGGGATCGACTGGGTGGTTTCGATCGTAGGGGAGACTGGATGGGATGGCAAGGTCGAGGAAAGTCACGGCGAAGAGGAACGGAAGAATCGAGGAGGAATCGGCTACGGGATCGGCGATATCGTGGGATTCTAACCTAATTACTTCGACCTAAATTCCACGCGCGTCATCGGAAACGGGTCACGGAGAGCAGAGCGAAGCGACGAGGACGACGAGGACGACGAGGACGACGAGGACGAAAACTTCACGCACCCTCTGCACAGAACCCCTCGGTACCACTATCCGTCATGGAGACACGGGAGGCAGGGAAAGAAGAAGACGAAAAAATGGAGACACAAAGGTAAGGGGAAAGCGTTGGCGAAAAGCGAGAAAGAAAAATCCGCAGTCGACTGACCTGATTCTCGGAGCTGAGCAGCTTCAGATGTTCGTTGATCATGCTGTACTTGGAACTCTCCTCTTTTCTCAATGCTCTCTCCTTCTTGAGCTCGGGACTCCAGAAGGTCTTGATGCTATGCATCGAGCTGCCGAGCTTTTGGTTCGTCAGCTCGAGCTCCTTCTTGAGGTTCCCGAGCTCTCGTTGGAGATCGTTGTTCTGATGTTGGAGTTCACCGATATAGCCACCGCTGTCGCGCAGCATGTGCGGATTCGGGCTCTGTCTGGCCGATCTCGAACCGTACACCTCATCTTCCAGGTAGACTCCACGGTCGCGGCTACGTTCACGGGGATCGCGTATCGGCACGAACTCGCGATCGTGATCGAGGATACCCGCGGATGCACGATCGAGGCTGGTGTACCTCGCCGACATGCCCGCCGAGCTGGACATGGCGGGTCTCGAGGCGCTTCTGGATCTGTGATGTCCGCCCCCACCGCCCCCGGTTGACATACTCCTGCCCCTCTCCTCGAGCATCACGGGACTGGCGAGGTCCTCGTCGCGGGAGTAGTACGGACTGCCCAGCTGATGGTGATGGTAGCTGCCGTATCCGAGGTGCTCCGGCGAGTTGTTCCCGCTACGAGTGCCTCTCTTCCGACCCAAAGGACTGCCACGACCGCTCGCGTAGCTCCTCGACGGGCTACGGTCGACCGTGGGCAGCTCGCCCACGCGACGACTGCTTCGAGGGGAACGAGTACCGCCTCCTGGCCCGACCACTCCGCTTCCGCTCGAGTACGGATCTCGCGACATTGTTTGCCGATGCTGCTTACGCTACACGCTCTATCAATCGCGGGAGCAAGCGCGCTTCCGCCGGTTTTACCGCTTCGCGCGACCCTCTTCTTCCGCCTTCTTCTCCTCGAGGACTCCGCGAGTTTGCCAGCTACCTGTCACCGCGTTCGCTGCTCCTCGGATAACCGGTGACTCGCGTGGTCTCGCGATACCGATCGGTAGCAGCGCTGTCTCTTCGATCTCTTCCTTTTTCTTCCCTTCCTTTTTCTCCACGCGTCGTTTCCTGTTTCACGTTCGCGAGTCCCGAACGAGAACGATTCCTCTACGATTCCCCTGTCCTACGCGATTCGCGTCGATCTATCGCTGTGCTCCTCGCGGCTCAGCGACGAGCATATCTCTCGCGACAGCACGCCACGCGTTCCGCCTCCTCGCGATCCTCGATCCGTCTCGATCCTTCCGCTATACCACCGCGGTGGTGTCCATTCGATCGAGCGCCGAAATTTCTGACCCAACGTGCTGCCGTATCGGCCTGCCGTCTCTTCTTCTAATCTACGCGGAAATGTTCGTCCACGAACGGCGAGCATCGACGACAACGCCTAACGCGTGGATCGATGAGAGGTCCGGCGATCGATCGGCTTCATCGTTCGGCGGATCCACCTTGGCCAACTCGAATCACCGGCCAGCCGCTTCTCTTTCTCTCTCTCCCTCTGTCTCTTCCTCTTTCTCTCTCCGTTTCTCTCGCTGCTCCTCGTCAAGGATCCACCTTCTCGCTGGAAAGCCGTGCCGCACGCGTGGCTCGTCCCGTGTATGCGTGAGGTCACGACCCTCGTACCGGACGATCGATCTTTGACCTTCTTTCACCGGCAAAGCCCATCGAGTGGAGATGGATAGAGATCGAGGGGGAGAGAGAAAGAGAGGAGGACGATCCCGTTTCCGCGACGAATCCGTCCTCCACCGGCCACCCACCGCACCGATATCCTCCTTTATCTTCCCTCTTCCTCCGTGTCTCTTCCGAGACTCGGTTTCCGCTCTCCACGGTGCTCCGGTGTGTGCCCCGGTGTCCAGTCGCGAGAACCGTGACTCTTCCGCGAACCCTCCGCCACCGACAGACGGCGAGCAGAGTGATCGGGGCGCGTGCGTGCGTATTTTACGCGCGTCTGTTTACCAGCGGTCTGTCTACACGCGCCGCGGCGTTCCCGTTTCGCGAAACCCGCACCACCACGGCTCCCTCCTTATCGATCTCATCCTCGCGTCTCTTCTCTCTGGTCCCGTGTGATCGTCTCGCCTTCTCCTTCACGCGCCTCCTCGGCTCGCCTTTCTCTGTCTTCTTCCTCTCTCGCGCCGTCACGCTCCTTCCCCGCCTATCACCTTCTATCTGTCTTCCTTCTCTCCTCCTCGTCGCCGATCACGACCACGGTGATCGCCACGCCGACGACCACGACGACGACGACGACGACGACGAAGACGAAGACCACGATCGACCGACCGATCCGACCTACCGTCCGAACCGCCACTATCCACCATCCACCACGACTCGACACCGCCACACTTCCGTGCACCACTCTCTCTCTATCCGCTACCGCCACCAACCTCGCCGCTGCCGCCGCCGCTGCCGCCGATGCTGCCGCCGATGCCGCCGCCGCGCACACACCTACGTGCCCTCTCTCTCCCTTTCACCCTCTGCCGAGTCGAAGCCCTCGCTCCAGCCGAACCTCCAGCCGAACCTCCGGCCGAACCTCCGGCCGAACTTCCAACCCTCACCCTCGCCTTCGCCTTCGCCTTTCCCTCCACCACGCACACCTACACACACACACACACTACCGCACGCACACACCCCTCTCGGCGACGAGGGAGCGTGGTCGCGCGCGAGTGCACACGCACGATCAGACCAAGCCTGATGGACGCTTCCGTTTTCACGGACCGGAAGCGTGCCGGGAAATCTCGTTTCGTTCCTGGCCAGCGTACTACCGGCAGAATCCCGAGACCACACGCCGCAACACAACGCACTCACGGGACTAAACTGTAACCGCGACCGAACCACCCTTTCGCTTCACCGTAGCCGGCTGCTCGTTCCTTCCCTCTTGCCGTCTTTCTCTTCCTCTATCCTCTCCTACTTTCTTCTCTCCAATCCTCTCCTCTCTTCTCTTCTCCTCTCCTCTACGCTCCTCTTCTCGCCGCTTCTCTCCTCTCCGTTCCTCACCGCTCCACTCCGCGCCGCTTTCCAGGCAAGCGGCGCACGCTGTCGCGCTCTCCCCTACCCCCGTGTCACACGAGCCCGACGCCTCGTGTACGCACGCCACTACGATTCCCACCACCACCTCCGACTACTACTACTAGCAGCGATTAAGTGGACCGCGTCGGCAGCGCCCTCCGTCGACGTCATCGACGTCGTTACGACGGACTACTACTATCGCGAGCACGAGCATCACGCGTCGCGTCGTTCGCTCGATTCCTCGCGCTCACCCCCACCGTGCACCCCGCCGACACCGCTCCCCTAACGCCATTGCCCCACCACCGCGCCTCGCGTCCCTCCCTGCGGCGCAGTCGGCCAGCGGCGCGTGCGCGCAGATCCATGCCGGGTCGACGTGCAGCGTCGATCGGGATGATTTTTGGACCAGCTCCGAACCATTCGAAGGCTTACGTTTCCTCTTCCTACGGGTTTTGTTTGCCCATCCGCTCTTCTGCCGGATAGACGGGGAGCGGCCTCTAATGGGAAAACTTTGTCCGGAGGAATTTCACGGAGATCCCGTTGTTTTTTCCCTTCCAGCTCGCCACATTTTTCTCCCGCCTCAGCTCGGGGCGAAAGGTCGCCTGCGAAAAGGGTCGACGCGATTTTAAGGTTCGAATCGGAGTAACCTGGCGGGATTCCACGCGAGCTGGTGGTTATTGGCTTCGGCATGGCCGGGAGAATGAAAAATTTCCCAGATAGATTTATCGCTGTGCGAGTAATTGCGCGACGATAAACGGGGACAGTTGCAAGGTTGATCGACGTGTCCTGTATTGTCGACGAAAAACAATGAGAACCGCCATGAATTCGTTTCGTTGCGATTGTCAATGGTTCGTGAATGAAGAGTCAAAGGCTGACAAACGCAGCACCGGAGCGAGAGTGGCGGCGATTTGGCCAGGGTTCCTCTGCTCCGAAACCAATCTCGATATCGACTCGACTCGTTCCATTTTAATTTCTTCTCAACCCCCTTGCGCAATTGCTATCGCAATTTTTCCGTCGAATCGAGAAAACTCTGTAGAAATCACGAGAAATATAAAGGGGAGACGAACAACCTCGCGTGATTTTTAATTTTTCGCGTCGAATTGGCGTTTTCTATCAGTCGGGGCTCGAAGAGGGCTTCTTAAGGAGAAAAATAGAAAGGTCCCTTAAGGGTCGAGGTTCGAAAATTTTCAATGGAATCGCACCGACGTGGCGCTTGGCTTTCGCGACACGTTCCTGGATGCACGTTCCACTTCGCAGCCCCTCGTCTCACCCCTCTGGCGTCCGTCGACCCGGCGTACGACATCGCAATCAATGAAGCTACGATTCACCGAGCAGTGCCGTACCACCCACTGGCCCCTCTGATTCCAGTTTCATGAAACCGGACCTGTCTCCCATTCTTCCTCCTACAACTCTTATGGAAACCTACACAATACGCCAAAAAATCCTCGAATTTATTTCCCCCCCAAAAAAAAAAAAAAAAAAAAAAAAAAAAAAGAAAAAAGAAAATCAACCGCAACTCGTTTCCGACTACGACGAATTCACTCGAGCGTCTTGGAAACGAAGTTAAATAGTTTAAAAGATAACTTTTGGGTACAATTTCGATGCGGAAACATGGCGCTGAACTTTTCAAAGTTCGCGGCTCGTCTTCGCCCCTCCCACCGGGGCATTGTTGCCTGTTTGTATCGACCGACGCGGAATTGGGCAATCGTAACGCTCTCCTGCGAAGAATTTAGAGCAGAAAGACGCGTGTTCGTGGCGGAAAAGTTGGGAATCGTTGTCGTCGCTCGTGCAAGACGAGGGAAATGCGCAAGCCCGTGTTTTACGATCGGCCAGCGGCTTCTTTGACAACACAGACGTCGGGAAAAGCCTTCCCCGTTTTTCATTCCTCCGCGCTTCGCCTTAATCTCCGAGGGTGGACCCGCCACCTTTGCATCCGCGTTTTCCACCGACTAACTCGTGTTTGCTCGATGACTTAAGATCCCGAGTCGCCCGGCGAGTAACAGGGCCCCCTCGGAATATGCAGAACTCGAGGATCTTCAGCTCTGATGAAACATTGTCGCGCGTCTGATGTCGCGGATCATCTCGCTTCTCCTGCGAAATTAGTTTCCTCCACTTTGAATTCGTAGCCTGGCTATTTGAAAATCGTAGATAATAATCGGAGTCGGTAGGATTCCACAACTGTAACGTTCATGGTACAATTACCCCATACAATTACGCGCATTTGCATCAGCTTCAGCAACGTTTCACGCGTATAGCGATAATTGTCCAGTAAAATCGTGAAATTATTACAACGAGATTGTAATAAATTGTTTCGTCGATTTAGAAACAGTATCAGAATTAATCCATCGTTTGTAAATCGGAATCGCTCGCGATCTGTCAATTTTTCTCGAAAACAAAATACTCGTCAAAATTCTTATCGTAATCTTTAATTTGAAGTGTTCAAAGATGTTTTGTTAGGCTTTTTGTCCAAATATTATTCCACCAAGAATCGTGGAGGTCGCGAATTATCCTATCTCGAGCAGTTAGGGGATCTACCGAGGATTTACCGAGCAACGATGATTAATATCGGTGAGAAACGAGGTAAACACGGGACGGTTCTTTCTGCGCGGACAGAGGAGGAAAAGCTGGGAAGAACACGACGTTTCGAGTGAATCGATGAATAATCGAGATGATCTATCGGTAGCCGCTATCGCGAGGGCCGTGCGATCGTCGACCTTTGCACTTCGATGCCTCGCTGCTTCGATATTGGTCGACGATATCGTGAGCGGATCACGCTCGGCTGAACTTCATTCTCCAATTAATTTAGACACGATAGGCGACGTCTCCCATTCAGAGGGACCGTATTCATAATGCCACGCTAATGTTTGCATACTTTGACAGTGCCTCGTTCGCACCGTGGTTCCTTTCCGTCTTAATTCACCCGTGACGAAAAGGTGCAGTCGTTGGAACAGTCTGTTTATCGGTTACATGTTCGATACGAGCGTGTTATCTCGCTGAAATCAGCGACGAATTAATTTTAGCCTCGTTATCGTTCGTCGGGTTACTTTGTTGAGCAATAATTATGCGAGAAATCGTGAACATTATTTTTGGAATCCTTTGGAACCAGGTTGAAGATGTTCGTCCCATCGTTATACACTCGAGTTAACTAGTTGCTTCAATTTGTAGCACCCCTTTAGAAGAGGAATGTGGCAAGTGTGAGGTTTCCTTTCATTTCATTAGCAAGATTATCCATAACCATCTCGGAGAGTAGGCTCTCCGGTCTAGGAACTCTGCTCGGGAGCCCTCTGCAGGCGACAGAATCTCTCCACCGGTCGTGACCAAAAGAATTGACCTCTCATGACCGGCAGGTGCTCCAGAAGCCACGAAATGTCGATCCAACAGGTCTCATTAACCAGGCTTGTCTCCTCTGCGGAAATGACTTATTGACTAGGTTGTCTGATTGGCTGTCGACTTATAGCGAAGGTTTTATCTAAACGTATTCTCTCTATTGATCAGCTTCGATCGACACGAGACAGGTAGAAGTAGGACAATCGATATTTCGAAATATTTAAGAAAACCTATTCTTGCGTTCGGTACAACTCACCGTTCCACTTTAATTATCGTCATATACCTCTAGGTACATAAGACATGTCCATAGTTCCACCGATCCAGGTCAGAAAGAAAGACTTCCTTGGGAATTTTTTACAACCAAACCGTAAGATCTTTCGCAATGAGAATTTCAAGGTCCTATTTATTCGTGTTTAGAGAATACTCGCGGATTTTTTTCAATACGAAACAGCAAAAGTTCCAAGAATTATATAGAACAGAGTCACGACCCCCGAGTGTGATCGTCTAGAGTCTGAAATTGGAGGTTTCCGAGGGAATCAGGCGGAGCATCGCGCAACCGGTCTCGTTCAAGTGCCATTCGGTTCATAGGAGCCTAGCCAAGTCGTCTGACGTAAAAATTTCACCTGGTGTCAACGTTCCGTTAACGCGATGCCAGAGCCAACGTCGCCGTAGTCCGCGACCGCGTTCGCTGGAAGAAGTTCGTTTAAGGACACGGTCGAACCGTGGACTGGTTGTTCCCACTTGACCGTGAGCCCGCCGCGAAGTGATGAAAGTTAAGTGGCGCAGCCTAAGGTCGTTACCACTCTCGTTACCGTACGCGTCGTTCTCTGCGTTCAGTAGACGATGACCACTCGCTGGCGTCGCATCGTTCCTCCCGTCGAACACCTGCTCGCGAACCTACGGACATGAGGACCAGGCTGCCAAGGCTGTTCCTGTTGCTAGGGTCGGTGTCGTGCCTGTTGCTAGGGTTGCTGTCGTGCCTGTTGCTCCTGCCGGTCCAAAGGGTTGACGCGTTGAACTCGGACTCCGGCGCCTGGGTGCAGGCCACGCAGGGCGAAGTTTGGCCCCTGCCAAATTTTCGACGTCTCAGCAAGGCGTACTACCTTCTGCGAGCCTCGACCTTCCAGTTTAACGTGAGTAATCGGCCAGATGATCGCGTGGGAAGACACTTTGTTTCGCGTGTGGGTATAATTGCCTTTTGTTCAAGGGAAGAAGGTCCATTGCTTCCATTCGAAGCTTTCGGGTCTAAAGCCTTTGACTGTTGCTCGTTGGATCGTAGCTTCGGTTTATGTTTCGGTTGTAATTGGATTTGGGTTTACGACCTCTTGTAGGCAGGGTAGTGGGCGAAGTGGCATCGATGTCTCGCAATTGCGATTTCAACCTTCTGTTCGCGTAATTCGCGCAGGCGTCCTCGAATCGTCGAATCTTCAAATTTGTGTAATTAACTCGTACGTAATTAGGCTATTACTTGACAAATATGGTTAGTCGTCGTTATGTGACGATAATAGCAACCTCGTCCCAACGTCCTTTCTTTTATCTGAGACTCTGCGCTTTCCAGTGTATCCGCATTTTCTGTAGATAGTCTCCTCCGTCGTTATCGTAATTATACTACGTTGCCGTTTTATCTGCGTGACGTATAAGAACAGCGGCAACTCAGGGGATTCCTAGCTCGAATTATAACTTCGAATTAACGTCGGATTGATTTTCCTCTTAATCGAGTAGTCCAACTGTCGTGAATCATATCGAGGAAACGAATCGGTTTTACAGGTAATCGGAGAGACTTGCGATATCGTGACAGATGCATTGGAGAGATACAAGGCAATTATCTTAACGGACGCGCGAATAGCCAAGATTTCGACGCAAGGACAGGCCAGATCCTCCGCGAGAAACAATGGCACCGTCAAGGGAACTCTCAGTTCGTTGGACATCCAATTGGCAGAACCTTGCGAGAAGGATGGAAACCACTGGCCTTATTTGCACATGAAGGAATCATGTAAGTTGTCCAGCTACGGTGGAAGACTAATGTCTTATGGAATTAACGTTTGTTGGTCCTGGGCGTCACGACGGGATCGTGACACGTTTGCAAACAGTTGTTCTTTCGCTCGAGCCATTAAGACAGCTGGTAAGCCGATTAGTCTCAATGGATCGCATCGAATGACGTCATCCTTCGTTATTCCGACTCTCTATCTTAATTCACGATTCGTGTAATTCGGCTCGATTCGTTATCCGCGTATCTTTACCTCCGACTCTCTATCTTAATTCACGATTCGTGTAATTCGGCTCGATTCGTTATCCGCGTATCTTTAATTACGTGATCCGCGAGACCAAGACGCTTTCGAGTATTCAGGAATAGCCTGAGCGTCAGAGGCTGAGATTAAAGACACGCGAGTCAGTGGGACGATCGAGACAAGACCGCGTTATGATACTTGATTTTGTCTCATCTTTCCTTATCGAGCTCAGCTTCGAGGTCAAACGGAGTGATTAGTCGTGACAGCAGCAGTGGCAGTACCACCCGAACATTCCATTCTACTCTTATTCCAGCTTTTCTCACGCGTTGCACTTTCAACGAAACCTCTTTGTCGTCGCATCATGATAGAGATCTACGAATGTTATGCCACGGAGCTTCAGGGTTCACCTAGCTGGAAGTTTAAAGAAAATTCATCCACCGCTATAGACCCGGAAGATCAGCTCTTGCAAACATCGCCCGAAAGAGCTATCCTCCTGTTCTCTTCCATTTTCCCTATACCTCTCTCTTTCTGAGCAAATTTAATCTCGACGCAATTAAACTTTTGCAGACAGTCTCAGCATCAATGAGACCTCAACCGCTGCGAACCTGGCGGCTGAGTCTGTATGGGGAGTTCTTCGAGGTCTGGAGACCTTCTCGCAGCTCTTAACCCCAGCCGGTGATGGATCCAACGTAAGCAAGTCAGAAAATAATACATTTCCCATGGAGAAACTGTACGGAAAATATATTTCTTTCGTAGCTAAAAATAAGATGTCAAACCATCGTGGATCGACCCAAGCTGCCTCATCGTGGACTCCTCATGGACACGTCTCGCCATTACTTACCCATCTCTGACATCCTGCTCACTTTGGACGCCATGTCGTACAACAAAATGAACGTCCTCCACTGGCACATCGTCGACGACAACAGCTTCCCGTATCAGAGTTCCAGCTTTCCCGAGCTGTCTGCCAAAGGAGCGTATCACCCGCTGATGGTATACACTCTGAACGACATCCAAAAGATCGTTGACTACGCCAGGCTGAGGGGTATCCGAGTGATGCCGGAATTCGATACTCCTGGCCATACCAGGTCATGGGGTCTGGCTTATCCCGAGCTATTGACCGCTTGCTACGGTAAATACATACCTGTCTCTACCAACGAATACTCGACGAGCCAAGATTACAGACACTTCGCAATTACTTTCTCTGAAAAATGTCACCAGACTTGAAGGGCAAGGCAAACGGCAAACTGGGCCCGATGAACCCCACGAACCCGAAACTTTACGAGTTCCTGCGCCAGTTGTTCGCCGAGATCGTGCAGGTATTCCCGGATCAATACGTGCATCTAGGCGGCGACGAGGTGCCGTTCAATTGTTGGATGAGCAATCCTTCGATCAACGCTTATATGAAAACGCGGAATATCTCGAACTACGCGCAGCTCGAGAACGAGTACATCGGCAAGCTTCTCCAGATCACGGATTCGCTGCAGGCGAGCACCATAGTCTGGCAGGAGGTATACACCCGCTTTCATTGCGTTTCTTCGCGTTATAAAACGGGTCCGGAGACGAGCGGGTAATAAAAGCAGATAATGAACTCGTTAGTCGTCCGCCTTGCGACTGCTTTTTGCACGAGATCGTGAAACGATCGCGTTTTATCACCGTCCAATGTTCCTCGTGAGGAAAACACGTGGAATAAATGGCACAGGCCAGACGATATCGTTTACCGGCAGGATTGCTGGAACGAAAGAATCCCTATTCCACGTGGCATTAAACGCTCGCAAATATTTCATCATGACAAATGTCTGGACGAATATTTATTGGTCGTTCGTTCCACTGTCAATTTCATTCGTCGATTCGTTTAATTGGGACTTGGTGGATGAATTAGAAACTGAATTACGGCCGATTTGCAGGTATTCGAAAATGGCGTGCTGATGCCAAATAGCACGGTGATCGACGTGTGGACCGGTCTCTGGGCGATGAAGCTGAAGGAGGCTACCCAGGCCGGTCATCCGGTTCTGCTGTCAGCCTGTTGGTACTTGGATAACATCGCTGGAGGTGGCGACTGGAAGAAGTTCTACAGATGTGATCCATTATCGTTCGATGGGGCACAGAACGTGACTCATTTGATGCTGGGTGGCGAAGCTTGCATGTGGGGTGAATACGTCGACAGGTAATTTCTCTAACAGCTTCGCTGTTTATTTCTCGGGCACACGGATAATTGGCTACGTTGTACACAGGAACAACGTGCATTCGAGAATATGGCCACGAGCTAGCGCGTCCGCGGAACGTCTGTGGAGTAATTTGAAACAAGACGAGAACAAGGCTTCTCAACGCCTGGAAGAGCACGCTTGTCGCATGAACAGACGTGGAATTCCGGCCCAACCACCGAACGGACCTGGGTTCTGCGTGATGTGACGAAAGGAGGAAATGAAATGAGAATCTTCCCATTTTTCTGCGCTCTGGTTCTTCGATTGTCTCGAATATAGGCCGGATTTTATCAGCTACTTAATGACTATTTACAGGGAAGGAATCGTAATGTAACTAGAAATAAAATGTTTCAGAAAATCCCTCGTTCGACGAAATTGTGTGATTTGGAATGAGGAATGATGATTAATATTAATTCGAAGATTTCTTGACGATACGAGATTCGTCGAATGTTAATTTAACACTAGAACTATCGATCTTTAATGGGGACCTAACCATAACGTGCACAGATTATAGTAATTTCAGCGGTACGATGAATATGAGTGAATATATTGATTACAGTTCTTTCTTAATTTTATTCTTAAAGCAGGTGTATGTGTTGGGTGATTGCAAAAAGGAAAATTCTGGGACCAGTCATTTTCACTGGGTTGGTAGTTCTAGTGTTAAATTCCATATCGACTGTTGATCTTTAGAGGGTTAATAGTCTCGTAACAAAGATAATTTCTAAGTATTTATATTCGATTTTGCGTCGAGTTAATTCGATTAATGGATGTCACCATTGCACGCGAGCAAAGAGCCGAAGTGTTGGTGGAATAAAAATATCGAATCAACCCTGTTTTCCTTCGCGAAAGGAATAAAATGACTGACAGAACAGGGGAGGATCGCGTCGTCTAGGTAACGTTGAGCGAAACAAATAAATCGTCACACGACGATCCACTTCCCATGAATCCATCGGCAAAATTTCAAGTGGACCCGAATAGACTTCGAAGCACACTATAATGCCGTCGTTCTTCGTTAGATCGGGCATGCTTCATCGTCAGGGGAGCTGCGACAACGATAGAGCCCATGGACGTCTTATAGAATCATCGGCTTGACTTCCCATAATCGACTCGGAATACGTTACGGCTAATCAAGTAAAACCATTCGCTATTTCGAAACAGCGATCAATCAATCGTATCGATCGACTCGATGAAAACGTCTCGATTAAAGTAGAATTTATACATAATTCATGAGACAGATACGAGCCAAAGTGAAATACCACGAGAGATCGTATTTGGATCGATCAACTCGATTTTTACTCTAGTTAAACTCGATAATAATTAACGTCTTTTGTCACGTTAATCTAAATTGACGTTAATCTAAATGACGGCTCCTTTTGCCATACCAAGTGTGTTCCAGAAATATTTCCAACTGCTCGTATCGCCCCTGCTGTACTCCTTGCTGCCCTCTTCCATCCTGTCAACCGACCATCATATGTAGACCATCCTGTCCACCTCGTTGCCCCCCTCAGCCGACCAGAACAACGGTGAGTTTCAGCACAGCAAAATGAAGAGATATAAGGGAAAAGTTGTCCGCCCTTCCTCTTCGTCGTTTCTAATTTTATCACGGAAACCTCAAAGAGATAGGCGCGTAACAGGAACGCAAATCTATTAAGCCCTTTACGAGGTTTGTTATCACAGAGCTAACTTAATAACTCACCTCGAAATTAGGTTTACCTACGGCCTTGTTCGCCCTGTCCACCCTGTTGCGCCCTTCCTTGTCCACCAAAGGTTGTCGTTGCGTGCACACCACCACCGCCGCCGTGCCCGCCGCCACCACCCACCGTGGCGTTCGTTTGCACCAAGAAAATGGTCCCCTGTATGCCCTGTCCACCGCCTACTCCGCCTCCTTGCTCCCCTTGTCGAGCGGTTTGCTGTTAGTCCGACATAATTTCGTCCACTTTTCCACGATCCCCGGCGAAACCGGGGTGTAATTAACGTTCGACTGCTGCGCTCTTCTTCCTCCAGTGCCCCATCCCCCCTGCTGACGGCTGGCAGACTGCAGTTCAGGGGTTTCTTCGGATTCGAGGGTTAGGCGCGTGGAATCTAACGAGGACGACGGACCAACACTCGGAGTTGACTCATAAAACCGGAAAAGGTGAATCTTTTAGGCTTTTGTCGAGCCCTATGATCGATTTTTGTGCCAATGGTAATATCAAAATTGGGCATATGGATATTTGTCATATTTAGATTGAGTATTTCATTATCTGCGATATCGTAATCGAGTATTTTGGTATTTGTGATATTTAATTTGAGTATTTCGTTATTTGTGGTACAAAAATGGAATATTTTGGTATTTGTGATATTTAAATGAAGCATTTTTTGTCATTTGCGATATCGACATCGAGAATTTTGTTATTTTTAGGAAAATACCAGATAGGGAAAATAGTCGGCGAGAAGATAATCTGCAGATTAAGAACAAGAGATACACGGAATTGAATCGACATCCTAGAAATCCTGATCAGGACAACGGATTAAGACGTTACTTATTGTCGTCTATTGCCTGGCTTCGAAATCACACCGATCAGCGACGAAGAAATCCCGATTAATTCTGATCTCGGATCGAGCTTTACTCGAACGTGTCCCAAGAAGCTTCTATTTCTCGATTAGAGTACTCGACGACGAATGCGGCCGAATTAGAAATTATTTGACAAACGATAGAGTTACCGATTTAGACGTTAACCTAATCGAGTCTTCCTTTCAAGAATTATCTCCGGAATCGGTTAAAAGGAGAAAATATCTATCCGTCATTGCCAATTTTCAATTTCGAGATCATTTTGGCTCAGCTGCAATTCGTTCCACTCGAATTCCATTTACGATGCACGGGTACCTATTTCACCCCCTAGAAAAGGCGCGTTCGCAAAGAAAAAGGCTTCCAGTGGATCTCGTTGCACGGTTTTTCGATATTTATTAATTTTTTAATTTATTAATTTTTTAATAACGACATTCAGTAGTCGAACGTGAGTACGATGTACTTCAGTATTTGATCACGTTGATCGCAAGAGAAAACAGGTACCATTCATTTTTTACTGTGATTTTTTTTATGAATCAAGTCACGTTGTCAAGGTTTTGGTACGGTTGCGAGAACGGAATGACTGATTTTCTCGTATCACGTTCGAAATGGAAATTTTGAAGTCACCTCAGGGTCCTACTGTTCCTATTGGCAGTGGCGAACGAAACGATGGATAGCTAAGAATTACAAGAACACGTATTAGCGTGTGCTTCTATTTGTAAACGATATTCAATAAAAATAGTAAAAGTGTATTCCAGTCTTGTTCATTTACGCGATTTCGCTATGCATTTCGATGCAATCTTCCGACACATAAATTAACGAAAAGCCATTCGCGTGTCGAATATTTCGGGAATATTTCGGGCAGATGTACATAAATCTAAAATTCAGAACGATCCGCAAACCGTATCCATGGCAACGCAGGCTATCTTCAGGCTTTAATTGAGACCTAGCTGTCAGAGTTTCCCATTTCTCTTGGCGGTGATGCAAAATCCGAGCTAGAAAATTACCCGACCTACCCTAGATAATGTTCCTCTAAACGTTTGCAAAACCCTCGCAAAATTCTAAACGACAATGAACAAAAGGTAGAATCTCGACGATTTTACGACCCATCGTCGTCATCTTTCTCTCACAAATTCAACCCCGGCCTAAACTAAATTAGGGGTTAACGTTCTCTGTCCGTTTTCCTCCGTATCAAAGGGCCCACGTTTCTTGCCGCAGGAAAGCTTCAGTGGAGAGAAACACTAAACAGAAGGCATCGTCCAGACGGCCAAGCAATACCAGCGTGAATACGAGAACGAATGTCGGGCAACAAAAAGTTCGCAAGCCCGAGAAACTGCCTTCTGCGAATAACATCAACGCGCAGGGTGACTCCTCGAAGCCGACGAACAAAGCCGTGGACGTTTGCATGCCAAAGACCAGGTTCAGCTCTCAGGACAGATCCAGAGACTCGAGGTCGTGTTCCTCACCGAGACTCAAGTGTTTCCCCGCGGAGAAAATCAAAAAGTTGGACAGTCCTCCGCCTTTCTCTCCCAAACCCATAGGTGCCTTGATCGCGCAACAGGATCCTCGAGAATCCGGAGTCTTGTACGTGTCCACGCCTCTCGAGCAACGTCGCGACAATGGCCAGGGTGACTCTGCAGCCGTCACGCAGCATTTGCATCAACGTCATCAGCAACAAGTAAAACGTCTCTTCCCCGACCTTCGCTTTCTTTATTTTAGCCACGTCGCTGAGGGTTTGATCGAGTAAAGCGGGATTACCCCGTAGTCGGAGTTTCTTGTTATCCGAATATCCATTCACCAGCACCGCGGGTCCCAATCCAATTTCCGGGTAATCCAACTTGGACGTCGCATTAAAGTACAAATTAATCGTTTCGCAGGGCGTGCACTCTGCGAGCCAGCAACAGGTTGTGCCTCAGCAGGCGATCCATCAGATCGGTCAGATGAACCCGCACTCGAAGAGTCTACTGCCTCAACAGGTCGCGAATGTTCAGTCCCATAGGCCTTTCGTGCCTCACGGCTTGCCAGACTACTCGCAAAATTCTCAGAAGAATCCTCACGCGACATCTTCCAACCCTCCTCGGATCCCGACGAATCCAGGGGTACAACAGGTCGCGAATAATTCTGTAGCGATCGAGGACCACGGGAAGACAAAGAACGAGGATCAAACGAGTGATCTGGATTACGAGAAACAGCCAGTGGGAGGTCGCAATGCAGCTGTTTACATGCGGACGATGGTCAACTCGCATGGACAGACTGCTTCGCAGATTCCGATGGATCCAGCTACGTCGAATGCACCTAATATTAATCTTCAGAACGCTCATAATCGGTATCCCTCCGCCAGTCAGGTTCCATCGCACACGAACCCTCAGAACCCTCAGAATCCTCCGAATCCTCAGCACATCCATCAGCAGCTTCAGCAGAACAGGCTGCAGCAGAGGGCAGTGAACTACCAGATGCAGGTGATGGGTAGTCAGCAACAGCCAGAAGGATCCCAGGGAGCTCCTTACAATTACAATAGTCAACAGGGTGGAATGTATTTCCCTGGTCAAGGAATGACCTCCCCTCAGGACGCAGTGGCGGGTCAGATGAAAAATTCGAGGATGCTTGGATCGATTCAGCAGAACTATCCTGTTCATCAAGATGACTTGGATTACGGGATGAATGCGCAGAATGGTTGGAGCAGGAACAATAAGCAAGCTGAGTATTCTAGCGCTAAAGGTCAGCTGAAAACGTATCACGTTGACGTGGTAAATGGTAACCAGCCACAGTATGCAATTCAGAACCAGCCGCAGCAACAATTTATACCACAGAATCAGCAACAGCAGCAATTTCTGACACAGAATCCTCAACAGCAACAATTTATGCCACAGAACCCTCAACAACAACAATTTATACCACAGACTCAACAAAGGCAGCAATTTGTAGCCCAGAATCAGCAGAGACAGCAATTTGTTCCTCAGAATCAGCAGCAACGGCAATTTGTGCCACAGAATCAGCAGCAATTTGTACCCCAGAGTCAACAAAGACAGCAATTTGTTCCTCAGAATCAACAGCAACAATTTATGCCACATAACCCTCAGCAGCAATTATTTGTGCCACAGAATCAGCAGCAGCAATTTATACCTCAACAAGGAACCGCGATGCCGCAGAGACAGCAAAATTCGATGGCCTATAATCAAGCAGGTCTCAATCAGCAGCCCCCAGACGGCAATTCGCAGCCTCAAATGGGAAGGAAGAAGCCCATGAAGTTCACTGTCGGCATGGTTCGCGACCAGGAGAAACTGTTAGCCACCATGAAGCAGCAAGGAGTGCCGATGGACGTAATGAAGAGGCAATTCGATTTGTTGCTGAACGAGCAACGAAGACATTTGGAATATCTGGAGCTCATACAGCAGCAGAAAGACTCTCAGGAAGAACGGAGGACAGAGGTTACGATACGAAGAAGGAAACAGCAAGATGAGAAGCCTGATTGGATGATTCATTTGACTCCACCTAGATTGTCTTATCTGGAAATTGAGAAATTGCAGGAGCAACAAAGAAAGGAACGCGAAGTTAAGGAATTGGAGGCTATGCAACAGCAACAACAGCAAACACAGCAACAGATGACGACAACGAGAGAGATACCTGGCCATCAGGTTCCTGTACAGGCTACCAACCAGCAGAACTACCAGCTCTGGCAGCAGCAACAGCAGAGAGTTCCACAGCACTACAACAATGCGTATGTTCAACCTCCCGTTGTTTCAGGGCCTGGTGTCAATGGGAGCGAACCAATGAAATCCATGATTCATCATCAAAATGCGACGCAGTATCAATATGCTCATGCACAACCTCATCCAAATTATAATCCCCAGTTACAGTATCAGCAATTCTATCAAACTGCGCCTCAACAAAATCCTCAACAAAATCAACAACAACTTCAATCCGCTAACAACCTTCCAGTCTACGAAGGGAGTAGATCACCTAACGAGCCGTCCAGTTTGCTAAAAATGCGTCGATACAAGAACGAGGTCCGACCGCAGAGACAAAACAACGGACTGCAAGATCCGGAAGTGGCGAAGAAGCACTTGGAGGACTTCAAGGTGTCAACGGACGCGAGAAAAGGCCTGGAATATCTAGCTAACTTAGCCCCGAAGAAACGCATAGTGAGATTGAACGGAATACAGGATCGCAACGAGTTGGAGGCAGAGTTTCAGCAACGTATGATCACGTCTACGTTCCAACCAGCTGCCAAAGTAATGTCCGCGAACGGTCTGGAGAACAACAGGAACCCGGACAACCCGCTGCCGCAGAGGCTATCGAATCTGAAGAAGTCTGAGCAGGAATTCCTGAAGGAATATCCCAGACAGAAGCAGAATAATCCAAGGAACTGCTACAGCGTGCCTGCTGAGAGGGAAAACGGTTCTGTAGCCATGGGACATTCACAGTTACACCCTCAACAGACATCTCTAGGCCAGGTGTCAACTAGTTTGACACCTTACAGCGAGAAGAATCAAATGATTAATCACGGAGGTGCAATGCCGTACAGGTTCGACGGAAGTTTTCCTCAGCACTATCAGCAGATGCACCAGTATTACCAGAACTCGAGGAACTTGGCCAGGAACAACGGCGAAGGGGATGTAGGATCGACGCAGAGAATAGAGCAAAGCAAAAGGAGCTTCGATCACGCTGGCGGAGATGCTAGCGAAAATATGAATCGTGCGATGAATGGGCAAATGGCGGAGGGAAAGATACCGTATCAAGGGGTGTACTACAACCAACCGAGTATCAACGAACCCAGGACCATCGGGGGTGTGAGGTACCTGGCCAGGAAGCAGGATTACTTGCCCAATCAGCAAATCCTGGCGCCGGAAACTCTGATCGCGAACAGACACGTGCAACCCCCGGTGATGTACTGATCAACGTTTTGGACGCTCTTTTATCTTTTGTAGTTTCGTTTTAATCGCCATGTCTTTTGTACACTTTTAAAACCGTTTTGTATCGTGTTCGTAGGAGATATTTTAATTATTTTATAGCGAACCGGATCCTTCGAACGACGATCTTGGTCTTGAAGGATGTGGTTCGGACTTTTGTCATTTTCGAGAATAAAATGTTTTATTACCCTTTCGTGTGAGCGTGTTTCAATTTTCCTAGGAAGAACATAGTTCGGGAAAGTAATAGCCAGTGTTTCATAATAATTGCCGAATCGAACAGTAACGAAGACGTCCAGGAGCATTTCGTCATTCATCCTGGATAGCTGTTCCCTTTCAGCGTCAAGCACATCCTCGCTGCTAGAATTGCTGCTTTTCTTCCGTCCCTTCCATTGTCTGCGCCATTTCTACGGCGTTTTGTCCTCATCAGCAAATTGCTGTCTGCCAATAGAATAGCGTTCACCGACAAAGGGCCTCGTCTCTCTTCCCTAGTAATTTCTAATTGTAAAACCTAACCCTTGAAGCACCATCATTGTCTTATTAATATCGCTGCTGATTTTCCCTGCAGAATCGATACGTTCTCTTCGATCGTGTTTTTACTCTCTCCCATTTGACAACGAAATCCTCCACGCTTAAAATTCCCGTGAAAACTATTCCTCTTCGAATTATTTACCGTATTACGCATACGCAAAATTCAACGGGTAATTAAAAATTCGATCATGAGGGCCTGCACGTATCGCAATTACATGGACGAGATGCTCGGCATAATCGACGAGATAGAGTGTCGGTAAGTCGATAAAATCGAAATTAAAGAGTTGAATTTCTCTGAAAAATAGAGAAAAAGGGGAAATAGAAATAAAAATTCGTGGTGATTTTGCAGAACCCCGGAACCGGAAGTGTGCAACGCGAGGTGTCCACCTCTAGGCTGTCCACGAGGACCTTGTCCAGGGATGTGCTGTTACCAGGGCGTGTGCGATCCCTGTTGCGTGTCGCAAATGCCCTGTTGCCCGCCACCCCCTCAGCCGCCGCGTTGTCGAGCACCACCCTTGTGTTGCCTGAAAGCATACGCCAGGGCAGTCGGCTACCCTCCGCTGTCTCCTCTTTCTCCGCCTAGCGCAAGAATCCGGTCTAATCTCTGCTGCGAAACACTCGCGGAAGTCTGTCGCCCTCCAGTTTGCGCCACTGCACCCTACTGTCCGTCACCCTGCTATGCAGTCGCTCCCTGCACTCCCTTTCCGTGTTATTAACCAAGATTCTCCGGCGCCATTAAGAGCTATTAAAGCCCACCGAGTCAATTCCGACGTCTCGTGAACGCCTGTCCCGCGGGAGAAAAATCGTCTGTGAAAATTTGGTCGAAAATCGAAAGAGTAAACTGTAACATTCGGAGACTGGTTAAATGAATTTTGACATACATACGTTTCGTGGAAGAAAAATTCCGAGAATTCTGATAATTCTGGATGATTATCTAAGACGAAGGTGGTTAGAATTATTGGGTGTTTCGATGCAAATAAATGTGATTGTAAACGTCTGGCCCGATGTTCGTTATTCCGTAAGGGGCGCGTTGAATAAGGGGAAGGATCTTATGTAAACGTTGTTATCCTCTGTTATATTAGGAGCACAAAGTGAATTTCTAATGTGATTAAAAGCGCGGGACGATTAGGTAAAGTAGGCAAAGTTGGAGAACTGCTGTTCCGGGGCAGGCTAAACTTTGACTAATTTTGGATTAACCCCCCGAAGAGCCGCTTGACGTACCAGCCAACGCGATCTATATATCATCCGCGATATTAGGTTGGAGCATCAAGTGGTAGCGTGATTCGCCGCTTCCTAATCGAGTTAGGGCTTAATTAAAAAACTCGTGGAATCTGTCTTTGAAGAGGGTGCGAGATAATCGGAGAAGGAATCGGGCTATCGTTTCAATTTCGATTATCGATATTGGCACGAAGTCGAGAGATTAATTCGTTATCGACACACGCGTGCACGAGAACCCGATGAATTTTGGGATCAATTACCATTTATGTCAGTCTGATTGTTCTTTTTCTGCATCCAGACAAAATGGACGAAGACGTGGAGAGGATAAAAATGAGTGCTCCTCAGGAATTCAACGTAACACGATTCATAACTTGTTTGCTGCGCGATTCCCGGCACGAGAAAGACGAGGACGGAGAAGAGGTTGGTTACTGTCAAAATTTTGACAGCGAAAATTTCGGTCCCTGCGGATAATTATTGCTACTGCTGGTACGTTTAATGGGACATTTGCAGTACGTTGGTCGTCCGTCAGAATACACGAGACAAATGTTGATGACAACGGAGGAGAGGACGCAGTATATCCTGAAATGGAAGCACAGGCTCGATCTACCATTCTGCACCAAATTCGAGGGTGGCAATTTCGAAGTCAGCCCCAGCATCGTCGTATTTCAACAATTCACACCTGGAGCTTCTTTGAGCGTGATAGTGACACTTCGCAACGTGACAGGGGTAATTCCACAAATCTTCGTGACAGAAAACTCGATAGAATTATCATTTAATTACATATTTTCAAATTGGATCGAGTCGAATCTCCTTTCGATTGAAATTAAAATGGCGTGTCAGAATTAATTTCGATATTCGTTGGAAAAGGTGCCGAGGTATTTGAGGAACACTTACGAGCCTGATCCTTTCTTCACCGTCGAGTTTTGTGGCAGCAGTTTCTCGACGATGCTCGCGCCAGGTCTTTCCAATTCTTACAGAGTGAGATTCATGCCCCAAAGAAGGGAGGACTGTCATTACGAGATGAAATTCGCGACTGATGCTGGAGACTTGATCGTACCAGTCATAGGTACAATTTTAGAACCAATGATAGATCAATTTTGAATAAACGAAGAGTGCGATAAAATCGGTATGTCGATGCAGCGATCAATGGGAGAGGGATCTTGGATTTTCCCGATCGAATCGACGTACCTCTGACGGCTGTCAAAATTTCTTCCTCGAAGACGATATTCGTTCGCAACGTGGGGAATGCGCCGGTGGTTTTCACCCTTTACACCGATAAGTGAGTCATTTGCATACGCAAATAATAGCATTGGTCTATGACGTGAAGGGATTATCGTAGAGGGATTAAGCAATCGAAGGCACGGTATCCGATTTTACTAGCGTTAATTTTCGTTCTGGAAAATGCTCCACTCAGTACACTCGTCGCTAATTAACTGCTGCAATTTTTCCGACTTGGCCCAATGCGTCGTGGTTCGCGCGTCCGCGAGTCATGGGGGTGGTTGGGAAGACATATAAACCAGGCCCCCATTGACTCGGAACCCTTGCCGTCGTTGTGCGTGGAAAAAAGGTACGTCCCTACAGACGAAAGAGGGATATTAACACTTAGCCGACCGATCGGGGAGATCTCCCCATTTTAAAGTAAGTCAATGTCCGACCGATCGGGGTGATCTCCCATTTTGACCTTAGCAACGCGTTTCTCGTTTTCTGTTATTACTTACACTACCTCTACTTGGAGTTATTCGCAATTACTGACGAACTGCTTCTATAAAGCACAACGTATAATAAAATTCACAAATTTTTAAGGCTCCTTATTCGGTATATCCGAAAAATGCCCGGTGAACAGCGCAGTTTGGGTTCCCCGAGCGCGGTGGAAACCGTATAGTTTGCTCTGGGGCGTGCGGTCGGCTAATAAGTGTTAACCGTTTGAGACCAAGAGGCTGCTAAAAGAACACGGTCGAAAAACCCCGAACAGTGCGACAGCGTTTGTTTTAATCGAGTGCGAAGAAGCCCAAACGCGATAGCGCTTGTTGGTACTGTGACGTACCTGCATCAGCAAAGTTGAGCGCACCACTTCGACAGTCAGTGATAGCACCGTCAGTTGTCCATAGCGCTCGAAATGTACCTCGATTTTTCGATACAAAATCTGAAAAACGCGATCGCGCTGCTTGGGACACAAACGGTTACAATGCACCACTTGCGCTACCAGTAAACTCACAGACGCGTGTGCCAGAACTGTTTCCGTGACAATTGCCTGACGACGTGTATATCACATCGTTGGAGATTCTGCGAGAAAATCATTACGACGTTCGTGACACGTCTTTCCAGCGCAAGTGATTAAAAATATTCGCGATAAATTGCAGTCCCTGCTTCTGGATCGAGCCATCGAAGGGAAGGGTAGAGGAAGAGGAATCCCTGCAATTTACTGTGTACTTCTCGTCCAAGAAAGCCGGGGATTTCGAAGGCAACCTTTTCCTCGAATACGACACGGGTGATTATCGAGGAGCGAGTCGAGAGAGCAGACAAGCATCGATATTCCATGACTGTTTGCAGGGGAGAAGCTGAGGATAGATCTTCGAAGCTCCGCGGAGAGCTGCCCCGTCCGAATCGACAGAGGCAGCGTGAGGATGGAGGAAACTTTCCTGGGTCTATCGAGGAGCAAGACCCTCACGATCCACAACAGAAGCAATTACATCGTCAAGTATAAGTGGATGCTGCTAGAGAGTGCCGAGGCGGACAACGAACGGAGAGAGCAGTGAGCAAAAAGGATAATTTTCGTCGTAAGAAGACAAAGCAAACGAGAAACAATATTTACCTCGCAGTTACAAGAAGTTGTTCCATCTGGTTTACGAGAGAGAGCTCGTCCGCTGCGTGGATCTCGTTCATTACAACGTGTGCACACCTGACATCCATCAACTGATTTATCAACGCATCTACACGGACGAACTCGAGTCCCTGACGAAGGAAACCTTTCAATACAATAATATGTACTTCATGTTCTCGCCTGAGGTGAGTCACCACTGCAACGTGAGCCACTCATTTGGCAAATCGATGAACTCCACGAGACAAAAGGCAGACACTTATTCTAAGCACACGAATTTAAACATCGGTGGAGTGTCTCTGACACTAGAACTCGAAGAAAAGATTGAAAAAGTGGAGAGTAAATCGCTTTGCCTCGTGGACGATTTACGTTACGTTTACTCGAGAAATCGTCACTGAAAAGATTCTGCTAGGAGGGCGAAATTTGGCCACAGTCTTCGATCGATGTCACAGTGTTCTATCGTGCATTGGAAGTCGGCGAAGTAACCAGTACCGCCTATTTGGAGGTGACTGGTCGCGAAGACAGAATTCCCTTGAGGTGAAAATAGAAAAGAAATAAAATTTTTCCATAAAATAATAAATTTTGTATTATTATTAATGTCAATAAGCGAATAGACTTTCATTGGAATTGTATTCTTACTTTATAGCCTCCACGGAACAGGCAAAGGACCAGTTCTCCAGCTAAACGTCCTCACCATCAATCTGGAGAACATCTACATGTGTTCCGTGCACAATTACGAGGTAAAATCCATCCCGAGTTCGGCGAACCATCAGAATCTTCTAGCCTTTCATCTGACTCGTATTAATTTCACCCCAAAAAGCTCGAATTAATGCAGAAATTGTTGAAGCAAACGGTGCCATTGTTCCAGATAATAGCGGCGAATAAAGGGCATATTTCCGGCACGCTGGTTTACAGGGGAAAACCAAGCGACTTCGGCGGAATGATCGACGTGACACCCCCGAGCATTAAACTACAGCCAGACGAGTATAAATCCTTCAATTTGTCGTTTTCGTCGAATCGTAAGGGCGATTTCGTGGAGAGGGTCGATTTCGTGGTGAAAGAGAGCCTCGAGGTGCTCAGCTTGCATATCAAGTACGTAGCGGGGTCGATGAATAGGTGGAACAGGTCGGAAGACGATGTTCTCTTTGACGATGCGTCGCTTCTTTGTCTTACAGGGGATGCATCATATGCCCGACTTTACACTTTGACAAGGAGAGCCTCGATTTTGGCACCACGGCCCTTGGTACGCCTCGCCAGATGATTTTATTAACTAGAGAAAATAGGGATTTTGGGAACGCGCGAATATCGAACACGGTGTAAAATTATTAACACAAAATGGAAATTATTAGAGTAGAAATTAGAAAATGGAAATTAGCATCGTAGAATATTCCTTCTTCAACAAATTCGATTGAGTGATCAACGAATAGAATTTTTTCGATCATTAAAAAATTATAGAGTATTCCAAATTTGATAAAGAGAAATTTCATTTAGATATACAGCACCTCCCGGAGTTGACAAATAATTCACCTAATTTGGTACAAAAATCTCAAGATAGCCCTATATATCAATTTAACCCTTTGCAATCGAGAGGCGAGGTTCACTCAGCGTTCAATAAAATTTTGAAGATAAATATTAATTAACATATTAAATTTAAGACAACGCAATAGTATGCGTGGTATTGAAATTAAATAATTTCACGTGTTAGTTATTCCACGATGCCTTATTTAACGTTTAAAGGAACATCAGCTTTCTAGCAGGAAATCTTTGAATTCCAATTCTCTTGTAATCAAAAAATCCTCGAGTGTAAAGGGTTAATAAAACACCTGGAATTTTATCAGAACAACAGAGTACTTGCCAATAATTCTACACGGCTGGAAAGAAATTCGACTAAAATTTCAGTGATCAAGAATTAATTTACCTCGGAATATTCCTAGACAGATGTTACACATCTCGAACAACCCGGCGAATAATAAAGGAATAATATAGCTAAGGGTAATTAAACTTCTTGCCAGGATTCAGCACGAGGCAAGACGTACACCTGCATAATCTATCCTTGATACCCGTGGCTTTCACCATAACCGTGTTAAACGATGGGGATCAGGCTGCGCTGCATCACGAAGACTTCGTGAGAGCCCTAACGAAGCCAAGTTTCCCGAGCAACCCTCGAGAGTTCCACGTCGTCCCTGCGGAAGGCGTGGTGGCCGCCCAAGGCTGTCTTAAAATCAAGGTAGACGGTCTTTCACCCTTATCGTTCGCTGTTTGACAGGGATCCAGAGACAGTCCGACGATTCGCAGGTCATTTACACTGCCAATATCGTGCGTGTCGGTCAGACGACGATCGAGGTCGACATGTGGGACTCTGATTCGGACCCTGTCACGCTGCCAGTGGCATTCTGCGGCAGAGTAGCTTCGTTATCGATCACACCACCGGATATCACGGTTCGATTCTGCTTCGTTAACTTCCCCTATTCGCGATCCTTCACTGTGGAGAACCATTCCGACCTGGACGGATTCTTCTACCTGCTGCCACAACCAGTTACGTTAGTCTGATTAGCTTGGAAATTAAGATGCACGTTTCACGTACTTCTCTATCCATCTTTCTATCCAACACAGGTCGCGGATGACACGCCTGTGATTTGCTCACTTTCCAAGCATCAGGGTTATGTCAAGGCTCGTCAGTCGAAGATCATCGAAGCGACTATCATCACTAGGGCTTTAGGTCGTCACAAAATCACCCTGACGTAAGTTATAGATCAAACTAGTCTACTGTTTGAGTCCACTGTCTTAGGAAAGGATCGCGATGACCAAAAGTACTGTAGGATTTTTGGCTAAATTAATCCTGTGCAGACAGAGATCTGCACGTCTAACAAACATTAAGACTCTTTTTGTAACAAAACAGGTTTTATTTAATTAAAATATTACACTAAGTTTCACACACGTCTCAACTCAAATCTGCTTGCTTCTGACTTTTCAATTCTTTTCCATTCTCAACTCAATTCTGATTACCTCGCGCCCTTGCAGCCTTACTTAAAGTCAAATTTATCTCTTTCCACACACGCTTTCCTTCTCAATCATTCGACTTAGTCACAGACATCTCGACAAAGGATTTCGCGCTATCGTTTGTTCTTTCGCGTCAGGCCCGATGCCGCAGTTTGCTATCCTTAGCTTTTCGAGAAGCCTCTCAAACGTTTCCATGTACTCGCTTAGAAGACCGCACACTCATTTGCCTCGCTACTACTCTTAACCCCTTGCACTCAAGAGGTGACTCTCAGTCACCGTTTAATCAGATTCTAAAGATCGATGTTAATTCAGATACCAAATTTAAAATTACCTGACAATGCGTGGAATGTCGAAGAAAAATAATCCTGTGTCCTAATTTGCATATGATTTCTCATTTACCATTTTAAAAATATCGTCGACTCTATGACAGAAAGTCTTCGAATTACTATTTTTCTGTAACGAAAAAGTTGTCGAGTGCAAAGGGTTAATACTTAAGAGTAGTTGATTGTTAGTGTCCTTCGCCACTTGCCATCCTACAGTACCATTACAGTGGACCACTGCGATGTTCACTTGACAATTTTGAGTCCTATTGGAAGGGAGTGACTTGAGCAATGTATGACAGCATCACGTGATAAGTTTCACTACAAATCGAAGTACACGTGATTGGTTTATGTCCGTTTATGTTGGTCTATGTTTTACGTCCAAAAGTGCCATTGCATCGGTTGTAATGTCCGCTTGACGATGCTTTCGGATTATATTGAAGCGAGTCCGTAACTTTAGGGATATTTACGATGCACTGAGCACGATGGCACCATGTACCATCTTTCAGTGCAAATAAGCACGTGCATGATTTAGGTTTTACGTTGGAAAGTGCTATTTCATTGTGCTGTAATGTTCACGATGCTTTCAGCTCCCACCGTAGTGAGTTCTTACTTTTAGCGATACTTAAGATGAGTAATGAGCATTTGCACTACGTGGTATTTTTTAGCTTAACACTAAATCTACCATTACCGATTTCTTTTTCGAAAAAGGGGAAAGAAGAAGAATATTACAGAGAAAAAATTGAATAAGAATAATCTAACACGTTAGAAGAGAAGTTACGCTGCCAAGTGACCAAAACGATAATTCAAATGCGGAATTTTAAATGAAAATTTTAAAAATGGTCATTGGAATTATGATAAATTTAATGTTAAATTCTTTTATGATATTCTCCAATACTTTCTTCGCATTACTATTATAGTATCGCACATTTTCCACCATGTACACGTGGCTTTATGAAGGTTACCGAGAGAACGGAAGCTCAAGTCAGTCGGGAAAACCTTGATGACGAGTTAGGCCCTTAGCATGACCATATTTGGTCAAGTTAGGGGAAACGTGGGAAAACGAGTACATGGGGGGTAAGAAATATAAAGTAAGCCAGGACCAAGTAGACGATAGTTAACATTTTGACTACCATGGTGGTCATATATGACCGACCACGGTTTCTCTTGTGAAGCCACGGTGGTCATTGATGACCGAAGCACATAAACTAGTTGTAAACCTAGAATTGTAAAAATTGAATGAAAATTGAAAGTTAGTTTATCTTAAATAAAACCGCTAATTAGAAAATACTTTGAAATAAAAAGTGCCCCATTGAACCATTAAAAATTTTTATTAGAATATCAATCAAAAAATTATTAGAACAAATCTTGCATCTAGCGGTGCACTCCCATGGCGTCCTCAGCGAAACATGTGATTTCGGCATGGCAGTCAAAGTGTAAATATTGAGTTGAAGTCGAAGACAGTTGTCACTGATTGTGAGTTGAGTTGTAAAGTCAAGAATCAAAGTCGAATCGAGTTTTAACATTGTAATACTACTTTGAGCATTGCAGTAAGCCGAGAAATAGTTTGTAACATTCATTTCATTCCTACATTTTTATATTATCATTACCAATCAACGTTACCTACGTCCAATCTCTATACTATACTATCATACTATAACCTCTGACCAGTATGCTGACTATGGGAGAAGATTCATCGACCTCGTCCAACGTGATCATCACGTGCAATGGTCAGGGTCCTGTGGTCTCCGTGGAGCCAAACTCCCTAGACTTCCACGAGGTGAAAGTCCTCGAGGAGAAGACGATGAACTTTCAGCTGATCAACGACTCGCCTATTCCTACCCAGTTCACTGTCACATTGGTACCATTTTCTTCTACATCCTGTCTACAGAGTTTCGATCCAAGTCGAATTCTTTCCTCCCCCGTTAAAGAGAAACGCACGTTCGCCATGGATACCTATCCCGGAATCTGGCAGCCTAGAACCTCATGGATCGATGACCATCGTCGTCAAACTATCACTCGTGGATGCTGGCAAGTTCAAAGACAAAGTGATAGTGTCTGTGATTAACAGTAGGTCCATTCCCGTGGACGTGAAAGTGTTTGGATATGGATGCTGCGTAATTTTCGAGCCACAGATATTCCCTGTCTACGACTGGGGGCTTCTCTTCAGGTTCTGATAATTAATTAACGTTTTTAAAAATATACCCAAGCTTCTGATTTGAAAGATACGTAATTATACTTGCTCAGTCATCAGCAAATCGATCGGACGATAACCCTGACGAACCGAGGAACTCGAGACTACCAAATGTACTGGGTAACCGATCCTGAAATACGCTTCCGACGAGGCCAGATGGTAATGCCGGAAAAGTAAGCAGAAAATCCTATTTTTCTTGTTATTCTCACGCTGTATAGACTTCTTTAAAACGCAGCACCAAGTTCCAACTGCAACCCATGATCGTGGACATCCCACCAGGGGAAACCAAACACGTCCACTGCAAGCTGTTCTGGAAGGTGTGAGTAGAATCGGATAAAGGATTCACGAAAATTCACGGATGATTGTTTCCTCAGACATTGAAATTAATTTTCATCGCTGTTTAATTAATTGCACCTGCAGAAACGAGTGTCTGGCGGAGAAATGGTACGTCTTCGGTCAGATACAGGGTGTAGGGAAACGAGAGCTGATCGGCACGTCGACTTTCACAGTAGTCCTGATAGAACCGCAGATTCTCTTCAGCAAGAGGAAGCTGACGTTCCGCGTGGACATCTGTCCCGACCAGGACAAATTGCAGCAAACAGGTTCTCGCGGATAAAAATTCCGTGTGCGCGTTGGAATTTTCCAATCATCGTGATTGTTCTTTTATAGACGAGCTACTGGTGACCAATCAGTCGAAGCTTGATCTGAACGTCCAGTTGTCGGTGAAGGAACCGTTTTATCTGATAACTGATAGTAGGGAACACGTGCAAAGCAGGAAGATCGTCCTCATAGATGGAGCCACCACGACGATCGGTGTCCTCTTCTCCTTCGACTATGACACGGAGGAACGTTGCTCCAGGAGCTATTCCGGCGTGCTTCGATTCGAGTACGAGGAACATCCTAATCAGGTGAATTTGCTTTGTCAAGATTCTCTCGGGAATTCGTTCGGTGCCTCGGTGAGGTTCGAGATGGGCGAGATGGATGGGATCTGTTTCAGGATAAAATCTCGTGCAAAGGCTACGTGAACTTCCCGAACCTCGCTATAGAGCCGGAGGATTTCGTAATTAACTGCGAACTGGGCTCCAGCGCCGAGGAAATATTAACGTTAACCAATAACGGACCCGTATCGGTGCTGTATAAATTCCTGTGGCTCGCAGATTCCATCGAGATACAGCGAGATCTGGACACCGATCGCGTGAGTTGCAAAATGGTCTAACCATTCGATTTTTTAATTTCCCGGTGCATGGTTATCCGAATAATTTTACACGAGTACAGCACTCCTTTGCAGGGAAATATATTTAAGGTTATAAATATTTAAGTCAAATTTTCTGTGTCAGAAATATTTTCGATTTATCTACTTTCCTGTGTCAGAAATACTTCAGACTTAGCTACTGTTCCCTGTCAGAAATGCTTCAGACTTATCTACTGTTCCCTGTCAGAAATACCTCAGCCTTATCTACTTTCCTATCTCAAAAATATTTCAGATTTTTCTACTTTCCTGTGTCAGAAATATTTCAGATTTTTCTACTTTCCCGTGTCAGAAATACTTTAGATTTATCTACTGTGTCGTGTAAGAAGTATTCTAGATTTTCAAGAATTTTGCCACGTTACTTCTCCACGTGAAAAATACTCAAGAGTGTTCAGAACTTGTTAGATGTATAATAATAATTTCGCACGCAAGGAGTATTTGGAATATTAATGATTACCGGGTACTCAAAGGAGTGTCCTGGATGTTCACCGCGAGAAGCAAAATTACGGCCGAATACACCAGAAATTCCCGAGGTTTCAGTCGCAACTGTGGCAAACGAAGAACTTCACACAAGTGACAGGCAAGACGGAAGTGGATACGGACCACTGAGCACGATACCGCCACCTGCGAATTGTACCGTTCGTTTCGATCAGTCACTTTCCTGTATTTTCCTACAAAAATCAGCGAACTTTCGTTGCAGCTCCCGCTTCCGAGATACACAAGCCGGAGATCTCGAGTGTAGATGAGAATTCTGAAAGCGACGACTGCCAAATCTCCGGACAGGAGATCAGAGAATTCCTAATGCCGATGGTCGGACCGTACTTCAGAAAAGACGAAGACTTAGTCGTGTTAGAGAGCATGAGCACAGATCCTCCGAAGGATTATTACATCAACGAGGTTAACAGGAATATAATTAACTCCACAATTACCAACCTGTAATTTGCTCTTAAGTATAGCGTGCGTAACACCGATTAACGCGACAGGAAATTATATAAGTACATAAAGGGTGTCTCCAAAATCCTGGTACAATCTCCTAGTAATAATTCTCCTAGTAATAAATGTAATGATTCAAAACACAGAAGAAAGTTGGAAGAAACGATATTCTTTCTCTCCAGCTATTTTGGACGTCCTAGAGCCGTGAAACTTGTCATTTCGATTTACCCGGTAATTCTAGCATAGAGGAGGGAAAAAGAAATACGATAAAGTACAATATAACCGACAATAGAAAGAGAAATGCACGTTCCCTGGTATAAAGCTTCTTCTTGAGATTCAGGGAAGGCTTTCTTTCAAAGCAGCTTAAGCCCGATATTTACTTTTCACGAGGAAATATAACGCTCTGTTTCGTGTCACCGGCCACGTATGAAATATCCTTTCAGGTGCTGGAGATCGTTCCAAACGAGGGAACGGTGCTTCCGTATTCCGTGCAACGAGTGCACGTAGGATTTCACGGTTTCGAGCGGCTTCGGGTAAAAGCCACAGCTGTCTGCGAGATTTTTCGTGGGCCTGCCGAGAGAATTCGTGTGACAGCGCGCGCAGACGCTGTCCGATACGCGATCGACGCGGATGTTATCGATTTCGGTCAACAGGTATTCATATTTCCTCCCTTTTACCCCTTTGACTGCCACGTTGGTCATATATGACCGGCCACGGCTTCTCCTGTGGGGCCACGGTGGCCATTGGTGACCGGAACTCTTGAACTACTTGTAAAACTACAATTGTAAAAATTGAATAAAAATTGACATATGACAATTGAAATTGAAATATGCAGTATAGCGGCTTTGCCCTAAACGCGTCTTCCTCTTCAAGTCTTTTCACAAAGGGCTTTATTTGTGCCTCAATAAGAAATATAGATAGGGGAGCTTGAAAAATTAACGTGCTTTTACTAGATTTCCGACAAAAAATATAAAATTGTTAAAAACTACCGAATGCGTGAGTCGATCACTATGATTTTTGAGCATGTTGTAGAGAACAAGATTCTGAACACCTTTTATCTGAACAATAATTGCTGCTTGGGCTTAATTTCCGAGATATTTGCAAAAATTGTTCACACTACCACATTGACTCCGCCTGTACGTGTGCTGTGGATCGGTTTCAAAGGATCGACCCATGCATTCTGTAGTTTTTAACAACTTTATGTGTTTTGTCAAAAAATTAGTAAAAGCACATTAGTTTTTCAAGCGCCCCAAAGTTTATACTCTGAAATAAAAAGTGCCTTATCGAACAATTAAAAATTTTTATTAGAACGTCGATCGAAAAAATATTAAAATAAATCTTGCATCTATGGAGTATCTAGGGGTAGACCCCCGTGGCGACCTGAGCGAAACACGTGATTTCGGCACGGCAACCAAAGGGTTAATAGGAGTATCTCATCAGAGCAATGAATTGTGAGTGATTTCGTCAGAGACTAAAATACATTGCAGCTGTTCCTCAAGTACAATCGCAAGAGCTTGGTCCTGAGGAATCTCTGCGCGATAGCGTTCGAGTACGAGATAAAGGAGGTGGCTTCCGTGGACGCGATAGATCGATTCGATATACATCCGTTGAAAGTCGAACCCAATACCGGCTTTGTGGACCCCGAATCGTCCGTGGAATTTCACGTGGACCATCTGCCCACGAAGCTTGGCCCTATCGATCATCGATTTCAGCTGGAGGTACGGCCTTTAAATCTCTGACACGTTCGACTCCGTTCAATCGTGTTAACAATTGTCACTCCTACGCCGATATACATTTGTACGTCCATTTAACACTGTATCGACTGGACGGTTTTGTTACGTGGCACAGTGTTTGGCCAACGAGAGGCTGTGTTAACGCTGCAGCCATCGACCTGCAAGTCTAAATTATCGAACTGGAACGATGCAGATGGATAGATGGCAGTAATCATGCAATTTTCTATTTAATTAATTAACGTTGCGTCACGAACACTGCAATTCCTGTCGAAGTTATGTGAGGTGATAACGTTGTTTTGATGCTGTCTGCTCTAAATTAACCCTTTGAACTCGGCGAATTTTTCGTTACAGGAAAACAGTAATTCGAAGATTTCCTGCCTTAAGATCGGCGATATTTCTAAAACGGTAAATAGTAGATCATATGCAAATTAAGACATAGAATTATTTTGCTTCGATGTTCCACGCATCGTTGACTAATTGTAAATGTGATATATTAATTAACATCCATCTTTAGAATCTGATTAAATGGTGACTGAGAGTCGCCTCTCGAGTGCAAAGGGTTGATAGAGCTTAGGGTTTGTTATGGTAAAATTCAATAGTGAGGCAAACTCTACATTTCAGCGGTGTGGGGGCGATCCCTTTCCCCAATGTTCTGTCTTTTGTCACACAGTCTTCTGTCACTAGTCTTCTGAAGACGACTTTTGACCTGCGAGGCTCTGAACAGGTCAGTTCTAACCATTCGCCCGTTAAATAAAGATCTACACAGTTTTTCCACAGTTTTTCACTGACTACTATTCCTTGCGTAATAACCCCTTTAACAGGGTTGAACTAAAGAGTTCTGATTTGCGATTGTTTTTAGCGTTGAGTTGATCGTCGTGGGTCTGTCTCGACTGCTTTAGACTTGAGGTAGAATTCCTTGGTCGTGATGCCTGCTTGTCTTTTTGAGATTTTGTGGAGAACTCTAGTATGACTTTTATCTCGGTGATTTTATAAGTTAGTATGTCTACTGATTGGTTGGGGTGAAATGTAAGTGGCAGTTGTGTGTCTTCCTATTGATTGTGAATGATATTCGGGGTGTGTGTTAGCTTTGACGTCGTTCAGTGTTGGTGGATGTTTAAACAAATTGAGTCTTTACGCACATCGTCTTAAGGGTGATTTATTGACCCTGGGTAAGGTTCCAGGGTGCCAAGTAGTGGCCAGGTGACAACAAGTGACGTTGACGATAAGGATATAAAACAGTCCCCCACTTTTCTTGGGTCGTGTTCTAGGGTCGCAACAATTAACTAAGAAATTCTTCCTATCACGCAAGTCTAATTTCCTAAGAAATCGGCAAAATATCAGGAATATCCTTATATATATATAATCGCATTTTTATAAGGATAATATCAACCTTTTCAGAAATAATTGCAACAGAATATCTTCAGTACCACTTTAATTTCCCTATAAACCCTAATTGCATCAACCAGGGTTATTCGCGTCCACAAATTTTTCACCGAATACTACAAGAAAATAAATCTGAAAAATGATTACAGCATCTCGAAACCTACTAAATCAAAATTACCATCGGAATCTTGACGAATCTCTCGTTTAAGTACCATATATATAAACCTCCTCTGTTTCTTTACGAGAAAGCAAGTAACTGGAAACTGAGAGTACACGAACGACTCTGGTTCGCACGTAACGACGTCGATGCACGTTTCCGTTAAGTAACGTTAGTTTTAGTCACGACACCGACCGACATATCCGGTCGTTAAAGCCTCGATAACATTCAGATCGGTCACTTGATGCCAGTCACCATCGAGGTGATCGCCTACGGTGCCTTTCCTCAAGTTTATCCCTGCCTCCCTCGGGGAAGATTACACCAGTACCACTCGGTGGAGCTGGAATATCAAGCCATCCAGTCGCTCACGGAGGATTTCATACGAAACGTAAGACAACTCGACGATCTATCGAACGTTGCCAGAAACATTCATGAATCGCGTGTGACAGAGGGCCGAGGACGTGGACGCCGAGAGGGGGACCGATTCGCTGGAAGCAGACGTCGAGACACTAACTGGTAAGATTAAATATCGCGTTGATATTTCAGCAGGGATGAATTTGTCATAGGCCCGAGTAGGTCGAAGGGTTGGCTCGTATCAGACGCGAATTAATATTTCACCGCGAAGGATATCATGATCGGTGAATGTCGAGCATTCGAAATGGTTCGTTTCGCATTTACACACTGTGCTTCTTCCTTCGAGCCGAGGGTTGGTGTATTATTCCGTACGACGAGACGCTTCCACGAACGATGGACATCGACATGGCGATGGAAAGGCACTTGGCAAGGAAGTTCGTCGATGTAAATTCATACATTTTAATGCAGCACGCTACGACCAGCAAGCTCGAGCCAATTCCTCAACTTTTTTCATCCGAATACGTTATCGGTACGTCTTGCGACTACTTCTTATTGCTTCCAGGGTAATTGTGCGTTTGCATTATCCGCTCTGCATTATGCAGACTGCGAACCATTGCAAATATTTCGCGACGTATCCCTCGCTCGAAAGTTAGCTCGAGCAATTATCCTGCGCGGTCGTCCTTTATGGTTCAGCCATGTAAATTGCTCACGTTTGATCCCGCCAAGACATGAAGTACGTGATCGTCGAATCCACCGCCCATTACACTGCCAAAGTAATTAATTACGGGCCGTGGAACGCGCAGATGAGAGTGAGAATGGCGGACAGGAAAGACTCTCTGGGCAGATCCGGCATCACGGTGCAATTCAAGAAACGCTCGAAGCTGCAGGTCGGCGATTCTGCCATTCTTCAAGTCGCTTGGCATCCTACTCGCGAGAGATTCACGGAGAAGAGCACCTCGGTGAAACACTCGGTTCACATACAGGTAAACTCCTGCGTGGATTGGAGCAGTCGATTGCACGGTCTGCCTCGAAATTGAAATTAAATTCGAAACTTTCTGAAAGCTAAATTCCAGCTAAATTCTAGGGCTACATTCGAGGTAAATGCGAATTAACCCCTTGCTCTGCGAGCTAAGTTTCGATGGCACGTGCCATAATCGACAATAGAGCGGTCACACGTCGAGCCATTTCGTCCGAATGTGGCGGCAAATAACATAAGTAACCGAGGTGGAAGGACATTGGCGAAAATTAATTACGAGTTTAAATTCCTATGTTCCTAGCTATGTAAATTACTAATTTCCTTGATAAGCTAAATTCGCAGGGATCTTATACTGTACTATTTTCCACGGGCCACGTTATCATCCATTCCAAATTTTTCTAAGAACAGTGAGGAAATTGTAAAGGTGTAAAATAAATATTACTAGCCTAACTCCCGTTCATTTTTCTAGCTATGTACATTACCTGTCTCATTGACAAAATAAATGCACATTATCTTCTCTGTATCTAAAGAAAAACTTCAAACCAATTCCTCTACTGTGGGTCACCACTCTAACACCCATCCTCAATTGTTCTTAGAACAGTGAAGAAATTGTATAGATGTAAAATAAATATTACTAGCCTAACTCCCGTTCATTTTTCTAGCTATGTACATTACCTGTCTCATTGACAAAATAAATGCACATTATCTTCTCTGTATCTAAAGAAAAACTTCAAACCAATTCCTCTACTGTGGGTCACCACTCTAACACCCATCCTCAATTGTTCTTAGAACAGTGAAGAAATTGTAAAGATGTAAAATAAATATTACTCATCAAATTGTTGAAATTCCTATAGCACGTGAAATTCCTATTACATTATATTAAATTAAACCAGGACCCTCGCTGTCATTTTTGGCCCAATTTCCTTACCACGAGTTTCACAGGATATTGCAGATCAAGGGGTTAAATTCGCCGGTGAAAATGGAGACGATTGGCAAGGAATTTTGAAACGAAATTAAAATTCTCCTTCATACATCGAGATAGTCGATCGTATTGCTTGAAAATTCGAATAACATTCTTTTCAGGTAATCCACGGATGCACGATTCCCGTGACCATAAAGGGAATAGTAACCTACCCATACGTCACTGTGAATACGAAATTTTTGGACTTCCAAGACGTCATCGTCGGCGAGTGTCTTGTTCTCCGTATACTGGTCAAAAACGAGTAATTATAAAATCCACTACCAGAAATCGATTAACGATAACGATCCAACGATCGAATAAAATTGCTATAAAGTTTTCAAGAGTATAATAGATATCCAGGAATTTAATTCGATCTTTGTCCGACCCAGATCGGATCGCTCTGCTCTGATCTATGGCCTTTCATAGATCGGCGCGCGAAAATATCGAAAAATAAACCGATTGATAACGATCTAACGATCGAATAAAATTGCTATAAAATTTTCAACCGTATAGTAGATATTCGGGAATTTAATTCGGTCTTTGTCTGACCCAAATTGGATCGTTCTATACTGATCTATGGGTTTCTGTAGATCGGTGCGCGAAAGTATCGAAAAATGAACCGATTGATAATGATCTAACGATCGAATAAAACTGCTATAAAATTTCCAAGAGTATAGTAGATATTCGGGAATTTAATTCGGTCTTTGTCTGCCCCAAATTGGATCATTCTATACTGATCTATGGGTTTCTGTAGATCGACGCGCGAAAATATCGCAAAATGAACCGATTGATAACGATCTAACGATCGAATAAAATTGCTATAAAATTTTCAAGAGTATAGTAGATATCCAGGAATTTAATTCGATCTTTGTCCGACCCAGATCGGATCGCTCTGCTCTGATCTATGGCCTTTCATAGATCGGCGCGCGAAAATATCGAAAAATAAACCGATTGATAACGATCTAACGATCGAATAAAATTGCTATAAAATTTTCAACCGTATAGTAGATATTCGGGAATTTAATTCGGTCTTTGTCTGGCCCAAATTGGATCATTCTATACTGATCTATGGGTTTCTGTAGATCGGTGCGCGAAAATATCGAAAAATGATCCGATTGATAATGATCTAACGATCGAATAAAATTGCTATAAAATTTTCAAGAGTATAGTAGATATCCAGGAATTTAATTCGATCTTTGTCCGACCCAGATCGGATCGCTCTGCCCTGATCTATGGCCTTCCGTAGATCGGCGCGCGAAAATATCGAAAAATGAATGAAGTTTGGCCGAGTGACCCATATAAATTCCTGGAAATGCGTGCACGAGTACTAGAAGCGACAAAAAGCTGCCGACTCAGCGGTGTGTAGCTGACGAGAGCGTGGGCAGCTTTTTCTCCGTCGGCAAAAAGCCCTGTTTCTCCGTGCTTGCGAGAACCATTGGCGTAATTCCCCCTTTCCTTCCATTTCTCATTGGCGTAACCCTCTCTTCTCCTACCCAGCATCCACACCTTTCTCCTACTTTTCTCCTCCATTTCGCCATTATTCCATGCCCGAATCATCGCGAGAACTTCGCTCGTTTGTTCCCCGATAAACGGCAGAAAATTACTCGACGAGACCCTCTGGCAACGCACGAATTATTCCACAGCATCTCGACCGTGGGTAATACTTTATGAATTTCATTTCACCGGAACGCCCTCCACCCGAGAGCCTTCCACCGTGTGTTCCACCGGAAACGATCGCGCAGCTTTTCAAATCGTGCCCGTTGCTTTCCGCTTTCAACCGCGGAGACTTTCGATCCTCCCGAACGAGTACCAGGCCACGAAGAAGGATCCTTCGACGCGTGACTGCTCGAGCGTTCGCGGTTTCTCTCAGGATCGTGATCCAGGCCACCGTTGCAGCCCTATTCTTCCGAGAATTTTCGACCAAAACGTTGATTAAAGTCGACCTATATATGCGAGCTTCGTGATATTTGTCCCGGATAGAACAAAGCTGCGCGAAACGTTCGGAAGAAAATGCAAATATGCTCACTCGAGGGGCCAACGTGCCGCTCGAGGATTTTTCACCTGGCTCAATCTTTCCGTCGCCGATTTAATTTACCAGATTACCATTTACCGCGATATACCTCGTGCACTCTGTTCCCGTTGGATATTTAATGCAATTACCAAACGGGTCAAGAAGATCCGTTTTATATATTTTATGCCTCGAGCTGCCGCAAATAGCTGCTTTCGACAAAAATTTAACCAAAATTAATGCCAACTTACGTAATTGCACGAGTCATTCACGGGTCAAAGGGATTAACTCCGTACCCCGAATTTTTAAAAATTTTAGCGCCGAGGTATGTACGTAATTTATGCTGAACTCTGAATATACATTTGAAACAAATTTTTACTCTCGGTTTTCTGCAGCTAATCGATTTATACAGCAATTATGGTCTGCGTGTAATTCGTTATAAGTGGATAGATAGTTGAATCATTTTTCAGAGGACTAGTCGACTGCGAATGGGAGGCGAAGTTATCGAACGTTCCCCGCAGGAGGCTACAAGAGGATTATCCGTTCTACGTGGAGTATGACGAAAATTATTGCCCTCCTGGCCACTTGCAAGTCGTCCGAGTGTCCTTCAAGCCGCGAAGAATGGTAAGAACAGCGATACCATGGAAATCTGCCTTCTCCTTTCACAAACTGTCACAAAGGATCTTCCTCTTCAGTGCTACGTAGAAACCAAGCTGAAGATAATCGTGAAGATGAGCCTGGAAACGCAGGTGATCGCGCTGACAGGTCGAGGGATCGAGAAGAACCTAAACGTGATAGAACCGAGCATCGAGTTCCTGCCTGTTGTGCCATTTGCGGGTGTCCAGGAAGCATTGTTCACGGTGGAGAACGCGTGCAATTATCCCGTAGAATTTTTCTGGCACCACTTGGACGAGTAAGAAAACACCTGCGCGTACCTGCGTCGCTTTTCTAATTAGCGACGTCATCCAGAGCTTTCCAGATGGAGGACCGTATAGCGAAAGCCCTGTTGCATTACTACAAAGCGAGAGAGATCCTGCTGCCACCTAGGGAGCCGGGCGAGCCGATACCCTGGCAATTAGTGAAATTTTACAGGGACACAGTGAACGAAATGGCCGAGGCGTTAATTACGGAGAAATTAGAGGAAGAAGAGCAATTAGGGGAAGAAGCAGTATCCGGGAGCTACGAGAGAGACGCTGCGAAGAAGAGTGGCAAGGCCAGGACGTTCGCGTCAAAGAGGAAAGCAAGGAGAGCAGGAAGATCCGTTCAGCGATCCTCTGCCAGAAAGGACAGCGTCCGTGGGTCCAGTCACCGTGGAAAAAGGAGCGAAATCGTCAGCGACGTGTCTAGCATGGATTCCGAGGGCAAGGATTGCGCTGACTTTTTAATCTTGGACGAGACCCTGCTGGATTCTGTCAACCTGCCAACGAACGATCCCGAGGAAATTCAGCGACTGCTCTTCTGTAAGTTCTTCCTTGTTATTACCAGATCTAGGGACTTTGCTATTATTTCCCGTTTTGGTTGGATTTAGAAATATTTAGGATCGTATTGAGACGGATTGACTAGAATAATATTTTGGCACTTAATAGAACAAAAATAAACTTCGTTAATTAAATAACGGATTAACGTAATGCAATAGTAATTAGGTAACGATTTAGTAACTTTCCTGGAACCGACTCACTTCAAACTGACTTTCAATACTTTTGATCTTAAACTGACTGTCAATAACGACGATTCTAAATTGGCTTCAAAACTTCTGATCTTAAACTGACTCTCACGCATCCTTGCACCCTTATTTAAGCTTGCACTCTGTCATACTTAGGCTTTCCTCCTCAGTCACGCATTTTCTATGTATTTCCCTTGGTTTAGGTAGGCCAGGAACTTGGAATACTCAGGATGCATTCGTAAATTTTCACTCGACTCTGTCGCAAACATCCCTTGCACGCTGTCACTTTCGTCCTAGATCCCAAACACTGTCAATATTCTTTCAGCACCGTACTCGTTCCAATCCTACAAATATTCCAGTCTCCGTCAAAGTTTGATACTAGACCTGTCATGTCTAATCGAATGATCATTGGAGAAAAAGCAAAAGAGATATCAAAGACTTGAACGTGTTTAGCATTAGCTTTAGCGTTAAATGAATCATGGCACGATTGCATGTTTCGCATTATGTAGATTTCCGGGTCAGTATGAAAGGTCGTGCTTCTTTCTCTCGCAGAGAAATACAGAAGTCTCAGTAATTCCTGATTACTCGAGTTTATAATTGTCACTCTTGTCTATTGCAAATTTCCATGCATAATCATGCGTTTCCTCGCTTAGTGGTAGCATAAATTACGTCCGAAGTAATCAAGATCTGCGGCTTAGTATGAAAACTCGTGCCTCTTTTCCCGGTAACGAGGCACTGGGAATTCTATTAGCTCTGCTGATCGGATAAATTGAATTTGCATATCACTGCGATTAAGCGTGCAATAATACGTTCTCCGGCTTTAAGGTTACACAGATAGCCTACTTAAGGCGTTCGAATTATCGCATATTTTTTCTTTCCCGCAACGAGACCTAGAAACTTTCGTAATTTCCCTGATCGCTAGGGCTTATAAATATTCCTCGCGGCTCGCCGCAAGTTTGAGCGAATAATAATATCTCCCCTCGTTTCCAGGTTACACAGATAACCTCCGTGATAGCTCGGATTTCCACGGTTCAGGTTAGAATGAAAGCTCGCGTCTTTCCTTCTCGTAGCAGGTCGCGGAAACTTTCGTAATCCGGCCTGATCGGTTGGATTTATAAACATCTCTCGCGCCTCGCTAATCGAATAATAACACGTCCCCCTGTTTTAAGGTTACATGGACAGCCTGCGTAACAGCTCGGATTTCCGGATTACGACGAGAGACCCGGTGAAAGAACTCTTGGAGAGTATCGAGCGAAAATCCGACACGTCGTACGATCTTCCGGATCCCTCGAAGCTCAAAAAAGAGAAGAGAGTCTGCGTTATTTTCCACGGTGCCCCTTTCACCGGTACGCCACTGTCACGTATACTCCTCCGCCATTCGCGAATGCATCACCAGCTTTTCAGATCTATTCTCGCGCGAAGCTTAATCCGCGCCATTAGCGGTGATGCAATATCCCGAACGGGTGCCTGGTCGTTCGATACTTGTTTAATCGATCGTTCGTTCTCAGAGTACCAAGAAGCTGCGTGCTGCAGCGCCAAGGCCTTAGAAATTCCGGTCCTCAGCATCGATAAAGCGATCTGGGAGGTGGTGGCGCTGGGCGCGAGTTCGTGCTCCATCCAGCTGCGACAGATCATCGACGACGCTTATGATAGCTACATGGAGGCTTTCGCGAAGCAGAAGTATGATCCAAGACACGAAGATAAATTTTGCTAGATTTAATGTCCATTTTGCTTAGTGCAATTTCGACCAGTTGCTGTTGCAATTGACCTTAGAGACAATGATTTTTAGCTTATCGTGCGCGGCACCGGTGGCGCTCTAAAGATATCATGATACGCTCTAAATCTTAATTATCGGTGCAGTGTCTCTGTCAACGAAATATTTCCATCACCAGGCAGCGTTTGACAGATCGAGACACCCTGGAGAGCGACGAGATCGAGTTGCAGTTAACCAGAAGATCAGGGACTTCGCGTAAAAGGAGAGGTTCTCCCAAAGACAGATCTTCGAGGACGAAAGGATCCTCGAAGAGCTCGAGGAAAATAAAGACACCGAAATCGGGTAAAAACGAAGACTCGCAAAAGGTAGCTATCCTTCGACTTCGCGCGGATGCTGATCCGATGGAGGAGCTGGAGAGGATCCCGGCCAGCGAGAAGCTAGAGATGCTGGACCCTTTGAGCAGATACGAATACAAGATCCAAGCTCTTCTGTCGCTGGAGAGACTGGTCGATCATCGCGGAATTGCCGGCTCGGCTAAAGACAGAGGAGACAGCAGCCCGAGAAAGAGGCAGGAAGCTTCGTTGCTTGGAATTGCTCCTGAATTAATAGCGGAGGCTCTTCAAGAGAGGTTCCTTTGTGATACGACTTGCGTTACTCGATTTCTTTTTCCTTTCTTTTCGTTAATCCTTTGGTAGATCACGAGCTTATTAACGGTGCTAATTTGCGCGAAACGAATGGTTCGCAGATTATCCATGGAGGACTTGAAACGGGGTTTTGTCGTGCAGAGCCTGGATAGCAATTTCCTGCGGAATAACGCGCCCCGAGCTTTGCTTTCGCTATTACAGATCCTCGGCAATATCGAGTACCTTCTGTTCGTTACTTTCCTTAATTCGATGACCTGCTACGACAGCAAAGTCCGGCAGCTTCAAAGGGAAATCGGTAAATTGTTTTCTATTCGCGTTAACGAAGCAACCTTTGAGATTAAGGGGGGAAATAACCAGTGCAAAATAACCTATAACACGGAGAAAAATAATGCTCGAGACGATCTTTGCTTCGAAATAAAATAACGAGTCGGTGGGAGAGAAAAAATTGATCCGTCCGACAATGGCTTGACCATTCGCCGTAAAAGATGGCGGACGGCGTGGCATTGTCAACGGCACAGAAAAACGAGATTCTCATCTTTGCAGAGGAGAAAGCGAGCGATTACTGCCAGAGGATCCAGGACATCGACCAGATGTCGTCGTCCGAATACGATCAGCTTCCCGACGAGGATAAGGAGATGTATCTGCACGCGATTCTGCCGATCAAAAGGGAAGAAGCATCGCGTAGGCGAGCTCGATTTATCGAGCGGATGATGGAACGTAGGAAGAAGGTCTGCACGTTTTATCCTTAACTCCTCGAGCATTACCATCCTTCGAAAATTTCTACTTCGTCATTGGCTTATCGAAATTGAATAAAAGCTAATTAAAATTCATCGAAGAATAAAAGTCCTTCGAAAATTTCTACTCGGTCATTGGCTTATTGAAATTGAATAAAAGCTAATTAAAATTCATCGAAGAATAAATTCTTTTTCGATCATGATCGAAAAAGAATCGCTTCTTTTTTGAAAAGAATAAATTCTTTTTAACCGTGATTAAAAACAGATCGTGTTTTAAATTCCTCGAGATCCATGAAGAGTTTAGCAACAATTCGGATTAAATTCGCGAGTATTGAGAATTATTTTGGTCTATTAGAAGGCTCGAGAGACTCTCTCGAAAGCTCAGAAAGAGCCTGAACTCGATGCAGGAAGATCTGCACGTTTGATCCTTAACTCCTCGAGCATTACCGTTCCTCAAAAATTTCTACTCGGTCATTGGCTTATCGAAATTGAATAAAAGCTAATTAAAATTCATCGAAGAATAAATTCGTTTTTGACCGTGAATCGAAAAAGAATCGCTTCTTTTTTGAAAAGAATAAATTCTTTTTAACCGTGATTAAAAATCGATCGTGTTTTAAATTCCTCGAGATCCATGAAGAGTTTAGCAACAATTCGGATTAAATTCGCGAGTATTGAGAATTACTTTGGTCTATTAGAAGGCTCGAGAGACTCTCTCGAAAGCTCAGAAAGAGCCTGAACTCGATGCAGGAAGATCTGCACGTTTGATCCTTAACTCCTCGAGCGTTACGGTTCCTCAAAAAATTCTACTTCGTCATTGGCTTATCGAAATTGAATAAAAGCTAATTAAAATTCATCGAAGAATAAATTCTTTTTCGATCATGAATCGAAAAAGAATCGTTCCTTTTTTGAAAAGAATAAATTCTTTTTAACCGTGATTAAAAGTCGATCGTGTTTTAAATTCCTCGAGATCCATGAAGAGTTTAGCAACAATTCGGATTAAATTCGCGAGTATTGAGAATTACTTTGGTCTATTAGAAGGCTCGAGAGACTCTCTCGAAAGCTCAGAAAGAGCCTGAACTCGATGCAGGAAGATCTGCACGTTTGATCCTTAACTCCTCGAGCGTTACGGTTCCTCAAAAAATTCTACTTCGTCATTGGCTTATCGAAATTGAATAAAAACTAATTAAAATTCATCGAAGAATGAATATTGCGAATTAATATAATATTAATAAATTATTTAATTAACCCTTTCGCTTTGGCATTTCAGTTTGTCACTAAACAGAAGCGTATACTCGCAGGACATCTCTTAGCTCGAAACGAAAAGGTTAATTATATAATATTGAGAGTTAATATTAAAGAATTAAATATTTTGACCACGATTAAAAATCGATCGTGATTTAAATTTCTCGAGATCGATGGAAAGTTTAGCAACGACTCGGGTTAAATTCGCGAGCATCGTGAGTTACTTTGGTCTATTAGAAGGCCTCTCTCGAAGGCTCAGAAAGAGCCTGAACTCGAGTCACTCGCTTGTAAATTTCTACCCGCGAACCATGACCGTTTCGCAGGAGATTCGCGGCAACGTTTCAAGCTCGAAGACACCCAAGAGGAAACGAAACGGAAAGCCGACGAAGCACGCGAGGGCAGCCAGTAAAAGGTCCACGAACTCGAGGCCACCTTCCAGCAAACGAGGGACAAGCAAAGCAACGAGAAGCAGAGACAGCTCGAAACGAAGTAGGTCTTCCAGAGTAAAGACCAGGAACAACGGTCGTGATTTATGGTCGTGTATCCCGCAGGAAAAGAATCTGTTTCGGCTGAAGTTAGAGAAATCGTGGCGGCCATGAATCGATACTACACGGACCTTTCGTCGATCGAGAACGTGATCCACAATTGGGACCCTGTTAAAAAGATAATGGTAATTCTACATTTCTTATCCAAAATTTTTCTGAATTTTCTGAATAATTTTCTTCCAATTTTCCTCCCACGGTAAAACCGTTCGTTTGCCTCCAGGAAGTACATACGACGAAGTCTAGGGTGTCAAGAAGCGTAAGATCTAAAGATATGGATCCTCCAGACACGGTCCAAGACGTATAAATAAATTAAATTATTATATAAATATTATACCACATTTAATGGAAAATTTATATCGAATTCTATATCAGGTACCCCTAAATAATTTCCACCTGTGGTACGTAAGATCCAGTGATCCTTGGCAGGACACGATGTACGACGTAGTGGTTTCCCAAATGAAGGAAAATCAATTAGCAAAATCCGCTCTCGGTAAGTCAAATATTAATTGTCCTGCAATAATGATTATTTTACCCTAAAATAATGATTATACACCCATTACATCTCGCAGCTCTTGAGAAAACACCAGAGCCTGACCTCGGACCCAAGCTTTACTCCGTGCTGAGATGGAAGAGCGATGGAGAAGCGAGTTAGAAAAGTTTATGGCGGTACGCTCTCAACTCCTATAACAACTTCTCCAACTTAATTCCTGCATCAGCTTACCCCCTGCACTAATCGTCGCGGTATAAACCGATTATCTAGACGTATATCAATTGGTTTCGCTGACACCGATAACGGAAGTCTACTCCATCAACGAATCGATCCACGTCAGCGAGCTGAGCGTTGCAGAGAATCGAAGCAACGCTAGGAAAGGTTACAATAGACGCAGACAGAAGTCGGGCAAGGTGGAGGAGCAAAAGTCAGCGAACAAGGAGAATCGTTCGATGAACGAGTCGTCGATCGAGAGCAAAGACACGAACAAGGTTCCGTCGTTGGGAACTGTCCTGGAAGAACCCTTGAAGCCACGGTGGATCCTGTTACCTGGCGAGAGCCAGAGGTTCAAGATCCGCTTCCAACCGGAAGAGACGGGTCGCTACGATGAAACGTACGCGTTGACGACCCTGGGCGGAGGCAATCTCACCTATGAAGTGAACGTGACCGGCATCGCGGATATACCCAGGCTGGACATGAACCCCGAAACGATTTTTGCCAAAGTATCCTGATCCTCCGCATCTTCTGTCGTTTCAGCCTTCAGTCACTCGAGAGTAAAAATTTAATGCACACTTATTGCAGACTGCCCAGACTAAGCTGCACGAGACACACAGCTCCACGTACTTCTACGATAAGGGGTTGTACGATTTTGGGTCGCTTCTCCTTTTACGTAAGGATAAAAGGTATCTTCTCATTTTACGTCCTCGTCACTGTCATCTATTTCATATTTTTCATTGCCAATTGGCAGATATATCGGTTATTAACGCTTACGAGAATACTTAGTCCATTAGTTGACAAGGTTAGGGTATGTTTAGACTGTCAATTGAATATTTTTCCGAAATTATTTGTGGGGGGTCCTCCCTCCGGGAGCTGTCTGTCAACTGGTCGTAGGTACCTTCGATGTGATGGGGTTCTAGAAAGGATGCGTTTCGTCCTGGGCCTGTTAGAGGATGCATTAATTAGGCTACATAGCAGGCCCTGCCTTAGTCAGGTATACTATGGGAATGTTGAGGAATTCTATACATAGGAAACGGAGGGGTTTTATAACTATTGGTGAGGATGAGAATGATGCCATCATATTAAATTATTAAATTTCCATGTACTTCGAGTTTCGAGAGCAAATAGTAAAAATTTGCAAAATGGTCGTAGTATTTTTTGGGGGTTGTATTCCAAAGGGGTAGGTTGTTACTCACTAATGATCGACACACTGACAATAGTAAATTAAATTCGTCAAATCGTAGTCTTTGTTTCACTTAATAATGTAGATACCTAATTCAGTTCACTATTTTACTCTTCATTTTATCCTTTTAAGCGTTATTGTTTATTACATATACGACACAACGACATGTATATATGTACATTAAAGAGGGTGAAACGACACGATGTAAGCCGGCAATCAATTAAATAATTCGTTAAATAAGCTTCTTTTCTACTTACTAATTTCTTTCTCCGTTACAATCCGCGAACTGCAACGAAACGACGCGATTCCCAGCGTTAGCGGAAGAGACCTGGTCTCGAAGGGAAGTTTCAATGGAATCTTCACGGAATCGAACGCATTTGCAGCACTCGGAGTTGGCGAATTCGCAAGTTATATCGCCTTATCTGTTCGCAGGCCGCATCGTCGAGAGGTTCGGCTGAAGTTTTGCAACGTTTCCGAGCTGGAGGCGGAGGTTCTCTGCTCGCTGGATGAAAACAGTTCCGAGTGCTTCTTCGTTCAACCCCAGCGGCTGCTTATCGCTGTGCGTTATCGGCTTAACGAAAACAACCGGTTTAATTATCCCGTTGTAGTAGTAGCTCGCGTTTCGCGAAATCCAATGACCCTCTCGCTAACGAGCAAACGAAATTCACGCAGCGGGGTGACTGCGCCACTCTCGTGCTGTCCGCCATTGCGACCAGACTGGGATTTATCCAGGGAAAATTGTTCCTTTGCGTCACGAACAATCCGAAAGTCGAGGTGATCGAGGTAATTATTGGCTCGTTTATTTCAAATTATTTGACAAAAATTTCTTCTTTATTTTATACTTCGTTTCCCGAGACACTTGCTAACCTTCAGTAAATATAGTTACAGAGCGAAGGAACCAAATTGGACATCGAATTGGACGAGAAAGAAGTATCCTTTGGTCTCACTCTTCTCTATCGAATAGAAAATCGAACACTGAGGATCAGGAACAAAACCCCAGTGTCGCTTTTCTGGCATCTAAGAGCGGAAGAACCCTCCGATCCTCAAATTACTTTCACTCCTCTTCGAGGGCTGATAGAGACTCGCGATAGTCAAGAAATCGAGCTCAGATACCACGCTACCAGGGTAACGCGTGTGTTCTCGTCTCGGATTTTTAAAAAATAATTTCGAGCGGAAGAAGGATCAGTTTGGTCAAACTTTGGTTAAATTACAGGTTGGCGTGGTCCAGAAAAAGGCGTTGATCTTCGAGGCGTTCCTGGACGAGGACGACCATGATCCCATCTTCACTGACGTCGTACTGCTATCCGGAGAAACCTACGACGTTGCTGTGGACATCAACAACGCGAGTCCTATCGACTTGAAGAACATAAGAGTGGACTTTCCTGCGAGTGCCATTTTCAGCGTGAGAAATCGCGGCGACTACGAGGTGAAATACGTGTAAGAGAAGCTTTACCTCATCCTTCTCTCTTGTAAAGTCGCGAGTGAGACGAGAAAAGCGGTGGTTCTTGCAGAATTACATTGCAAGACAAAGAGGAGCTGGAGAAATTAAATTTGCCTGCTAATTTCAAGAAGAATCTCCAAGTCCAACCAGCCACCGGGACTGTTGCGCCGAATAAAGAAAGGATCGTGGAAGTTTGTGTTTTAAAGCGCGATTTAAAGCCCGAGTTAAGTACAATTTTAACCAGACTCGTGTCGTAGATGACACTCAACGTGAAGACCGAGTTGACGCTGAAGGAAGCTCCGATATTGAAGTGTCATTTGGTCGACACGCAAAAGGAAACTACGATCATTGCTGAGATCCCTCTCAGCGTCTCTCTCGTCGCATACTACACCAGGTGTCGTATTTGCGTTTTAGAAAAGGAAAGTATATTCAACGTCAAACATGTTACTGACTTTTCCCCCGAATTGCAACAGGTTCCGGATTAATCCTTACCCTATCATCAACTTCGGAACACTACCCATATGCAGCGAGAAGACCATGTACCTCAATATCGAGAATATCGGGAGCTTCCCGTTGCATTACTCCATCCAGCTACGATACAGACACCCGTCCACTGTGTACATGAGCCAAATGTGGCCGGAAGATCCGCAGAAGAGGCAGAACACGCCGGAAAAGGGGACCTCGAGGAAAGGGAGATCTGTGAGGAGCAGCAAAACCGAGACCAAGTACTCTCCTTTGACGAATTAAATTCTAGATAAAACACAGGAAATAATTGCACTCGGACACGTAGAGCTCGTCCGGAACCAGAAATGCTAACGCTGGGACCGATGACGATAACGAAAATGAAGGGCAACGTGGAGGTTGGCCAGACGGACAGCATCGCCATCAGTTGCTACCCGGAATTCGTGGGTTCCCAAGAGGAGCAGATCACCGTTGTCGTGGCCGACAGCGTTCCCGAAGACAGGGATGGAAAGACGGTGACGTTATCCGTGAACTCCGCCATCCCCAGCATCGATTTTCAGGACCTGGACTCGATATTTCAGGAGAACCACGTGGTCGACGGGATCCAAGACTTCGACTGTCCCAGAGACGTTCTTGTCCATTCTTCTCATCCTTTCACGAAGGATTTTTATTTCTCAAACGTTTCCTCACGTTCCACTCCTCTTCAGATTGGACCACACACTGTGTTCGCCCGACGAGAGAAATGCCTTCACTTCCGGTACGTCAACGTGCTGAGCACTCACGTAACCTGCTTCAAGCTGCACAACCGCGGGATGGTACCTGCGAGCGTGGAAATCCGCTTCTTGGACGAAGCTTTGAGGCCCAGTACTGCGAAGGAGAACACGTTCGTCGTGGAACCCGGGCGTGAACAGGTCCCTCCTATGAGTCACAAGGTGTTCACCGTGTCTTTCACGCCACACGTCATAGAGGTGAGTACGATAATTATTATATTTCAGAGATGGGTCGAATGAAGCACCGCGAAATTCTCCGGGGATGTTTGCAGACGTTTCAAGGAGCGTTTCAAGCAACCGTGGTTTTGCCCCCGCATCTGGAACCAGAGCAGCTATTCATCAAACTGATAGGAGAATCTTGCGTGCCGGAAGTGGCGATTACAGAGCCAGCCCATGGAGCACGGGAAAGACCTACTTTGAACTTTGTCCGTACATTGATCGACGAGAGCAGTTGCAGATATTTCACCGTGGAAAATGTCGGATTCATTAAGGCGAAAGTCATCATCGAGATCGACGAGGATCTCAATAACGTGTTCCTCTTATCCGCCTGTTTGGACATCCAGCATTTGTTGCAAGCGTGGGAAGAATACTGCGATGGTCAGTAAACACGGCCATTTTATAAATATTCCATATTAACTATGAGTGTTGGTTTTATATATATTGTCACGAGATCATATCCACCCGGTATTCGGCCAAGAAGAGCGGATCGTAACTTCAGTGCAGAACAATCCAGCACCTTCTTCAGCTGTGGGATTTTTAGCTCGGCAAATTTTGCCATGATTGGAATTATTCAGCAATCCCACTTCTGGCACCAATTGTTACAAATCGCGAGTGTAATCCTTATTCTTGAGGTTCGATCGCAGGATTCTGACGAATTCTAAAACGTCAGAATAGATTTTCCTTCTGAAAAGGTTGATAGCACTCTCTGAACTTCGATAGCCGCTTGTTATTTAAACCGAACATTTTGGAAGGTGCTGGATTGTTCTGCACTGAAGTTACGATCCGCTCTTCTTGGCCGAATGCTGGGTGGATATGATCTCGTAACAATATGTTCTTATATATCATTTTGCAGTGTATATCGTGTTAATTATAATTAAAATTAGTACGATTTATATCGTGTTTGTACTTGTCATAATACGACTCGATCTGTCGTATATCGAGGATACAAGTTGTGTCTGATCGTCAGCCAACGTGTACCTAATGATTAACCATTTGCACTCGGAAATTCTTTCGTTGCAGAGAAATAGTAATTCGAAGACTTTCTGCCATAAAGTGGAGGATATTTTTAAAACGGTAAATAAGAAATCGTATGCAAATTGAGACGTGAAATTGTTTCAGTAATTTTAGATTCGATATATTAATTAATATCGATCTTCAGAATATGATTAAATGGCGTCTGAGGGGCGCCTCTCGAGTGCAAAGGGTTAAGATTGTTCCATTTTCGACGTTGCTTCCGTATCTAATTCTAATGATTTCACGGTTTCAGCGATACTCAAAATGAGGAAAATTCCATTTATTTTTTAAATAAATCGCTCAGGGCTTTCCAATAAAATTCCTGCAATGACTCGAAGTACCTAAATTGTCGATTAATTAAAAAACTCGGTCCTTCTAGATCCACAAGACCGATGCACCGCGGTTCGTCTGGCGAGCGGAAACGCGGCCCGGTTTAAGGTGATCTTCAATCCCAGGGAGACCGGGAAACACTGCGGGAAAATTCGTTTACACGTGGTCGACAACCCCTACGAGAATCTGACGATCAATCTGGAAGGCGAATGTTACGTGGAGTCGATCGTTCTGAATGGCCTGCAGTCCGAGGACAATAACCGTAAAGTCTCGGCCGGAAATCGAGACGCTCACAGGTCACGGAGGTTCTCGTCCAAGCAGAACTCCCAGGCTTCAGGTAGACGCAATTCCTGCTATAAACCGTGCTCGCTGGCTAGCGAAATTTCGCTCGGTCTCTTATTTAATTTCCTTCGAGCCCCGTTACCTCGTTAAAGCGTCTTGTGCACCGAGATGTGTTTGGCAGCTTCTAGCAACTCCACGTTCCCGGTGTCTCTGACCTACATCCTCGACTACGGGCTCTGTTTCGTTAGCAAAATATACAGGAAGACTTTCAAGATTGTCAATAAATCCACGGATCGGTGGTTCCGTTTCCAATGGAGCGTGCATCCCCATGTTGTGTTCGTGCCATCCATTGGACACGTCAAGTATCTCACGTGCAAAGAGATCGTCGCTACCTTCCTGGCATCGGAACCTACGAATCACGAGAACGTATGTTACCAAAATGAAACCTGTTGTCCCGGAATCGTGAACGAAATAAATTCCCATCCCCTCGGCCAGTTCTATCTCGTGGAAACATCGTCAAACTCCATCAGGAGTTTCGTGATCCGAGACTTCGGATTCGTTATTTCTCCCGTCGAAAGTTGATAGATTTTAGCCTGCCAATTTCGAGTCTTGATTTTACACCGTGCTCTTCAGATTCGCATCGAGTGCTTCGTGTGCGAAATCCTGGTGGAGGACGTAACCGTCGAGTCAGCTTGGGATGACAGGCAGACGGAAGTGCGTTGGGAGAGGATACACCATGACATACCGGAACAAATAAGCAACCTGGAGTTGCTGTCGAAGAAGATCATAGAACCGACCATCGAGGCGAGGCACGAAGTTGTCCCCGGCACGAGCAAATCGATTCTGCTGTTGTTAAACGCCACTGTCGCATTCTCGCGATGCACCAGCACGGTGCAAGAAATCTGTTTCAAGGATACCTTGATGTTCCAGGTTTGCCCCGTGTATCATGTAATTAAAAGAGACCCGACAGCGCAATTACGCGAAGCGTGCCACGTCGAGCAAGCTTCCGATCGACATTTCTGCAACCTTATCGCGTATTGACAGTTTCTTGCGACAAAAGCTGGAATTCGAGTGAATAAAAATGAAATAAAAGTACAACCCGCGGGTATTCATTATCATACGAATTTGCCACGCGTGGAAATCGAGATGTAATCGAATCCAATTCGATGCAACGCGCATTCTCATCGATGAATATTTTTATACGCGCATTCCGAGGCAATGACGATCGTCTGAGGTGGAAAAGCCAGAGCGATACGATTGCCGCTATGATTCGGCGTGTATAGGTGCACGTTCGATGACATCTTACTGCGCGAAATAGAATTTCAATGTAACAAAATTCTCCACGTAGGATTCCAGTCACGTGCGGAAGAATTAACGAAATATCCTTGCAGATCAGGGAGTACACGTTCCTGCTGGCGAATCCTGGAACCGTAAACACGGTGTACGCCTGGAAGATAAACATGGACGAGCAGTACCCGAAGAGGCGCATAGGAGACGCTTCAAACGTGACTTCTAGATCGAGATTCGCGGAGGAGTCTCGTTCTCGGCAGTATTCGAGATCGTCCAGGGGAATTTTCTCCGCAACAAGTGAAACGCGTGGCAGATGCCACGAGCAAGGGCAGAGGAGCGTTGAAGAGAGCTCGAACGTTTTGTCGCGACAATGCTCGTCGTTCGAGTCCGGTAATTTTCCGTTTGCCATGCTCGAAATCGAGAATGCCGTTGGTCGAAAGCTTTGGTAATCGTAGAAAGCGGAGACGCGAAGGCAACCTCGAGCACCAAGCCATCGGATCTTTTCAGCAGCGCCGCCGCACTGTCGGGAAGGACCACCGATAGTTGGCTGGAAGGCGACGATTTGCCTTTCGTAATCTACCCTGAGACGGGAACGATACCACCCGGAGAATCCATGGAATGTACATTAAAATTCTCTCCCAAGGATGTATTTTATTACAAGGCATACCTTGCGTGCAGGTACGTACCCGATGGGAGCTCTGGAAGATATGGGGCAATAGCTGTGGCACGGAGTTAATGTAACGTACGTCAGACTGGATAAGATGTCAGTGACGTACACGGTAGGATGTCTATGGTGGGTGTCGGTAGTGCAGGATCTAATCTTAGACTGGATCTCAAAAATATTTAATATTCAATCCTGTATGAGTTTCAAAAAATATCTAGTGTCTATATATTATAGTTTGACGCTTGGTTTATGGGGTGCTTCATTTTGACATATTTCGGACTTCACGAGGAAAATTAGGGACACCGTTTACGTTTAAATAAAAATAATCCCTATGAATATTATGAATTTTAATTAAATGCGTGTAGGATATTTTAGTGCTAAGGATCATAGTAATAAAAGAGAATGTGTGGAAGGGTAGGAACATGTCGGCCTTCACGCATGGCTTGGGGTTCACCACCATAACGTCCACCATACTCGAATAATTTCTATTTATAATATTAATCATAATATTCACTAAAGTCCACAGTTCAAAGAGAGAAGCTATTCACATACCTCACCTATTGCTGTTTAGCATGTTTTGCATCATCGTGTAGTCTACGTATACTTGTATCCACGATTTCTCAAAATTTTTATAGGCCTACATTTCTTCCTCCTTAATTTTTTATCTCCCAACCCATCAGTGGCATTTGTCAACCAGTTTTGACCACATAGAAAGAGAACGAAACGCCGGTGACTAATACTCGCGCTATAACACACGTGCAAAGCAAAATTCGCTGGATAGTGTCAAAGACATTTTATTAATATCTCGGGAACTACTAAATTTCCGAAACTGAAATTCTTAATCCGGAGTTTATCCCACCATTCTTCATTCCCCTCCATATTTCATCCCAATTGACCACTGGCGCCGTTCAAAACTGCAGCAAAAGCAACGAATCCAAAGAATGCCGTACAAAGTATAAAAGACACGCGGAAAATGAAAGAAAAAGAATGGAATCCATTGAAAACAGGAAATATTATACGAATGAAAGAGAAACGCTATAAATACGAAGAAGGAATTTAATAAGAAGTTTAAAAATGTAGGATAGAAAACATCGAACCGGGTCAACCGACCTTGACGATCCCCGTGTCAGCGAGGAGCCTCCTGCCTTATTGTCACTTCGACGTGCAGGAGAGCGACTATGTAACCAGCAACCGACGGGACCCTTCTTTGCCAGGTCCCCTGGGATACGAAATAGACGACCCCGCTTTGTGGCAGAACATTAGGGTAATCGAATTCAAGGTGGTCGGAGTTGGCGAGACCCACGTGAAGTAAGGGTAGCACGTGTCGCGTTGTTTTAATGAACTTCGTAACAAATTCCAATGGTTTCGTTTGCCTTCAGAAATACCGAGACCTGGCTCATATTAACGCGTTGACTGCCACTAGGGTAGCCTGTGACAGGCCCTAGTCTGCTCTTTGTAAATTCGAATTATATAAATAAATAGAGAACATTGGGAAACGAAGATTGCTATTTTTGTGCTATTTTTCCTCTTCTTTTATTATATCGTTCAACCTTTCGTCACAGGTCGCAGGGTCTCTCGAGACCCGTGAGTCAGAGTTGTTTGCTTCCTTCAATAATTCGTCATGTTCTAAGAATAGTAGAAATTTTATCGTGGCTTGAATAAGGCAGTCGTACATAAGTACATGGCAGTCAACGTGTGAATAATTGTCAACGCTATAGAGAATTAATATAAGATATAAGTTAACTAAGCCATTCGGTCGATGATTAAATCGACACGAGCGATTTCAGAAAATTCCACTTGATCAACCCGACTATGGACGATTACCATTTCTCGTGGACGAACCGAACGGTTCTTGGCACGGACGAGGTACCGAATTTCCAGTGCACGGTGACCGAGGGCATCGCTGAACGAGGGAAACGTACCGACTTGGCTTTCACGTTTTTGGCAGAGCAGGTCGGCGTCTTCGAATCCTTCTGGCTCTTCTCCATCAGCAGATACAATCTGGAGTGCCTCTTTCTGGTCGTCGGCGTCGTCGCCGAGCCCTCGGTGCACTGCCTCACGGTCCACGTGAAACTCAAGCCAACAATCTTGGGTTCGTTCAAAAGCTCTCACCTTCAACCACCAAATGTGTTTTCTTTCTTCCTTCGGTCATCTTCTTGACAGATCGTCTCATGACAGATCCCCTTGGATCCTCCTCTTGACAGATCGTCTCATGACAGATCCTACTCGTTTCTAGGATTCAACGTGAGAGACTCGGCGAAGCTGCTGAACAACGAAGACTTTCATATACCCTTCAGAATCGTGGAAGACTCCCTCTACTCGGAGGGTAAATTTCAGAAACTCAGCGTGACCCCGATGACTGGCTCTCTAGTGTCAAAGAGCGAGCAACATTTCTGGTGACTGTCATTGGTTAACACTAGGTTTACGAACGCTATCTGTATACCTATTTATAAGGACATTTGTCAAGTTGACAGCTAAAGGAATCCACGTGCCTTTTTTTAACGATTAGTTTAATTTAAGAACAATTATATATTATATTAACAGTCTTAATATAAGTTAACTAAATCTGTTACCATTGTATAACTGGAGCAACCCTTCCGTCAAATTGACGGCTTCCGTAAATCTAGTGTTAATTCATTGATGCTCGATATCTTCGTCAGAAAATGTCTCGGTTTTCAACCGCCATGTTGGATTCGGCATTTTCCGCGAGAAATCGCGAGCAGAATGGTGCGACGAATGTTTTAATTCGTTCACAGGGTCGAGTACCATCCGACTCGGGTCGGTGAATTCAACTTTTCCGTTCAGTGCGCCGTGAAGCTGATGAAAAGCCCCCTTACCATCTTCGTGACCGCCTGCGTTTACGACATCGTGTCCTCGGTTTCGTACTGCAAGCCCAATGACGAGGTTGTTCGAGCTTCCGAGAATAAGGAGAATGTCATCGACCTGGGAAAGGTGAACAAACTTCCTCCGCAATGTCGTGGCAGAGGCAAAGGGAAAACTTTTAATTAACAAACTAACGAGGAATAAAAATGTTTCTCGTTTTACGCGAAGTTGATGCCCGAGGTACCGGTCGCTGTCAAGTTCGACATAACGAATTCGTGCAAAGTGGCATTTTATTACACGTGGCAGCTCGGAATGACGCCAGACATTTCCTGCAGAAACGCGTACAGCTTGACGGTGTCTCAGAAGCAGGGTCATGTGATCAGCGACGATCGATCCACCTGTTATCTGACCATGACGACGTTCCAGAAGGTTACTATAAAGGATCACTGTGTTCTTCTGAAGGTACACTAACCGTAAAAGGTGCCCACAGTGTTTTCAACCCTTTCGGTATCCATCTGACAAAAATTGCACCACTGGCTACTTTGCTAAATTATTTCATACAGCGTTTCAATTTTTCTACTATATATATGTAGGGTTGAGAGGGAGAGGGGTCACACGCGGGATTAAATAGATATATATGTAGGGATGTTGGGTAGGCATCGGAATAAACAAAGATGTAAATATAAAAATAATTTATTCCAAACTAAAACTTAGTTTAAGCGCTAATAATTCTCAGCTGACTCTCGCTCGCTATCTCTCAATAAATTCTATTACTGACTCTAAAACACGCACTGACTCTTCCGCGTTCTTGCACTCTTATTTAACACTAGGTTTACAGTTTATATCTGTATACCTATTTCTAGAGACACCTGACAAATTGACAGGTAAAGGAAACCACGTGCCATATTTTTAACGATTAGTTTAATTTAAAAACAATTGTATATTATATTAACAGTCTTAATATAAGTTAACTAAATCTGTTATCATCGTATAATTGCAGCAAATTGACGGGTTCCGTAAATCTAGTGTTAAACCTTGCACTCTGTCTTCTCTCATACTCATGTTCCATTTCTCAATCGGTGGATCACGTATCTTTAATACTCAAACGTATTCATAAATTTCCACTCGTTTATTTCATTCGGCTCTGTCATAAACATCCCTTACATTCGATCCTCTTACACGCGGTCACTTTCTTTCTAAGCCCAAACAAGTATTCATAAATTTCCACTCGTTTATCTCATTCGGCTCTGTCATAAACATCCCTTACATTCGCTCCTCTTACACACGGTCACTTTCTTTCTAAGCCCAAACACTCTTGACATTCTTTCATACTTATTCCTTTTCTACATATATATTCTCTCACGCCGCACTCATTCTATCCCTACATATACGTTGTATGAAGATGATATATAATCCCTTCTTGGATATTCAAATTAAACGAGAATGAATAGACCATGTATATATCAACGTGTGACAAAATTAGACGAATCCCGGCACTCCAATCTCCCCGCTCATTAATTAGTATCAAATGATTAATATCCTGATCCCTTCTAATATTAATCAGATCGCCAATGGACCCACTTACAAATTTATACTGAAAGCTTTTTCCAAAAGACCCGCCATCGAGTTCAGCTTCAATCGACACGATTTCGGGCTTTGTTACATTCAAGATAGCAATTCAATTTCCTATCGCACAGAACTTCGCGTGACGAACTCGGACGAGGTACCCTTTGTGTGAGTTTATCCCTCATTATCCACTCCTAACCGTTTCCCAATCAGACTCCACGTTGCACTCGATTTACGGATGACAAATCGATCTCGAAGAAAATCGATGCGTTCTCCAATTCTTCCTAACGTCGAATCCGATTGTGAATTCACAGAATCGAATGCAAATTCGAGGAACTGCCGCATCTCTCCGTCGACCTGAGCTCCACCTACGAGGCACTGGCTGCCGGTTCCTCCATCGCTGTACCGATCGTTTTTCGACCGCTCAGGGAGACCAGGTACAGCGAATGCCTGATGTTCGCGATCAACTCGGTGAACGTGAAGAAGATAACGATTACGGGAGAGGGAATCGGCTATAAAGTAAATTATCCAAGATGCCGCGTCGAGCGACGGCTTGTTAAAACTTTCGTGTAACGATAAGGAGGCTGCTCGCCGAGTTTTTCTCAGTCGCGACCGGGATCCGGTTCTCCACCGGGGTGAAGTCAACGGGAACCGTAACAAAGCAAGTTTCTCGACGCTGCGCTCTGGGGTCGATGAGCCAAAAAGCGGCAAAAAGTCATTTTAAAAACTTTCATTTTAGACAAATTTTTTCCAATAATTAATTAGGAATGTAGCAACCATTATTCTCACCCCTGTCAGTAGATGGATTCCTATTGAAAGGAGGTTCGAGGACTTGCGAGAAAGCCCTCGGTGAATCCTCGACCTCCCTAAATAGAAGTTACTATGCTACCTAAGTATCCCGTATAACGCAGGGCCTGCTAGATAGGACCCTATAGCGATAAGGGCGGTAGATTAACCCTTTGCGCTCGAGAGGCACTCAGTTGCCATTTGATAAAATTTCGAAGCTCGATATTCATTAATACGACAAATTTCAGGTAATGTAACGGTGTGCGAGGTATCGAAAGCAAATAACTCTACGTGTTAATTGTAATACGACTTCTTATTCACTGCTCAGAAAAATATCGTCAGCTTTGTAACAGAAAATCTTTGAACTCTGTAGCGTCCTACGTATCGAATCTCTTCGATTTCCAAAAACGCTTATCACGCGTCAAATTAATATTGCGTGACTAGTTGTAATAATAAGGATCCAGAATGCGTGTGGTCAAAAGAGGGTGTTTATTTAGAGAAAAGCGTAGAATAGTTATAACGTAGACGTTAAAGGAGTACTGTTTCGAACACGCGTTTGTATGTGTAATTAAGATGTTTTAAGGATCGGTGCCGAAGACGAACTGAACTCTCGCTTTTACTCTATGTCCTGTCTCGTCGTGTTCGATCCGGTGTTTTCTCTAGTTTAGTTCTGATTGGGTAAAATAGATGTTGGTGGTGGAAAGGTAAATAGTTTTAATTGGACACAGGGTGTGACATAAGGACCTTTGGCTAAGGAGTAGGAAACTGTCAAGGAGCCGATTTCTGATGGTCAATAACGTGATTTATAAGTGCCGTCCGTCCGTCGCTTGTTAAGTCTGTCACAAGTGGGTCCCATCTGTCGCGCCTGGTACTAGTAAAATTCCTAATTTTGCTTTACCTTTATAAGCTTAATCCGCTAGAACGGCGTTGAGGCACATCGAACCTCCGGAATTGCAGTCGCGTTATAAAATATAAAATAAACCGTTGGGTCTGTTAAAAGTGTAAGCTCTAGAATAAAATTATGTTATAAACACGTTATCCGGGATGGAACAAACTCCTATTCTTCTTTAGCCAAAAAATCGTCGAGTACGAAGAGTTAAGTTTGAGTTTAGATCGCGAGTGCTTAATGCTGGAGTCATCGATCTCATACTCTAAGTTTTCATTTGCAACCCTTTTGTACGTTTTGGTCCTTCTTTATATTTTTATTATTGTATCTAGTTTCTGGCGCATTAAATGTATGTTAAATTGACCTGCTAGGTAGGCTTACTGACGAGTCCAATAGCAGAGCAGAGACGAAATGCTAATCCCTTCCTTTTCCTTTCGTTCTTCTACTTGCTTACCCTATCATAGCACAACGATCAAGGGGGTACGAACAGGCAGCAGAGTAGGAACCACCGAAGTTTATCATAGATTTATCATAGATACCCCGTGGAGTGGATCCCCACAGGAATATGGCGCGTGATATAGTAGTTTCTTTTAACATTCGTCCATTTTTAACGTCACTTCTCGGTATTTAATAAAAGATCGTCTACAGTGGTCATCGGATGACCACCGACCGACCACTTCTGACCAATTCCATTTAAAAATTTTAGTCTCTCTATTGCACCGCGTGTTTTCCAGGTCCGTTTAGCGAACCCTCGCGACAAATCGGTCGACCTGGGCAGCATTTCGGCTTCCAGGTGCGTGACGAAGAGGATCCCAGTGGTGAACGAAGGCCTGGCACCTCTAGACCTCAGGTTCGGTCTCTTGAAGGACCTCAGCGGCTACGAGGAGCACCGCGAACGTCACGGACTCTGCGATTTCCAAGTGGAAAACGCCAGCGAAATGGCACGGGCTTCCATCATGGAGACCAAGCGTTCTTGGACCAACGATGAGAGGCTGGAGACCGTAGAGTCGAAACTCTCGGACGTTCTGAGGATCGAACCGTCGTCGAACGTTACTCTGAAACCGAATAACAGGGTCAACGTGGTGGTTACGTTCAAACCAACGTCCAGGATGAGGCCATTTTCCGCCAAAGTGGCTCTGCAAACGTCCTCAACGATTCTGCCCATGTTTCTAGTACGTGGTAGCTGCGTTGGCGCGGAATTCCACTTAAACAGGACCCACATTCCCTTCGGTACCGTAGTTCAAGGCTGCGTGGAGGAATCTAAAATGATCCTAATGAACACTGGAGATCTTGGCTCAAGGTTCGTGAATGGTGTCTTCCTTTTACGCGTTCATTCGAGGCAGATGATTCGAGTCCTCTGACAATGCTCGATACACGATGACGACTCTGGTCGCCATTTTTTAATAATAAGAAGTATAGACCGACTCTGATTAAAACAGAGACTATTCGTCGATTTCTACGGGTTTTCTTGGTATATTGGTCACTGAGACACTCATATTTGGTATGCAAATCTCAGCAATTAGCAAAGTGGTTCCGTAAAAGCCCGAAATGGGAGCGTCTACGAGCTATCTTTAGACTTACAGTGACTCACGAAGATATTCGAACGTTGTACATATTTTGAGGGAGTCTGAGGGTCTCAAAAATCCTGATTTTAATAAAAACATACGTGCACGTGAAGTATAAAGAGTTACGCGTAAATCAATTTTCATTATTCGCAGTATTACTTCACGTGGGTTCATGAAATCATCACTCAAAATTACAATCCAATCTCTGCTTCTTTAAATGTATTTATTTAATGATAGCGAGGTAGAACGAAGCTCTTCATATAAGAAATATTCATTTTTCAGTGCTGTATCACCAAATTATTTCCTATCAAATCTCGTTTAAAGAGAAAAAAATTGTTGAAACTTAAATCATTGATCTTAACTCCTCAACGTCATTTTATGTGAATAAAAATGTAACTCCGTGGTACACGCGTTATGCTTTACATGCACGCAAGCTTTCATTAAAATCGGAATTTATGGATATGAGAATTCTTTCGAAATATAGCGTTCAAAGATTTTCATGAGCTACTATACGTCATCTCCCTATGACAATGCTGAGATTCACCAATTTTTGGACTGTCATAGTATCGCATGGACAACGATATAGGAGCGAAATTTATTTCACATACAGAAATTAAATTCAATCGAGTAGCTTGGCACGAAAGTGTAGAAAAGTTCAGAAAACAGAGTTAATCGTTCAAACTTGCAATTTTAACCCTGGCAATTTTTCACGTCTGACTTAACTTCCGACGTAAGTCTGCTGATAAATCTGATAAATGCGAGAGAGATTTGGGAATTGAAACGGAGCGACGTTGCTAATGTGGTGGTTCGTTCAGGTTCAAGTGGAACACGTCGAAATTGCCGAGAGATTTCCAGATCAGTCCTACGTCCGGCTACTGCTCGGCCGGTATGGATGTCAGTTTCGTGGTGAAGTTCCAACCCTCTGAGCAGCGAAGCTTAATTGAGGGTGAGGTGAGTTCACGACCTCCTTTCCCGTCGCGGCGTACAAATATGTCAAACAATCTCTTAATGAGATTCTCAGCACGCGTGTCCCGCCACTCCTCCGCACCCTCGTCGTCGGTTTAACTATCGAGATTACACGAGCTAAGAATTGCACGTCGCCTGGAGTAATTGCAGCCCTGATCGCTGATTACACTGTTCAACGCGAATCCTAATCTGTAATATCAATTGGGTAATTCTTTTAGCCTTTGCTTCCCTCAACACGAATCCGTATTAAAAATTGCTCCATCACTCACGGTTTTCGAAAATTGCATCATTTTTGGCAAAAATGGAGTATTACTCGAAAAATGCATGTTAGGAGGATCATTCTTATCTTAAAAGTTAAATTAGAGTATTCTGAATTTATTAACCCTTTGCACTCGGCGATCCTTTAGTTACAGAAACATAGCAATTCGAAAACTTTCCGCCATAAAGTCGACGATATTTTCAAAACGGTAAATAAGAAGGGAAATTAACAATAAGACGTAGAATATTTTATTTCGACATTCCACGCGTCGATGGGCAATTTTAAATTCGAGATATTAATTAATAACGATCTTTAGATTCAGATTAACTGAGAGTCGCCTCTCGAGTGCAAAGGGTTAATATCCATAATTATAATTATTAGGGTTTTTCAGTAATTTTAACTAATCATCAAAACCTCCTAATGTTCTTATTTTTATTTACTCGCGACAAAAATCGTGCCTTTGTAGAAAAATTCACATTTTTCGAAAACTTTGTGTAATAGAGCAATTTTTAGATTAGGGACGAAGTTAAAATTTGTTGAACAGTGTTATTTTTTAACCCCTCGAGAGTGTATATCATGTGGATATGTAAGTACATATGACATGATCGAAGTCAATTCACAAATATGAATGACACACACGCATATATAGAAATTACTACATTTCTCGTATGCATATCCGAATGTCTGTGTCACGTATGGTCTCGTAAAAGTGTACTGTGTTAGACCTTGAATTGATTCATCATATTAATTGAGTGTCAGTTTGCGTACAGTATGCGACAAAATGATAGAGCATTTTATTATATGATTTTCGGTGTTTCTTGGGCGACTTCAAAATGGTGTATCTTGGTGAAAAAAAATCATGTGGCAATAAATCAAATTTCATTTTAAAGAGGAAGGTTAGTACTATATGATACAGTTAATAAAAATGTTGGAAAAAAATTATTGTCCTTAGAATAATTTTGTAGATATCGTAAAAATCGGTATTCTTTATTTATTCGTTCCATAAGTCTAACATGACTAAATTTGCGAGGAATTTTTCCATTCTCGAGGAATAAAAATATTCCTGACCTGGTCAATTATTTCGTCTCTGATTTTCGCATAATTTCACGGATGAAATTTGTAAAAAGAATCTTTCTTTATTATTAAATATAGAATACGTAAGAAACGCTGAGAATCATACGTTCTACTGCCATTTTGGCTCCTATTGTACATATCTCGTTTAGTTCCACAGTAAATTCAGTCTCCAATAAACTATTCAAGTAGTTACATATTTGCATTGCTTTAGAAAATTGGCGCCACCGAGGAATAGGCTTTCAATAATGAACCGTGATGCTCGAGGGGTTAACGGAGTAGTGGTTACATTTAATCTATCTTTGCAATTAGGATTTGCGAAATGGTCCGGAACGAAGCTCGTCTTTGATTAAAAAGTGCAACGGTGCTCGACGAATTCGCCGTGTTTCGTATATCGTAATGCCCCTTTATACAGGCAACGATAGAAATCGAGAAGCACGAATCGCTGAAGATGAAAATCACCGGAGCCTGCTGCAAGCTTCCGGAACCGATCGAGACGATTCGATTCGAGTGCTTGGTACGAGGAAAGCAGACGAGATCCGTGGTCATTATGAACGACTCGCACCTACCATGGAAGCTGAAGGCCGAAGTAACCGGAAGTCACTTCTCCGTCAACGAAATGTTGCAGGTGCCTCCGCAGCAACTCGCTTCTTGCATAGTCACCTACTCGCCACTTGCCATGAATACCGAGAACACTCTGCATACGGTAACAAACTCATTCTACCAATCCGCGAATATGGAATGCTTGATGAATTAATTAAATATAACGATAAATATTAAAGCAAAATAACCAGTGACGAATTCTAAAACGAAAATGTAATTAGAAAATGTCCCCTTTTATTTTTTAAATAATTTCTGAAATTTAGGAAACACTTGTATTTTTGTATTTTTATTTTTTAAATAATTTCTGAAATTTAGGGAACACTTGTATTTTTGTACTTTTATTTTTTAAATAATTTCTGAAATATAGGGAACACTTGTATTGAAGTCTCAGGATGAGAACTTGCACTTGCTGTATTCCCTCCGTGGCAGAAGCTTGCCTCCAGAAGTTACGGCGAAAATTAGTCGCCGATTCCCCGCGAAAACCAAGTACACCGAACTTTTGCCTGTTCTGAACTGGCTGAACAGTCAACAGCGGTTCCAATGCCAGATCAAATTGCTGCCAGCCAAGAGTGCACAGTCGGAGGTTTGATTTTCATAGCATAGAAAGAGCTACTTTGAAACTCCTCGAGCGTGAATCTCTTATTTCCCTTCCTTCAACGACAGACTCCTCTGTATAGTTTCGTGGGTAACGAGAGATTCGACGTCCCTTCGAACAGTCAGAGAGACTACCGTGCAGTGTTTTATTGCTACGAGAAGTGGAACTTCCATTTTAAGGTAACTTCTCCTGTCACGCTTTGGCATAATTTTGACAAAGGAATCCTGCATTTCATTGGAACTTTTAATTACGTTTCTCGGATACAGGTGACGTTCACGAACGAGGAGGGCGAGTACCAATTCTACGAGATAGAGTACGAAGTATCAGAACCGGAAGTGATGGAGTCCATCAAGCTGACTACCCCCGCGCGGTTTCAAATTTGTCACGCCCTGAAAGTGGAAAACCCTTTGGAACATGGAACGATAACGTTTACAGCGGAGTGTTTTCATCCATTTGTCACCCTCAGCCAAGTGCCAAAAACCGTGAAACCATTGTCGCACGTAAGTAATTGTCAATGCTTCCGTTTCAATCTACCTTTTTAATTCGTTTCCTGTTTCCTATTTTATTTCTCTTGCAATCTTCAAATATTTATCGACTCGTGGAACATTACAGGATTTCATTTATGTGCTGTACCAGCCAACGCTTCCACTGGAAGAATCCGCCATGTTGATGGTTTATGGCGAAAAGTTGGGTCGTTTCCTGTACGAGTTGCGATTGAAAGCTACCCCTGCTCCTCCGCATAAAATTACGCGCGTTAATGCGACTTTGGGAAACAGTCACGCGTTTTCTCTTCCTGTGAACAACCTTACCAAGAGAAACGCTAGATTCCTGATAGAAGTACGCGAGACGTAATGAAAAATGTTCGAGTGTACAGGTGGCTAAATATAGTCTCGACTCATTTATTACTTTTTTAGGTGGATAGCGAGTGTTTCGCGTGTCCGGCAAGTATTTTCGTGAGAGAATCGAGCGAGGGTGTGATCAACGTAATTTACGAGCCGTACGACGTCGAAAATGTCACTGCCATGCTGATAGCATCTTCGGACACCGCTGGGGAATTCGCGTAAGAGTTTAATTCTCGTTCCTACCTGTTCGGAGGAATGATTTGTGGCTTTAAATACGGACGGAAATGAGCCAGGCGATTTTGGAGGTTAATGGCACTTGAAAATGGTACCTGTGTTAAAGGTTTCCATTGGTCGGTTCCTGCACCCCGCCTAAGCCCACAGGTCCTTACGTAATCACTCGAACCTCTTCGGCTATTGTTCGCTTCAAAAACGTCTTCAGGGAAACGAAGACCTTCGGCTTCATGGTGGACGTTCCTGAAACTTTCACGATTGACACGGAATCCGTCGTTTTAGATCCTAAGCAGGTAATCTGTAATTAGACTCGACCCGAATCTTTAATTCGAGAGCCATCGTATCGCTAACAACGTTATCTTAATTTTCAATTTCACCAGAGTATCGGTGTTAAAGTTAGTATTCGAGAGGATGAACAAGACGAAGAGGAGTTCGAAGGGAAGTATCCCGTTACCGGAAAGCTAATGGTGTACTGTACTGACCCCGTTTTCTCTCACATAAATTGGGTGTACTACTTGAGAGCGGTCTTCGAATAAAGCACAAATGAAGTTTTCGTGCTTCTACTGCGGTAGCTGCAGAATTCATCAAAATTCGACGCCACAATCGACAGGAAATAAGCGCTATTACTCTACTGTGCAATGACGCCTTGCAGTATGTCCGAAGGGTTATTGCACAGTAGGTCGGGTAACGGTTCCGAAGGAGCTTTTATAAGGTTACTCCCAACTGAGCTTGCTGAACTCAAATTTCGAATATTGATTAATTAATTCGTAAAAATGAAACTTCATAGAATTAAAATATTATTCTTATTCGAATCGGTCTTCGAATAATACAACATCCACTAGCAATTAAGGAGCTTTTAAAAGGTTACTCCCAACTGAGCTTGCTGAACTCAAATTTCGAATATTGATTAATTTATTTGTAAAAATAAAACTTCATAAAATTAAAATATTATTCCTATTCGAATCGGTCTTCGAATAATACAACATCCACTAGCAATAAAGGAGCTTTTAATAGGTTATTCCCAACTGAGCTTGCTGGACTCAAATTTCGAATATTGATTAATTAATTCGTAAAAATGAAACTTCATAGAATTAAAATATTATTCTTATTCAAATCAGTCTTCGAATAATACAACTAGCAAAATGGGCGACCCTTTTACTTTTATGGGGGGTAGAGGTATGGAGGGAAAGTACAGGATTATTTTATTTCTCTGCAATATAATCAAAAATTTTCTCTTTTTCTTTAATTAATTTGTTATTATATTCACAGTCGATGGATATAATAAAAGTAATTGTACATACGACGGATATCGCGTCGATTCGCCTAACAGGTAAGGAAATTAGCTACCTAGTTCTTATCACCTGCTCGAGCTCTGCTACCCATTGGTCTCCATACCTGTTTCTGAAATGACACTCTCATTTTCTCGGATGATGCGATATCATAGCAATTAATAAATTTGCAATCACGAGAGTGCAATCGTATACCTAACTCAAGGCATTTAATACGCCTTCGAATTTACTCGAATATAATCATCGCTCCCATTTTAATTTCCTAATTTTTATCTCGCATATTGAAAGAATAATGGTGTCCATATATATTGAGAATATAGACAGACCACTCCCCTAACTGTCTCCATTTAATAATATTTTAATACAACCCGGACAATCGTCTCCCCTAAAGTATAGTAAGCTATAGGCTACCAGTCCCATTGTTAAATGCTCACCCTAAGCATACCCTAATTTCGAAATGTCCTGAAATCCTGCGAACCATAATCTCTAAGGTACCTACGCTTTACGCCTGTTTTAATTTCAATTTCCTAATTTTTATCTCGGATATTAAAAGAAAAATGGTGTCCATTTACATTAAGTACATAGACAGACCATTCTCCTAACAGTTTTCATTTAATAATATTTTAATATAACCCGGACAATCGTCTCTCCTATAGTATAGTAAACTATAGGCTATCAGTCCTATTGTTAACTCTTTGCACTCGACGATTTTTTGGCTTAAGAAGAGTAGAAATTCAAAGATTCTCAACTAAAAAACTGACGATACTTTTCTGAGCAGTGAATAAAGAATTGTAGAATTATTTGATTTCGATACCTCGCACACTGTTACGTTACATTAAATTTGATATATTAATTAATATCGATCTTCCAAATTTTATAAAATGGTGACTGAAGCTCACCTCTCGAGTGCAAAGGGTTAAATGCTCACCCTGAGTGCACCCTAATTTCAAAATGTCCTCAAATCCTGCGAACCATAATCTCCAAGGTACCTACGCTTTACGCCTGTTTTAATTTCAATTTCCTAATTTTTATCTCGCATATTAAAAGAAAAATGGTGTCCATTTACATTAAGAATATAGACAGACCAGTCCCCTAACAGTCTTCATTTAATAATATTTTAATACGACCCGAACAATCGTCTCCCCTAAAGTATAGTAAGCTATAGGCTACCAGTCCCATTGTTAAATGCTCACCCTAAGTGCACCCTAATTTCGAAATGTCCTCAAATCCTGCGAATCATAATCCCCAATGTACCTACGCTCTACGCCTGTTTTATTAGCAGGTTCAACGATCCTGAAATAAATTCGAAGGCACGAATGCAATTTCCTTTCGTGTTATACGTAAATTTCTTTATGAATATTTATCAATCAGCATTATCAACGACTCGACTACAAAGTCCCAGAATTATCGCACATTCCTTCCGCTGTTTCTCCTCCCTTTACCCATCGTCCTTCCTCACCCACCGACGTCGTCACACGCCTATGCAAATCCGGTATCTCCGTCGATCTCCATGTACGAGCAAACAGAATAACGCGCGCGCGATCGTCACGTAAGCCTGGCATTGGGTTTTCCTCGGCAGCCATCGAATTTCGACGCGCGTTGGACGCGGCTCGTTCGCCGTCTGAGTCACCAAGGAGAATCGAGTGAACGTTTTGCGGTCTGGTTTCGTAAGAACGAGAGTTCCGTATCAGCTACTCGCTGGTTTCGCTCGATTCTCCAGGCGCTTGACCCAAAGAACTTGAATTCTGCGCAGCGGGCCGGAATCCGCCCCGATCCGCTTCCACGCTCCTCCGTATCTCGCGAAACGCGTCCATTCGCGGATTCACCGATAAGCTTCCATACACACGACGTTTCTATCCTACCGTCTTCTAGCTTATTTGCTTATTTCATCGACGCGTCCAATCTGTACGCAATTCGCATGACGAAAATCGCGAAAATTTATATAACGAGCTTAATCGCTTATTTATCGCGAATATTGCTTATTATAACATTTCTCCTTCTTCCACATAAATTATGCAACTAGTAACTCGTTCCTGAAACGAGAATCTGCTCCTTGTTAACGTGTCCTCGATTTTTCGCGCCTTTTTCGTCCAAGATATTAATTTCTCGAATTTCGCGAAGATCGCAACGTGTGTCACGAGTAAGAGCCGCGTGCGAATCTCGCGAGTGTGAGATCCTCTGCTGACAAGGTTATCGTGTCTCCCAGGATAATTAATTAAGACACGATCGAGATGTCAGAACAGAGATTCGAGAGGAATTTTTATGAGTTCTGGTCAGAGGATGCGTCTCAATCGTTGGCTCCTCGATTCGATCGCGCTCGCGGTCAACGAAGGATAAAACCGATGGCAAAATCGCGAAATTCAAGGTATAGACAGGTGTTTACGCGGCGTGTGATAAACGGGCCGTAAACACGGCTGGAAAGAAAATATTTTTTATATATTTATACTGCGTGATTCAAGGAACGGGATTCCCAGCGCGTATCTAATTGGAAGTCCCATCACGAGATTCTGGAATTCTAACTAGCGGTTCAAGGAGTATGATCGGACAGATGCTTATAGCGAACTGTTTATTAAATCATGCCACTTCCGGTTCGCGTTCGTCGCAGGTCGCCATTAACGTGACGTAGGTGGAAACCTCGGAATGCTCAATGAAAAGTCGATTCTTTTGGAATGGAAGCAGGCATACGGAGAAACAGATTCTATCGCGTGCTGTCATACTTTCAGCCGCGATCTAACTGGCTAATCGCCATTTTTCACTCTGCTTACAGTTACCATGACCATTCGGCAGACGAGTAATCTTCTCGCGAGACTGTTTATCTGTCTAATGTTTGCTTCAATGGCAACGATAAACAACGGATATAGTTTGGTTAATTCGCGGATAAATAAAATTCACGCGAAATTATAGAGTTGGAAGTAAAAGGTTTGACAGATTCTTGAAAATTCGAGGCAAAACCGCAATTATTGCCTGGTTGAGATAAATCACTCTAAGAGGAGCCGTATCTCAGCATTTGCTCGTCAGGCGACAATGAAATTATTCGCGGATAATAACGCGATAGGCGTGATTGCGATTATTAAGAATGAATAATTCATCGGTGATAACTTGTCTCCTGTGTCTTCCGACTTTGGAGATGAAAATTACCGGTTTTCACGATTGGCCCGACAATAGGCGCCTGGTCGTGGTATTTGTCTTGCTCGCGGGGAAAAACGAGCTAAAAATCGCGGCGTTCGATGAAGTATCTGCCAGGAGCAACGTCGTGTGGTTTGAATTACGCGAAATTATAGAGTGGACGAGTCATCTGGAAGGTTTATTTTTCGCCCCTCGGTTCAATAATATCAACCGGTTTCCATTGCTAATTTGCATGCTCGCGAGGACTCGTTCGCCATAGCGAAAGACTGGGTTTACGTCCTCCTTAACACCATCCACGATCGCTATTTATATTTGTTCCGAGTATCGGAGAGATTGCAAACACATAAACTAGTAGCCTGTCCTACTCGCGAGGTCTCCGCGTTTCTTCGAAGCTGGCGAAAAGAATTCGGGATTTATTCCGCTCGAGCCGATTCCACCGATTCCCTGTAAAAGTCAAACTAGAATTCGTTTCCCAGTAAACGCGTAACGGAGTCTAATTTTTGTGTTACTTTTATCAGCACCGATGTGTTGATCACCGTTACATTCCCGATGGGTAATTCGTTAAACCTGACCCTGGGGATACAGGTTTCTCAAGGTTCGAGTGTACCGAGCTCCTTCGCGTCTCGTAAACTCGCGATCGGTGAATAGTGGTGTCGAACGATGACAGAATCGTCGACGTGTCGCCGATAAAACGGAAGCATCGCTCGTTAAGAGCTCGCGAGCGAATAAATCCTAGCAGAGAACAATGAGCCTGCACGAAAGAGGCCAAGTTTTGCAAGCCTATCTCCGGCATTCTTTCGCAAAAGGATCTCGATGTACGATAGCTGACGCCGGCGTGTATTCTTGTCTTTGAAACTAGCGCTTACGTCAATGGCGTTTCGGGTTTTCGAAAGAGTGCAGAGGAGGGAGAGGAAAAGAGAGACGGAGAGACTGGCGGAGAAAAGGGAAGGATCGTCGAGACGAAAATTTGAGACGAAATACAAGATGTCGAGTCAATTCGATTCGAAGAAATTTCGAGTAATAACTCTTTCTCGTTTCGATACAGATTTCCGTCTAAAAGTTCCTTGACCCATTATCCCGATTCATTGGGTCAAGATTACGAGAGACCTCGTGATTATTCTCCCACGCGTGAATATAATACGCGATCATTAGACGATGATATCGTTGGATTTTCCTCTGTAATTTTGCGAAATTCCAGCGTTTATTTCACATCATCTGCGATCACCAGTCTACCGATTTTATTTTATAAATGGCGTTTAGAAGGAGACACGTAGATCTCGATTTACGATTTACAAATATCTCGTAGGCGCCGCGCACGAAGAATATACCGCTATCGGTATTTTCCTGTATGCTAATGCCATTACGTCAACCATCATTTACACGCGCATCGTTTACCTATCATAAAAATCCAATTATCTAATACAGATAAGCCGAAAGAGAAACAAACAAGTCTCGCGGAGCGTCAGAAGATTCTATCGTTCGATGCGACTTTCCAAGTAACTTAATTCCCAGTAGCTCCGATACATTTCCCCATATCGATTCCGATAATCGAATCCTCGGGGTACATATTTCAATCGGACAAGCATCGTTAATGAGATCCTTGTACGAGATCCTTGTTCGACAGCCGGATGTTTGCGCGTGTCCTTTTTCCCAGCTTTTCCACGGTTCCGTTACATTCTCCTGCGTTAGCCGCTCATGGTTATTAATTGCCGCGTTAATCAATCGGCTAGCTTCTTATCGCGAATTATCGACCACCGTTTCGACCAGCCTTCGCGTCCTCTTTGTCCAATCTTGCACCTGTTATACGACGATGACATAACGTCCAAGAATCCCGATGTTCCTGTCTATAAACGACCGATGGTCCGTGCAAACATTCGCCAAGAAACCAAATATAATTATATCCCACAGGCGTCGGATTTAAAAAATTTTTTAAATTTTATACTCGATTTTGCAACCGATCCGATTTTTACTACGTTCGATCGGAAATGCACCCTAACTTCTACTCTTTGCAGGGTTCGATCGTGGACGTTCGATCAACGAAATATTCCAGGATCACAAATTACCCCGAGACCAGAGTGTTCCCATAAAAGATCTAAATAGCCGTTCAACGACCGAATGGAATAAAATCTTGACATTTTATATCCCGGATATAACGTCCTGTTCTGCTACCCGAGTAATACGCTCTGTTCCGAGTACTTTATTACTCACTGGCGACCGCAGCCTGTAAATTACTCTGGTCCTCCACGGTGCTTTCTTCGGTCTACGCCATTACCAGCTAATGTCCCATAAATGAGCGAATTCCCACTGTGGGGTCTGGTTGCGGGAAATCACGATTCGCGATAGGTTATGTCAGGCGGCAGGGATATCCCGACATGAAAAAATGCGAATCGGTTCGGCGAAGCGGGTAGACCTTGACAGTGTCAGCCGCGGCCTGCCAGCGAAAGTTTTGTCCGCTACCTGCGTGATCGCCACTGGTTCGCAGTTCGGTACTACGGTTTCGTCGAAGATCGGGTCAATCACGGACGGATCTGTGGATACTATCGAAAGTGTCTTCGTGGAAAGTCTCGTTTCGCGCCGGGGAAAGGGACAGAACGGCGGAGGGTAACGGTCATCGATGAGTAACGGTCAATTATTGGCCGACGTAAAATCCACCGGTGCCTCGTATATAAGTTGTTGTCTCGTTCAACAGCTTCAGTCGTTCTTCACTCTTCGGCCACAGCGATTACCGATTTGAAGCAGCGACGTGATCGGTTGGTGAATTCGTGAATCTCGTTGGACCTCACCGAGTGCGAGAAAAATGCGTCTCTTCGAGTGTTTTGTGCCTGTGTTGGTACTCCTGTACGTTGGGAGCTGTTCCGCGAACCCTGGTGAGTTCTTCCTTATTTGGACCACGGGCACTTCCGGTCGGGAAACGGACGTGAAGGCGCGGAGAAGAATTATTCGCGATTAACCTCGTTTTCATTGGCATTCGCTAATTTCGTCGCGATTTTCATTTTCGCGCGGTTTTTCTCCAGTACCCCGGTTGGTACTCGACGAATGCAGCTGTTGGTTGTTTTATTAAAACGGAAGCGTCGATTCTGTTTCGTAGGCCTGCTCGTGGAACTAGCGAAGCACCGCAAAGGGAGCCTGCTGGACCCACTGGGCCTGTTCCAAAAGAACCAAGATCCTCAGAGCACCAGTAAGGCGGGATCATTCGGGACCAATCTACAGCTAGGACCGCTTTCCCTTTCGAGCAGTATAGCTACTTCTTCGGCAACGGCCCAAGGCAGTGGGGCAAGCTCCGTTGCTAAGGCGAATTCCCAGGCCATCGGGGGCGCCAATGCAAATGCCGACGCCAGTGCAGCCGCTAATGCTCAAGGTATTTAATACGGAAAGATGTTCTAAACTGTTAACTAATTGTCAAAGCACCCTGAAGATATTAGACTCGAAAATATTCCCCAGCAGCATACTATCCGAAATCCCCGCCCAATTTAATTCGACCGGTGAAATCTACAAAATTCGTAAATTTTTCATACGTCGAGACAATGTGGGAATCGATGAAGGATCCTCAGGAGTAGCCTCGGTGTTTGCTCGATCGCGTATAAAGCCTGAAATTTTCTCTGAACTCAGGTTACGCCGATTCAACATGGCCGAATTATAACTCGAACGACGCTGGAGGTGACTGGGTACCAACGAATAACCAACAGTACGATGGTTCCGGTTCTTGGCCGGTTACGAACGCGAATCACGGTAGCAATACTGGTGCGAACGCCGTTGCAAATGCAAATGCAAACGCGAACGCGAACCTAAATGCATACGGAGGTGTAAACTCGAACGTGAACGCCAACGCGAATTCGAACGCCAATGCCATCTCAGAAACTGGTGCATCACCGACCGGTTACTATTCCCCGGGATACGGTCTAGCAGACACGGCTGCCAACGCGAACTCAAAGTCGCACTATGCGAGACCATTCGCTGACTATCGAGCTCCCGGAAGTCTCGAAATTAATGCAGATGCTGCAGCAAGTGCGGATGCACGAGCGAATTCCGTGATTGGAGGGAGATCCCCGAGCATCTACTATGATCCCGAAGGATCATGGATCGATGCTGGCGCATCTGCGAGTGCTAATGCGAGAGCGAATTCTATCAGAGGCACTAATTCACCGGGTCACTACCGTTCTGCAGCATTCACCCACAACATCGCAGCTGGGAGACCAAACTCGAAGTTCAGCAATGGTCTGGGACCACCTATCAGCTACTATCCACCAGGACACGTCCAACCCACTGGACCTGTCATCGTTCCTCAGAGACAAACTCCTATAACGATAATCGAATCCCCATACCCCATCGACGGAGACATTCAAGTACTTCCCGTACCCATCCAGTCCACTGTATATTCTCATCCCGTGTCCCATAGACGTCCAGAGGTGATCGTTCATCCGATGCCTCCGGTCCAGTCATTCCCACAGTTTCCACCTGGTCGTCCTTCCAGCAACGCTGATACGGTGATACCAGTGGTGATCGTGGAGGATCTACCACCTCACAGGCCGCAACCGCGACCTGGTCACGGTCGAAAGCCTGACACGATCCAGGTGATCGTGATAGAAGAAGAGCCTAACTCGCCGCAGCAAGGCCAAGGTGAGCTGCATCGAACGGAAGCTAGATGGTGTACAGTTGACTTACACCCGATGTTGCATGCATAAGAACACGAGGTTCACGCTGAAGAGGACCGTCGATCGCGATCACCATGCCTCACTGTTCATCTAACTGTTTGTAATTCCGCTGAGAGTGATCGATGGACGATTTGTAAATGTACACGATGATGCATTGCACTGATACGTTTGCAAGGGAATACCTCTGTTGTCTGCAGCCGTGGAGGAATTGTTCTTCTCCGTGTATATACGTTGGATCGATACTAATGCTATCGAGATACTTGTACAGTTTGTGTAACTTATTAATCTAAATTGTCGAAGAGGACGAGGTTTCGTTCCTCTTCCAGCACTGTGTCTTACACTGATTAACATTTAACAAGGGAATCCGTTGATTACTGGAATGACAGTCGCCTTAATGTTTGATTAGTTTAATTACGTGTCATTGGTAGAAGGTTCTAAACCGATCTCTTTACAGCAACGACACGTGTAGTTAGAATAGCTGTAACATATGCACATTCGTGTATCACTTTCGCACTTACTCAATGTGGAGCATTAACTAACTCTCTAACTTTCCCTTTCGATTCATTTCTCTCTTTCTCCAGCAGGTGGACTCTTAGGTCAACCAACGGGCGGCGTCTATCCAATGGGTTACGCAGCAGCCAATGCAAACGCCAATGCAAATGCCATTGCAAACGGCAATGGTCTCGCGAGCGCGAACGCAAATGCCAAGGCGATTGCCAATGCTAACTCCGGTCTCAACGGGAACATGTATCCTGGAGGCCTTGTCCAGGGAACAGGATATTACCCAGGAAGCGCACCAGCGACTGGAATAGGAGCGAACAACCCTTTCCTGACAGGAGGTTCCCAAGGAAACGCTAACGCAGCTGCCAATGCTAATGCAGCTGCCAACGCCAACGCGGGAGCGATTGGCAATGGAAACATGTATCCGATAACGACAGGATCAGCTCCAACATCGGGCTATTATCCAAGTGGTTCGTACGTTCCCCAAGGAAACAATCCTTTCCTGACTGGTGGACCAGTCCAAGGAATAGGAAACGCAGGCGCCAATGCCGGAGCTAATGCTGGAGCCAATGCTGGAGCCAATGCTGGGGCCAATGCAGGGGCCATTGCTGGGGCTAATGCTGGTGCCAATGCTGGTGCAAATGCTGGAGCCAATGCTGGAGCAGCTGGTGCTCCAGGGCAGATCGGAGCGCAGAATCCTTTCCTCAATGGAAACTATGGAGCAACTAGACCTCATGGACTAGGACATTTCGTAACCGGAGGAAACGGAGCAAATACGAACGCTGGAGCGACAAGTGGTGCATCTGGAGCAATGAAGGGCATCCCAACGACGTATCCTGGTCAAGGAAGCGGACCAATAAACTACGGAATGCCTATACCAACGGGACCATCGATACCTGGATCAGGAGCAAACGCAAATGCCAATGCTGGAGCAAACGCAGCTGGAACTAACGGAGTGTACGGCCAGCCGATCAAAGAGACCCCAGTGATCATCCCTGCTACTCCAGTTGGAAATTACGACACTGCGCCATCTGGATCTGGTAACGCATTTGGAAGCCCTGACTCGGGTAGTGCAATTGGAACTTATCCGACCAAAGGTGCTCCTATTTACGGAACAACTGGACCAATGTATGGAAATGGACCCGCTGGTAATGCTGGAGCGAATGCTGGAGCCACTGGTGCTGCCAATGGTGGAGGGTATATCGCTCCAACCATAGGTGCTCCCATTTACGGACCATCTGGACCAACCTTCGGTAGTGGACCCTCTGGTAACGCTGGAGCGAATGCTGGAGCCACTGGTGCTGCCAATGGTGGAGGGTATGTCGCTCCAACCAAAGGTGCACCCATTTATGGAACACCTGGACCAACCTTCGGCAATGGACCCTCTGGTAATGCTGGAGCGAATGCTGGAGCCACTGGTGCTGCCAATGGTGGAGGGTATATCATTCCAACCAAAGGTGCTCCCATTTACGGACCATCTGGACCAACCTTCGGCAGTGGACCCTCTGGTAACGCTGGAGCGAATGCTGGAGCCACTGGTGCTGCCAATGGTGGAGGGTATGTCGCTCCAACCAAAGGTGCACCCATTTATGGAACACCTGGACCAACCTTCGGCAATGGACCCTCTGGTAACGCTGGAGCGAATGCTGGAGCCACTGGTGCTGCCAATGGTGGTGGTTATGTCGCTCCAACCAAAGGTGCACCTATTTACGGAACACCTGGACCAATTTTCGGCAGTGGACCCACTGGTAATGCTGGAGCGAATGCTGGAGCCACAGGTGCTGCCAATGGTGGTGGTTATGTCGCTCCAATCAAAGGTGCACCTATTTATGGAACATCTGGACCAACCTTCGGCAATGGACCCTCTGGTAATGCTGGAGCCAATGCCGGAGCTAATGCTGGAGCGAATGCTGGAGCCACTGGTGCTGCCAATGGTGGAGGGTACGTCGCTCCAACCAAAGGTGCTCCCATTTACGGAACAACTAGACCAAGCTTCGGCAGTGGACCCTCTGGAAATGCTGGAGCGAATGCTCAGAGCAAAGCCGATGCCGGAGCGAACGCTGGAGGCACTTCTCCTGTTTTCGGAACCGCTGGACCTACCTTCGGCAATGGACCCTCTGGTAATGCTGGAGCGACCGCTCTAAGCAAAGCTGACGCCGTGGCGAATGCTGGAAGCAGTGGATCCGGTGGAGCTTCCGCTGGAGCCAGCGCTAAAGCTGACGCCGTTGCGAATGCTGGAAGCAATGGATTCGGTGGAGCTTCCGCTGGAGCCAGCGCTAAAGCTGACGCCGTGGCGAATGCTGGAAGCAATGGATTCGGTGGAGCTTCCGCTGGAGCCAGCGCTAAAGCTGACGCCGTGGCGAATGCCGGAAGCAATGGATTCGGAGGAGCTTCCGCTGGAGCCAACGCTAAAGCTGACGCCAATGCTGGTGCTAATGGTGGTCTCGGTTCATTTGGTCCCTACGGAAAAGGTATGTTTAGCCATTATGAAACACATCTCATTACCCCTATCGATTAAAATTACCTATTCCTTAACCGATACGAACAAATACTGACCCTGATACTTAGTCATAGAGCACCAGAGCTTTCAGCATTTGGTTAGAAAGACCTGTCTTTCAGCTTACATCCTGAAACAAGATCCCTGTTAATCACTTCGTATTATTCTCTTATCCATCATTTGCTATTCCTTTCATAAATTCATCTGCATCCTCGTTCTCCAGTGCATTAAAACCAGCCCTAATCCTAATTAAACGATAACGTCTACCTTTTTCAGACTCAAGAGCCATCTCTAGCGCAATTTCCAATGCATCAGCCAACGGAGGCTCTGCTGGCAGCGGTTCGTCCGCCAACTCGTCCGCCAATTCGTCAGCTGTCGGGTCCGGAAAGGCGATTGCAAACGCGCAAGCATCCAGCAGAGCTTCTTCGTTTGGACTCGGTGGCAGTTCCGCCTCCAGCCACGCTTCCGCTAGTGCCGACACGAGGAGCATGCTGGTCTTCAGCGACTAATCGTCTGGACATTTCGACCTCCTCGTTAATTAAATGACTCCGTTTCTCGGGCCATTTAACCATGGGATTAACCCAGTCCCATGGACCGTGCCATCGTTCTGAAGCTTTCAGGATACTTCTCCGATTCGTGGACACGCGATCCGTGCTCGCTCGCAGCATCTGAAACACGTCAAACCAGAGTCAAAGATGCGTGCATCGATGAATGACGGTAATTAACGCGTTGCACGCTGATGCAACGCGATTACCGTCACGGGATCGTGACACTGTAACCGAAGATGAACGTAAATCGTAATTATTTTGCGGTCGAACCGCGGTTTGTTATGCAACGAGATTTATTGCGCTTCGTCTTCTCCCGGGAAAAATTTTACACGAACGAGATGAATGAAGCTGCGGGTCGGTGTTCATCGAATCGTACGTTTCAAACGGATCTGCTGTCATTTGTGATACTCTTCTTGCCAATACACGAAACACAGGGGGCAACCTCTGTTCGACTCGAAATATCGTAATTTTACGTTCACACTGTATATTCAGCTCGTGTCCACCGATTTGATTGTTTCATCGAAGCGTGTTATCGGTCAGTTTCTAAACTTTTCAGAGTGCCCTCCTTCGTTTCCGTTTTCAATCTTCTCGCAAAAGCGGATAATACTCCACGCGTCGATATACGTTTAGCCTCTCTTTCATTTTGGATTAGGTATCCTGGATGAAACGTTATCCCCGTGACAACGTATAATTAAATACGTCTTACGCGCAGGATATTTTTGCTGCGTGACGAAATATTTGAACTGTAAGTTATTGCAACTCGAACTTCGAGATAACGTTTTGTCCGTCTTACTGTAAACAGCGTCGAACTCACGATGTAGCTTTTAATCGTGGCTATTGATAATAAAAGGAAATGTTTTTTATTAATTTATAAGCAAGACGGCATTGATTTCTTACGAGTTACGTTGAATAAGAGCATAGTTCATTTATCGATCATTTAATCTGGCATGCAATAACACGATGGAGATTGCCTGTCAACGAAATGTAAACAGGTCATGGTCATTTTCGTTTCTCTTCTGCAATCGAAGAGTTTTGTACAAATAGAAAGTCTGCTCGAAGATCGAACATTTTTTATTTCGAATACACTATATATTTTATAACATTGAGACGAGAAAACAGGAGTACCATGCGAGCCTTGAAATTCACTCCCAATTAAATTTCAAAATTAAATACGAATTTGAGCTAGGAAATTTTTTCATTTCAATTCGAATCTGAATGCGAACATTCGAACGTTCGAATTTATGTAAATTTCAAATTATAAATCGAAGATCGAATCAATATTTATTCGAGATGAAATCTATCGTGATGTTAAAAAGATATTTAAATTTCAGATTTGACATCTGGTTAAAATTAAATTCGGAAATTTATGTTTAATTTTCGCCGGAGAGACTGTTTTGTATGAAAACAAGGCAAGAACGAAGGGCAGGTATCAGGATGTACAGCGAGACTTGCCTTCTCTCATTAATATCCGAGTACGCGAAGTTACCCTTATCGATTGAAATTACCTATTCCTTAACCTATACGAACAAATACTGACCCTGATACTTAGTCATAGAGCACCAGGGCTTTCAGCATTTGGTTAGAAAGACCTGTCTTTCAGCTTACATCCTGAAACAAGATCCCTGTTAATCACTTCGTATTATTCTCTTATCCATCATTTGCTATTCCTTTCATAAATTCATCTGCATCCTCGTTCTCCAGTGCATTAAAACCAGCCCTAATCCTAATTAAACGATAACGTCTACCTTTTTCAGACTCAAGAGCCATCTCTAGCGCAATTTCCAATGCATCAGCCAACGGAGGCTCTGCTGGCAGCGGTTCGTCCGCCAACTCGTCCGCCAATTCGTCAGCTGTCGGGTCCGGAAAGGCGATTGCAAACGCGCAAGCATCCAGCAGAGCTTCTTCGTTTGGACTCGGTGGCAGTTCCGCCTCCAGCCACGCTTCCGCTAGTGCCGACACGAGGAGCATGCTGGTCTTCAGCGACTAATCGTCTGGACATTTCGACCTCCTCGTTAATTAAATGACTCCGTTTCTCGGGCCATTTAACCATGGGATTAACCCAGTCCCATGGACCGTGCCATCGTTCTGAAGCTTTCAGGATACTTCTCCGATTCGTGGACACGCGATCCGTGCTCGCTCGCAGCATCTGAAACACGTCAAACCAGAGTCAAAGATGCGTGCATCGATGAATGACGGTAATTAACGCGTTGCACGCTGATGCAACGCGATTACCGTCACGGGATCGTGACACTGTAACCGAAGATGAACGTAAATCGTAATTATTTTGCGGTCGAACCGCGGTTTGTTATGCAACGAGATTTATTGCGCTTCGTCTTCTCCCGGGAAAAATTTTACACGAACGAGATGAATGAAGCTGCGGGTCGGTGTTCATCGAATCGTACGTTTCAAACGGATCTGCTGTCATTTGTGATACTCTTCTTGCCAATACACGAAACACAGGGGGCAACCTCTGTTCGACTCGAAATATCGTAATTTTACGTTCACACTGTATATTCAGCTCGTGTCCACCGATTTGATTGTTTCATCGAAGCGTGTTATCGGTCAGTTTCTAAACTTTTCAGAGTGCCCTCCTTCGTTTCCGTTTTCAATCTTCTCGCAAAAGCGGATAATACTCCACGCGTCGATATACGTTTAGCCTCTCTTTCATTTTGGATTAGGTATCCTGGATGAAACGTTATCCCCGTGACAACGTATAATTAAATACGTCTTACGCGCAGGATATTTTTGCTGCGTGACGAAATATTTGAACTGTAAGTTATTGCAACTCGAACTTCGAGATAACGTTTTGTCCGTCTTACTGTAAACAGCGTCGAACTCACGATGTAGCTTTTAATCGTGGCTATTGATAATAAAAGGAAATGTTTTTTATTAATTTATAAGCAAGACGGCATTGATTTCTTACGAGTTACGTTGAATAAGAGCATAGTTCATTTATCGATCATTTAATCTGGCATGCAATAACACGATGGAGATTGCCTGTCAACGAAATGTAAACAGGTCATGGTCATTTTCGTTTCTCTTCTGCAATCGAAGAGTTTTGTACAAATAGAAAGTCTGCTCGAAGATCGAACATTTTTTATTTCGAATACACTATATATTTTATAACATTGAGACGAGAAAACAGGAGTACCATGCGAGCCTTGAAATTCACTCCCAATTAAATTTCAAAATTAAATACGAATTTGAGCTAGGAAATTTTTTCATTTCAATTCGAATCTGAATGCGAACATTCGAACGTTCGAATTTATGTAAATTTCAAATTATAAATCGAAGATCGAATCAATATTTATTCGAGATGAAATCTATCGTGATGTTAAAAAGATATTTAAATTTCAGATTTGACATCTGGTTAAAATTAAATTCGGAAATTTATGTTTAATTTTCGCCGGAGAGACTGTTTTGTATGAAAACAAGGCAAGAACGAAGGGCAGGTATCAGGATGTACAGCGAGACTTGCCTTCTCTCATTAATATCCGAGTACGCGAATTCTCGTAATTCACGCGTAATTACAGACAATCGCTATTGCATCGGGTATCATTTGTTTTGCGTCTTCGCGGAGTTTCCATTTATTATCATGCCTTATCATACGACTGCGAACAACCAGTCCTCCTCCTATGCTTCGCTCTCTTATGCAATGCACGTACTACTGCGTTCTGTAAGCTGCAACAAAACTCAATAAACTTTACGACTGTTCCATTTTTTCAATCAATTCGCGTCTTTCTCGTTGACCTTGCCTCATTGCGATACTATTGTATATCCACTAATATACATATGATCTTGTACATGTCAGTGATATTGGGTATAAAAGTGTCAATGGGTATAAAAAGAATTTTTTTTTAATTTTGAAATATGTCGCAAATTGGAACATATAATATTTTATTGGAATATAAAAGCGTATGTATAGTGACTCCATAACGAGATTTGAAATTGACAGAACCTGTAGCTTTTCTCCTATATTTGACACATTTTCTTACTCTTCATGAAGGTAGTTAATCGATGAACCTCTATGAATTTGAAGAAAAATTGGAAATTATTAGAATGAGGCTACTTTGAAGTAAAAAAGATCCACGTTTTCCCAAAAATTTTACCTTCGTTTACGTATAAGAAGGTTCTTTAAATTATTTATTTTCTTTAATTTTTAGGTTCATCGACTAGTGCATATATATCATAGTATATGTACATAAAATTTCGAGTGAATTGGTAGCCTAGTTTTTGAAATATCTTTCCCGCCAATTCGGCAAAACGCGTTTAAAGTATACGAAGAAGCAGCACACGCATATACTTGCATGCGATAATTATGCTGTGGAAACCATAATATTTCGAAAAATGCATTGAAAATTTAGGAATATATTCTAGAAATATTAAGCTACTGATTAAAATAACAAGAAGAAGAAGAAGAAATATTTTTCTTCGGTCTACCCAAGATTCTCCCTTAGAGATCAGGGTCTACTTTTACCTAGATTATCTTCGATCCTTGTCATTTTGTAATCCCCAAAATTTCCATCGCCTTTAGAACCTTGGACTTCTACTTTTTCGCGACGCTAAGCTGTTTGTAATGCTTTCATTTTTCGTGTGAGAGCTGTACTCTTACCAGCTGTAAGAATAAGCGAGCTCGGATTACCGATAAAGTGGTATGAGCGAATAAAATAACAGGTAGCAGTGATAACCAGAGTCTCAAACGATTCACTAGATCCGCGGATAGACAAAGAAGGCCCTCTTTAAAAAGACCAAATTGAGAAGCAATCGAGGACAGCTTTATACGAGACCAGAGAATACCGTAGAAGAGTAAAGTACGACCAGTTATCGAGATTTGGAATTATTTAACCCAGCCATCTCTTCTCCTCCCCTTACACAGTCAAGAGGAATATTTCTACGGGTTTTCCCGAATTATCGCCGTAAACGAAAAGTTTCTTAAGGGACCGCTTTGTTCCATTATTCTCAGCTCGGTCGCAGGTTTTAGTGCCGCTTCCTGGAAATTCCAAACAGGGTACCGGGGGTTGCGGCCAGGTCAGAGGACCACCGTTACGCGGTCAAAACCTTTCGTTTCTTGAAAATACCTCGATAACGGCGAACAACCCCTATATAAGGGAAGCCTCGAAATTCCGATGCATCCAGTACTGCGATAGATCCTCGACAAGAATGAAGTCGCTCGTCTTTCTGCTAATCCTCGTTGCCATTTCGATGGAGACCTGTCTTTCCTCGGAGAGAAAAGCATCTGCGATGGAAGGCAAGAATTTTTGTGATCGTGACTCGTTGAAATTAAATAAAAATTATAATAAGTATAAACTATAAAATTGTTAAGCTTGATTACTTCCAGAAAATAAGGGCATACCTGAGACTGCGAGGACTGTGGACCAACAGCAAACAGGCGAAAAGAACATCTTCTATTGGTATAACAATGGGAAGAAATATAGGTAAATTTTCTTTTCTTCAAATTTTTCCTTTGTAAACGATATTCCGTGGATATTCTCCGTTCCAATACTCGCTCTCGGCGAATCATTTACAGGTTGAACTTCGAAAAGCCATTCTACAACGTCACCGTTCCAGAGATATCAACAATGTATCAGTCTCCGACGCTCATCCGTCGTCTATACGCAAACAGGCTCAAGAACACGAAGCCTAAATCTAGCACCCCGAACAATTGCATCAGCAATTCTTTCAATTGGTGTAAACTCATACCAGTGTCTTTGGACGTATAATATTTTCATATAGACAATCCATGTCATATTCTCTACTTATAAGATACTATTTTCTACTTATAATTACAATTTGTTACTGGCGAAGCTATTCATCGATTAAGTAATTGGTAAATATTGGTAATCGAACGTAGGATAAGAATTATAATCGATAGGTATACTGCGTACAAGGGCAATGGAAAGTCTGCTATGAAAACGATTGGAGAGGTACAAGGCTGAAATTAAAGTAAGACTGATTATAACCGTCTTAACCCCTGTGAATCGATGTAAATCAATTCGAGGCTTGAAATATACCTAATTTCTCAACACACTCGTGACTCTGTCTTCACTGTCTTCCCAATTTTCCTCCATTCGCCTCGCGGCTATTATAATCTATTAGTTTTCCCATAAGTCTATAGAAGCTGTGCCGTGTCAGTGAAAATAACGCTATTCTACGAAAGAAACGTCAAAGAGTAAATGGGACCTTGAGCAAGTCAACCGATTAATTATCTAAGCGACAGATTTAGCGTCGAAAATTCCCAAAGAACGCTGAATAAAACATGACCCTAGGAAAGCACCGACTTGCGCCGTTCGCTCTTTCAATATCACGTACCAGACTCACGAATCCTCCTCTGTCTCTCTCTCTCTCTCTCTCTCCTCGGCTAGTTTGTTTTTTTCATTTCTTCCACCACGTAATTCCCCGGCGCGTCTAGGCTAGGCTGATTAGCGTCCTTAGCCGCGGCTGACACTTTCTTGCGGTCCACTTTCGTTCGTCCCTGGACCGTAAGGTCGTCCACTCGTCAGAAATCAATGACGAATACGCCTGTGATCTCCGGAAATTACGGAACTGCGGGTGTCTTCCTCGGATTTCAGAGGCGACTGGTGCCAAGTATAAAAGCAACGTGCTCGGGCCACTTCCGACGATAATCATTCGGTACTCATCGCGATAGTTAGCTGGTCGCACCTGGTCGAGATGACGCGTGTCCTGTCGTTACTCGTGTTCTGCGTGCTGGTATGGCAGACTTGTCACGCCAAGCCAACGAAAGTGCTACAGAATCCACGATCCTTGAGCCCGGTGCAGGACCAGCAAGCGACATCAGTGGTTGCTGGTCAGTTACTTATTTTCAAATAAAAGCGTTTCTTCTTGCAACAAGACTCGCGGACTCGATGCCATGATACACGAGAGATCATGTGGCTTGGTTCTATCATAGATAACGAAAGAGAGCAACGATCACCGGAGTATGGGTTCTTCAACGACGATTATTCGGATCCTGAAGCGGACGTAGCTGACGAGCGACGCTTCAAGCATCACAAGCATCATCACAGACCTGGAGGATGCAGCGAGTACCCTTGCGGAGGATATCCAGGGTTCGTGTAAAATTCGTGTTAATTGTTGGCACACGTATATCGTGGTTTCGTACTAGACGCATTTTTTCGTGTCTGTTACCTCAGGTATGCACCACCCGGAGCCTATCCGCCATCCGGAGGCTATCCACCATCCGGAGGGTATCCGCAAGGAGGATCATCGGGATCCTTCGCCACAGCATCCGCAGGATCCTTCGCGAATGGCAGACCCTCGGAAGGACAAAGCCACGCGAATGCACAGAGCGCCAGCTTCAACTTTGGACCGTACTCGGCATCCTTCAGCGTCGCTGAATCTTCCTCTGGCGGCCAAAGGTTCTAACAATTCAAAGGTAATTGTTTGTCTTCCTCCTGCAGTTGTACTTAGCACATCCGCGCAACCATTCACGCGTTTGCAGCCGTAATTATTAAACGAGGATAATTCCTCGGGGTTTACGTTTCTTATTTGAAATTTGCTCGATTTTCCCAGTATCTTGTCCCCTTGTCGGACTTTTTTTAAACAGAAATGGTTGGGATCGTTTGAGAATTTGACACGTCTTTTAGTTACGTTCGAAAATAATTTATATTTCGTCCTGAGGTAGGATTTTCATCGTAGGATCCTATTTTTGTCGAAGATTCTTTTTATTAGATTAAGTTTGATCCCACGTCCATCTGAATTTCGCGTGTTATTGTTTTTCTGTCACAGGATTCTATTTTCCTCGAAGATTCTTTAAAAACAGATTACAATTTCACGAACATATTTGGTTAGTTCAAAGTCTGAATGATTTCATTAATTCTTTGGTTATTTTGAGAGCTAGCGTGTCTTTTGTTTCAACTTCGAACGTTTATGTCAATCTTAATTTCCTTTCTTACTACTTCACCTCCACAGCAATCTATGTTTCCAAAGTTTCGTCCAAGAGAGAAACGATTATGATCGTTCGAATATATCTATATATCACTTGGACCCGTATCAGTTTCAGTTTCTTTTCGATGCGTCTTTAAAACACAGTACGTAGCCATTAAAATTCATTTCTTGGCAACCTCAAAAAGTAGCTTAAATCGAGGTTAATATCGGCTCGTATCACAACTTTGGGCAATATATTTAACCCATTCAACATATCTAAACATCCAAATTGCTCCAAAAGTTAACTTCAAACCAACAATTTCTATCTCTGCTGAGATTTTACCACCATCGATTCGTCACCATCGATTTCCATCTTTGCTGAGATTTTACCACCATCGATTCGTCACCATCGATTTCAATCTTTGCTGAGATTTTACAAAGAATCGTCCGATTCTTCGCCTCGCTTCCACAGTATCCTTCAAAAATAAATAAAACAAGTCAATACGTAGCTATTTAAATTTATTCCTTGGGAATTTTAAAAAATTAGCCAGTCTTCGAATTTAACTCTTTGCACTCGAGAGGCGTTTTCCAGTCGCCATTTGACAAAATTTCGAAGCTCGATATTAATTAATATATCAAATTTAAAATAACGTAACAGTGTGCGAGGTATCAAAATTAAGTAATTCTACGTGTTGGTTATCATACGATTTCTTATTTACTGCTCAAAAAATACCATCAGCCTTATAGCAGAAAATTTTTCAACTCGTAACCTTCTTTATCCTTAATCTATGACCGAACGTATAATCCATGCATACTTACTCTCGAATTGACCATCGCACAGTGTGACAATCGATTAAGAAACTCTATCAACATACCTAGACGTCCATATTGATTTTCGACTTGCTCCAAAAGCTACATCGTCCATCTTTCTAATTTCGAACCAACGTCATCATCGATTCCACTCCTATCAGCTTCGTCGTCGCATCAAGCATTCCTTTATCCTTAATCTATGACCAAACGTATAATCCGCGCATGCTTACTCTCGAATTGACCATCGCACAGTGTGACAATCGATTAAGAAAGTCTTTCAACATACCTAGACGTCCATATTGATTTTCGACTTGCTCCAAAAGCTACATCGTCCATCTTTCTAATTTCCAAGCAACGTCATCATCGATTCCACTCCTATCAGCTTCGTCGTCGCATCAAGCACTCCTTTATCCTTAATTTATGACCAAACGTATAATTCATGCACGCTTACTCTCGAATTGATCATCGCACAGTGTGACAATCGATTAACCGTTTGAGTGCCAAGCGGCGCGATCGCGCTTCTTCTATTTTGTGTCCAAAAGTGCCAGCGCTCTGAGCTGCGAAGCTGACAATCAGCGCGCTCGGTTGGTGAACGCGGAATATGAGAAGCGCTATCGCGCCGCTCGGCATTTTTGGACACGGAATATGACAAGCGCTATCGCGCCGCTTGGCAAATATCGATTGGGAAACAATAATGACCCGTGGCACTCAAACGGTTAAGAAAGTCTTTCAACATACCTAGACGATGAAATTCATTTTGCACTTGCTCCAAAAGCTACGTCGTCCATCACTTCAACTTCGAAGCAACGTCACCATCGATTCGTCGTCGCAATCTTTCGATTCACCGCCAACCATCCGCTTATCTCCGCGTGGAAACGCTCGAGGCTGGTACACGTTTGTCGTTGCGTGGCATACGCTAAATCTCGCGCATCGGGACCATCTTTTTCTCGGTGCCTCCGACGCGGAACACGTGTAACGAGCACGCCGGTGGACACGCTCCGTGCCGTGTCCCATAACCGAGAATATTAATTGACTTCGCGCGCGGTCGCGCGCGCGTGACCGCGGCACGCGCGTCGCAACCCAACGAGCGTCGTCGCCCACGGCACACCAGCCGAGACGAATCAGTTTGACGTGAATCGGTTCTTCCTGTAATTCCTTCAGGCGCAGATGCCACGGCGTACGCTTCTGTTTACGAGCCTGGAATCCTCGCCGTCGACTAATCGCCAGTCCCTCCTATTCTCTCCTCCGATCGCGTGCCAAATACACCTGATCACGAGCCGATGCCTATCGTAGAGATTCCGGGAAACGCGATTCGCGCGAACGTGAGTCAATTGGTAGCTCCGGAGAGATAAATCGCGGTACCATTCCCGTGAGACGAAAGAAATTACGTTCCCGACTTGAATGTTGAGTACGGTTAGCTGGAAACGCTTCTGGGAACATTGGTGGGGAGGTTCCTGGATAGTTGTTAGCGTCTCGGATGATAAACTCGGGGCACGCGGGATATAAAAGGAAACGTTTGTGCTCCCTGTCGGGAAGGGGCACGGTCGGAGGTTCTGTATCTCCGAGTTTTTACTTCCGCGAGAGATCGCTGCCTTCCACCTGGCAGGCTAGCGAACCGCCTGCGGATAGCACAGGCCGAGAGAGCGAGGAAGCGGAGGATGTCCCGTTGCAGAAGGTTCTCGCTGCTCGGGGTCGCGATTATGACTCGCGAGGAGCGATAGGAAGTCGCGAAACGTGGAAACACACGCGACACGCGTTCCATTGGTCGGAAGGATCTCGAGGTTCTTCGGTTCCCCTCGAGAACTGGTCGTAAATTCACGCGTGTCGGGTTAACGAACTTCGTCCATTAGAGATTTACACGATTTTACCCGACAGACTCCTCTCCGTCCGCGCGAACGCGCGTATACACCGATTTCCTGTCGAGAGGAGTGGAGATCGCGTTCCTGGAGCCTCCTGGAAGCTTCGGGATTCCGGTGATATTGGCGCGAAAATTTGCTCGCGCGTGTTGGAAAGAAGAGGCGAAAAGAGGCTTCTCGAACGGGAGGAATAGAAATAAAAGATGGCGGGTGCAAGGTACGAGGAGGTGCTTTCTCTTGAAGATTCCTCGATCGTTCACCCGGCGTGGAAAAAGAGGAGAAGAAAGAAAGCAAGGGCCAGGTTCGCGATGCAACGTTCGAAAGGGACGTGCGGGCAAAGAGAAGGCGACTCAGCTCCCTCGAGAGCGGCGAGAGGAAGAGTTCACGAGTCGAAGGTTAACGAACTCGCGCGAATTAAAAGGAGGAAAGGAAGCCTGACGTAATCGCGACGACGCGTAGTCTTTTCACCTCTGCGGTGCCAGCGCGAGCGAACAAACGATCCCGAAGGAGAGAAGCAAACGAGAACGCGAGTGGAACATCTGTCCAGCCTCGGGGTCCAGTTGGAGAAGATGCAACAATCATTTCGTATCGTGAGTGTCACTTTTGTCGTGACTGCCTTCGAGGCGTTTCCTTTTCTCTCCTACTGCCGCCGGCTCGCTTCGTCTAACTGGCCGGGCCCCGGCTCGACAAAAGCAGGCTTGCCTACGCGTTGATTATTCAAATGTGTGTGGGACCTGTGCGAAAAGGAACGTCGTAAAACGCGCGGCGCTGGCTGCATTGTCCCATTGAGCCGCAGCTCCTTTTGGTACGTGTGAAAAAGAATGGACAAAGGGAAAATGAATCTTCTTGGTTCTCAGGCGATCGGCAGACGGCCAGACAGACGGATTAACTCGTTTTAAAGGGATCCAAGGGACGCCATGTTGCCGGCCGCTGCGTCCACAGGCGTACTGCCCTGGCGAACCGGTCTGTTTTCGTTCCGAAACGCGCCTACACTCGCGAGCTTCGTTTTAAATCCGCTCCGACTCCGGCTCCGGCTCCGTGCGTTTAAGCAGATGTAAACAGGAGGGGGAAGCGGTCTCGGAGTTGCCACGATGGATGCATAGATCTCGAAGAATGCTTCTTCCATCGAACAGTCGCGGCACAAAGATCCCGGGATCCATTGGAACCACCTGTAGCCGCTCTCCTCTCGAACAGTCGCTTCGACGAATCGCCAATGCTAGCTTGTCCCTCGCTGTCTCGACTCGGTGCCGTTGAAAAAGGTAAATTACACGGCGCCACTGTTTGGTAAACTCGAACGAATTACCTACGAGATGCAAATAAACGAGCGTCGAACGAAACGAATCGTGGTAACGAGGATTGATTACACGGCTGACAAGCGCGTTATGAATTGTTAAAATCGTATCAATCACGTGGACACGTACATTATCATCGGCGCTCCTGCCAGGCCAATAAATCCTGGTATGTAAATCGCCTCTCGGGCTCCCTTTCAAGGGTCATTCTGCAAGGGTTAAAGGTCACGAGTTGCCGTACCCGCACGCTCGTTCGCGCGTACGCTGCATCCAGACGAGCGAACGCGCCTCGCGAAAGTCCTGTTACTCCGAGTTGCAGACGAAATCTCCGTCTCTAGATAGATCCATCGACGTACAAACGTGTACGAATATCGAAAATTTTTCAAGAAGAATACGTTCAACGGGATTTTCCCGCTTTCCGCAGGTACTCGAGACCCACCCCCCATGGACGGATCAGGCCGCAACCTAATCCGCTATGCCGATCGGGGATCTACGGCCGCTTCCAGGCCATTGTTTACAAACATTCTACGTCACTAGGTATAAGTAAATAGAGGCGACCAGCCGCACGAAAAGGGACGAACCACCCTCCGTCCCTGGAGATTTCCTGAGGGCCAGGTTCCCTTTGTCCGAGCGCCAGATGTTCCCGCGAATAAAACCGATAAAATATCGCGAAGCGGCCTCGTCGGCGGCGTGGCGAGGCAGAGGGACGAGGACAGTCGGTGCAAGGAAGCGGAGGAACTGCGGGACGGAGGGTCGAGGATTAAACAGCACAAAGGGAGGCGAAAAAAGAGGAAGAGGGCCCTCGTGAAAAAGCGAACACCGAAAATCGGGATACGTAGGGAGGCGTGCAATGACCGGGACCGATCCGTGCACACGCGCGCGAGCGAGCGAGCGGAGCGCGCGCACACGTGATCTTCGGCGGACACGCTATCTATCCGCCTGGAACTTTCTCCGCCGAAAGCCTGTTTCGTTGAAAATAAAAAGCCCAGGAGAACGATCAGAAGCGAACGTGGTTTCTCGTTCCCTTTTTTCCCTTTTCTTTTATTCTCTTTCTCTTGTCTTCCTTTCTCTCCTTCGACGCCCCTGATTTTACTCGCTCGCAGGTGGTTCGGGAGGAGAGACCGGTGGAGTCTCGGCAATCTTTGCAGTCGTATCCTTGGCCGTTGGGTCCCGTTTCGACGTTGCTTCGATGCCTCTTCGGCGACGTCGCGACGTCACCCGGATGGCCCTTTTCCGTCCTCCGTTGGGGCCTCGTGGGATAATCCGCTGCGCGGATATTATTCGTCAACGGGAAGAAAACTATCGCGCAGAGGCTCACCGACAGGCAGTTATATATCCCCGTCGGTTAGCTCTATAAAAAGCCGCGGGCAATAAAACATCCGTACTCGTTCATTTGGAATTCGCGTAGCGAATCTCGCTGCTTTTATTCTGGGAACTCGTAACCGCTCGCGATTGGCTCGTAATACCCGACGCAACGCAGCCTCCTTTGCCTCGCGATCTCTCGATCGCTCTCGAGAACGTTCTTTCCGAACACGCGACTCCTCGTGCCTTCTCCCTCGCATCAAAATTCTTCCCTCTCGCCACTCGTTTCTCTCATTCGCCGAACAAAGGAGCTCGGGATGAGCCGTTCTCTTTGCCGAATCACCCTGTGCCGCGAGACCATGCCAATCGATGATCCCTGGAAACCGGGACAGGGTCCAGTCTAATCAAACGCACGCGTGTTCCCTAGACTCCCTAGAAGTCTCCAATTTAACCAATCAATAGGGAATCCTGGAGGTCCCCGCTTAAGGCCCAGACTGCTAGCTAGCGAGCGAGCGGAATGACGCGGTCCGAAGCGCGACAGAGGCTGGAGAGAAGCGTGTTGCACGGTAGCCGAAAGCAGAGAGGTTCGTGACACCGTGGACGCATTAAAGGGGCTCGTTAAAGGTCCGTCTCTCTGGTCGTTAAGCATTGTTTAGCCGCTGCTGGACACGCAGAGGCCCGTTCCTGGGGCCAGTCCACCCGGCCGATCGGACGAGAAGGCCGGGCCCTCGCGAGAGCGAGACGGACGCGCGAAAAAGGGGGGAAAAAATGAAATAGAAAGTGGTCTGTCCGGTGCATACGGTGTACAGTGCGTGAACGGGCCGCGAGGCGCCTCCTTCTGGACCCTTACCCCCGGCCTGTTCCTGTTCGCCACGCACTATAGCGAATTCGCGATGCTCTCTTCAAGCCTTCCGCGGCATTGTGCTCGCATTTCTCGTGCGGTTGTCGGCTCGGAAAGTATCTTCTGGCTTAAGCTGTCGGTAAGTCGGCTGAGAAGTTCGCGTGCAATTCTTCCTGCTCTCTCGTCTACTCTGGTTGCCATCCAATCGGCAGATCGTAAAGAAATCGCGACGGTACTCGAGTTTCTTTCGTGACGTTTCACTTTTTCCAATCTTTTTCGGACACTTTTCGGGGTCTCCTTCGCTTCGCAGGGAGGGAGTTCGGGTCTCCACTGGGCCCGTTCTCGTGAGGTCGAATCTTTCGGCATGATAGAGGTATCGCTGGCACGATTAATGGTTTGGTCAGGTAACGTCGAGGCTCGGGCTCTTGCGAAAGAGAATGTGTGTCGGTCGGTGAGAGAATGCCAGGTGACGTTTCGTACGTCACTAGTGACGCGCGATAGGTAACTCGAGGTTCGCAACGCGAGCATTATCGAGCAACCTTGTTTCCTCGGCGATTCGTGTGCTCGTTGTTTCCTTTTCGTCTGTGATCGAGTGAGGATTCGCAACGCGTCGACGAGTTAGAAGTGGCAAAGATCGCACTCGTACCTCTAGAGTCAATTTTTCGCGAGGATCTCTCGGGTCGAATCGTCCTCTGTATCGTTCTATTTTCTCAGGGTTAAACAACGTTTCGGACCTCGCCAAAAACTCCAGCAAACTATCGAATTCGGCAAAATGACAAATTTCCTCTCTCTCCTGGTCATCACTCTGGCTTGCGTAATTGTCCATGCCCAACAAACATCTGAACAGAAACGTAAGTAGAGCTTGTCTGTGGAAAGTAGTCGATCGACTATGTGTCTGTACGCCGAGGTTAACTCTTCGCCATCGATGACTAAGTTTCTATTCCTTTCTAGAAGCGTACGTCGACACTGTGCACTGTCACGGTTGCACGTGTAACTGTGATCGTTTCTCCATTCCGCGTACAGTACAGTCGATCGTCTGAATATTCGATTTTCGTGTCCACGAATGTTTCATTTTTATTCTGTTAATTTTGTTCCGTTCATTTTCACTCTGTTCGCACGCTCAGCTGTTTTCGGACAAACGTTCGACGAAATCGTGGTCTCGTCGGATCTGAACGTGAGAAGAAAGTCCAAGGAAAGCCGTCAGGGTAAAAGACTGACGAACATACCATCGGGGACCACCGGCCCACCTGAAAAATCCACCGCAATCGCGTCCAGGCTCGTTTCCAATGACGGTAGTCGAATTACACCGGTGAAAACTCAAACGAAACGCGAAATTTCAAACTTGCAAAAGAGGTAAGCTACCTAAATTCGACTTACGAGGCAATTCGATCGTCGATCACTAAGGTGTCGTCTCGATCCTAGGTACCTGGACATGGGCGTCGCGGGATACTTGCTGAAATCTCGGAAACGATGAAATTTCTATTCCGAGGACAACCGCACGATCCTCACACACCCATTCCGACCATACTTTTCGGACCCCTTTCGGACCATGGTTCATGTAACAAAAAGGATAATAAAAATTTTCTGTGCCACAGCAACCCCGGTTGTCGATGTTATTATCCCCACTCTACCGTCTCCACCTGCGTCAAAAATAATTCATTTTCCTCTCCAAGCACCGTTCAAATCCTGTCAATAGGAAGACCTAAGATAGATAGACTATAGATCCAAGTTGGTCAGGGATCGCAAGTTTCTTCGAATCTTTTCGAAAAGTCTGCGCGAATTTCGAGCGATCGATTCTCAAAAGTTTCGAGCTGGCGGCAAAACGCGGTCAATTGCGAGTAACGTACTCTCGATCGGGCGGATCTCGGCGCAAAGCGAAAGTCAGGCGAAAAGACGGTTTCCTTGACGCCCGGCTGAAAGGTGGCGTGCGGTGCCGTTTAAACTTTCAAATCGACGCGTCGTTTCGAATGCACCCTACCACGCGATTCCACGTTCACAATACGTCCGCCGCGACGGTGCGGCGTATTGTCAAGCATTCCGTGTCCGTCCCGCGAGCTGGAAAAATCGGCTGGGACTGAAATATGGCAGGCCGTGCTCAAAAGGCAGCCGCCATCGCGATCTTCATGCAATGATGCACCGCGCAGATCTACCGCGCCGCGAGTCACGTGACGCGGCCCGCGGCACGTGACACGCACGTCCAAAACCTTTAGGGGCTCTGCATCGGCTCTCCTCTTTATTCTCCTCTCTCTCTCTCTCTCCCTTCGTCTTCCTCGTCCACTCCTCGCGTTTTCTCCGAGCTTATTCCAGCGAAATGCTCTCCACTCTCACGGCTCTTTGTTTGAACCCTCAACCCTATATCGTCGTGTCGCTGAACTCGCGCGGGAAGATGGCTCGTGCTTCCGTCTCGAACCACCCGAAATTGGCCCGGTTTATTTCGTTTACACGGATTCGCGAATACCCGCGGGTTTTTATATCGGCGAGGAAGGATTTTCGCCGTTTCAAAGAGATCGCGAGGAATCGCTTAGATCTCGCTTGACGCCAAAATGGAACGGAGGTCCGCTTGGTAGGCGAGAGACAAGCCGAGCGGAGTCGTCGGGCAGGCGATTTTATTCATGCAGGGGAAGAAATCTCGTATTCCGCGCGTTATACACGCCTAGCACTATATATTTTATGGTGAATCCGTGGCCGGACTCGTAGCCACGCTGACGTAACTAAGTGTTCGTCATACTTTTCATTTGACGTTGTTGCTGTTATCAATGTCCTGCGAGACGTTGATTTAGGGCCACGAGTTCAAACGATCGGCTGGCTGGCGCCTCCAGCAAGCTCGTAAACAATCCACCTGTCCTCGAAATTGAACAGTTAACGTACCCTCTAACGTTAGCCGTGTCATCCGCGTGCCTCCAGCTACTTCGATGCTCGGTCTTCGAGAAAGATCGAAACCGACGAACCCCGCGAACGAACTGCGAGTTACCAGGCAGCCGCGGAAAGCTCGCGATAATTTCGCGACGTATCGATCGCTTTATCCTCGGATCGGAGCACGGAAGCGTCGACCTCGGCTCCGCTGATCGATTTCCAACGCGTAATATCGAGGCTCGCGGAGGACGAGCAGGTGCAACCCGGACAGATCTCGTTTCGCATCGGGATGCAGAATCCGTAGCCGTCGTTGGGAATACTCGTGGGCGTTTATGTCGGCTGACTATACACCTGCGACTATTTTATGTCTTCCCTGGAAAGGCTGGACAGTAAATTCCAGCCGGCCTACCCGGCCCGTCGATCCCCTGACTGCTGATCAGAGAGATCAGTGGCGTACAAAGGGAGCGGATTGGCTAGCGTGGCTCGATTATTCATCTTTCATCGGCTACTCGGGAGGAGAAGTCGCGGCGGGCGCGATCGTTTCGAGCAGTGCCGGCTGCCCGATCGATCTACCCTGAGGTCTCTGGGTGGATCGTGATGAAGAGGTTTAATCGGAATCGGGCAGCATCACCGAGGAGAATCACGGACGGGGCTCGTTCTCACCGGGAATTAGAACTCGTAGGCAGCCGTGTGTACTTTGCTATGGCAGCCAAGTAAGCCGAGCAAGTCGCTCGTTGTTCATTCAACGGAGGATCGCGTCCACGGCAGCGTACGAGATACGAGGCCTAACACGGCGTGTACGCGTTACGCTAGTGGCACCATAGGAAAGCACCTGTCGCGACGGTTTTATTCTGGATATTCGCGAAATGAACGCAATCCACGGGCGAGATGTAACGCGGTCCTTCAACCCGCCGTCCTGGGCTTACCTGCCCGCGCACATTCGTGATTCGTGTTCAAATGGGAATTGCTTACACGCGCACGCGGATCTATCGAGAGTCATCGTCCTTTCGAGTAAACGGTTCGACAAAAGGAAAACAGGAAGACGGGGGAGAGAAAAGTCACGGTGGAAAATAAACGGGAAGGGGATGAAGCGGCTGCGAGCAGCCGACCGGAAGTCGCGAGCGCAAAGTGTACATGTGAAATCGGCGATGCGCGCGCATTCCGGTCGGCAAAATATTTCCCTCGCGTTGCGTTTTTTGCGCGAGTTGGCCATTTTTACGGCAAAAGCCGCATCCGTCGAGCGCGGCGCAGCCGTGAGGTGTAAAATTATTTGCGCGGTCGGAATCATTCCGAGAAACGATCCTGAATTAAACATCGCTATCCACGTGCCTCTCTGTCTCGTTCCACAGGCATTTCTATTGAATCGTAGATCATCCGCCGGATCCGGGCGTGAATTAGAAAATCAAAAAAGGCTAGAACGCGCGTACGTGCCTACAGTGGCAAGCGACCCTCTAATTTCTTCCCGGAAATTGGACACGCGCTCGGGGCGTGCCGTTTCTGCGAACAGAAATCAGATTCGTCGATGATTCCACCTTTCCAATTCTCCATCTACCCCGTCGCTTTCGTTTTCCCCGATACCTTTTCCCAAAATCTGCTCCATCTTTCAGAAATAATTAAAAGAACCGGAAGATCCCTGTTCTCTTTATTCCAATTTAATCCCTTTATCCGGGACGCTCGATTCCAGAAATTCGATACGTCGATGATTCCACCTTTCCTTTTTAAATCTCGCCTTTCTAACTCTCCATCTTCCCCGTTGCTTTCGTTTACCCCGTTACCTTTTCCCAAAACCTGCTTCATCTTTCAGAAATAATTAAAAGAACCGGAAGATCCCTGTTCTCTTTATTCCAATTTAATCCCTTTATCCGGGACGTTCGATTCCAGAAATTCGATACGTCGATGATTCCACCTTTCCTTTTTAAATCTCGCCTTTCTAACTCTCCATCTTCCCCGTTGCTTTCGTTTACCCCGTTACCTTTTCCCAAAACCTGCTTCATCTTTCAGAAATAATTAAAAGAACCGGAAGATCCCTGTTCTCTTTATTCCAATTTAATCCCTTTATCCGGGACGCTCGATTCCAGAAATTCGATACGTCGATGATTCCACCTTTCCTTTTTAAATCTCGCCTTTCTAACTCTCCATCTTCCCCGTTGCTTTCGTTTACCCCGTTACCTTTTCCCAAAATCTGCTCCATCTTTCAGAAATAATTAAAAGAACCGGAAGATCCCTATTCTCTTTATTCCAATTTAATCTCTATATCCAGGACGTTCGATTCACTGTCCCCTGATCCCCGATCTCGGACCAAAATGGCAACGATTCGCGTTCGGGGCCCGAAATCTCGGTCGCAGGAACGGTACCGAGGTGCCAATTTCCTTCCGATCCGTTTCTTAGAGATTCATTTCCTATTCGGCGATTCCTATTCGACCCGTTTCATTCTCGGCTTCGATACGTCGATCGGGCCTTGTCCGCGGCGTATCGCGCGATGCCATCGAGGGTCCGCAATTTTTACAAGCTCGTACGTCTTCGCGAGTCGTTCCTCGCGGCGATGATGGAACGGAGCGAGGCTAACCCACCGCAGAAACGATACGATTGTCTCACGTTTCGACAGTTGCCGCACGTGAGCAGACAGACGTGTCCGATTCAGTATGCCACTGCGCAGCACGTGTAACGTCTACGTCGGTTCATCTTGATTCCGTGCGTGCGGCTGTTCACGAAAACAGGAGCCACGGACAAGCTGCGCCTCCTGAGAACCCGAGAGCCATCGTCTGGCTCGATCATTTTGCGACAAATAAGTAAACGATGGCCGGCATACGCGATTAAGTATCGCGGCTCGTTCGCATAACCCATCGGCGAATTAGATAAATCCGACCCCGATTTTCCCTCCCAGCTTTTCCTCTTCCTCCATCCTCTTCCCTCCTCTGCTCCCTTCCTCCACAGAAGCGCCGTTTTTATATTCAGTTTTCATCATCCTCTCGAAAGCTTCATACGAATGCCGGCTGGGTTCTCTTTATGCATTATTCGTCCCCGAGGATGAGCGAGCACGATATTTCGCGAAAGAAGGATTAAGTATGTCGGAGAAGTTTCGGCTGGATATGGGATTCATGGGATCGGGACATGACGTGTTTTAATGTTCGGTTCGTCAACTTGGTTCCGGAATGGACGCCGAGCCATGCAAATTTTCAAGCCGACCAATCTGCCGGATGAGCAGGTAAAAGGTCCTGGGGAACTTCCTACGAGAGCCAGCGGGGTTCATACCCTGTGGAAATGGCAACGATCGTCGGCCAGGTGACCATTCGTACGAACGTTCTAATAACAATCGTGCGACTTGTCGATTTTAATCCTCTCGGGCTTCCTGCCATTGCCAGTTTTCCGCTTCGTCATCTCTGATACCAATAACCGCATATTCAAATCGCAGGCTTAAGGAGGACCATTACCATTCTGACCCAAATCGAGGCCCCCGACCAGTTGTTAATTAGCCGAACGAAAAACGGTATCGTCCGGTTCCGCTCGGGAATCGTTCGGAATTATTATAAGCTTATCGTCCACTGACAGATTCGAGCCGCTCCGAATATGGCGTGACACAAAACACGCCGCCATCGAAAGTTCTTCGGGCGATAATTAAAACCAGGTATACGAGCTTTCAACCTTTATCGTCCTGTCGTTATATTTTATCGTCGTTACCTGTGCTTTTATTTTACTTCAATCTGGATTTATCGAAATCTGCACTCGCCTCGATTCCCTGCCACTCCGGAGTAGAAACTTCACGGAACCGATAGACCCTCGACGAAAATGGCACGAAGCTACGCGATGGCTGTTATTACCTTTTCGTCTTTGTTCTCTTTACTCTAAATTTTTATCGGAATTCGGTCGATTTTCATTCGCTGCGTTCTCCAACAAATCCCCGATCGATCCCCGGGAAAGGAGGCAGAGCCAGACGATCGTGACCCCAGATGCAGCGGCGCGACGCGCCGTAGCCACGGTGCAAGCGGAAAACGAGGGAAAACAATGGAAAACGGGCAAACAAAGGGATTCCTGAAGACGAATGGCTCCAAAGACTGACGCAGAAACGGACGGATGAACGGCCGTTGAATTTCATTATTATGGGACTTGCATCATCGGTTTACATGCGCTCTGCTCGCGGGCAGGTCCTCGCGACCGGATGACGAACGGCGATTCGCCGATTGTTTACGAGCTCGGCTCGATACCCTCGCCGATACGAATTCATCGATAGTCGTATCTGCCGATTTACGACCGACCCCGAACCGCCAGCCACGCTCTGTCAACCCGACCGCCTCGTAAAATCACGGACGAAAGCGAAACCCTGTACGGTGGTTCGGGATTCACGGCCGGAATTGCAGGGAAAATTAACAATATGCCAGCGCGTTGACAGGACGCAGCCTGGATTCGATGATTGCTCGTTAGATTCCGCGAAACGATTTCGGGCATTGTTGCTAGCCAGAAAACGACACACGCGTGACCATTCTCCTCGATCACGTTTGTATCTAGGCAACTATAGGTCTGGCGGGCGAGCGCGCGCGATGAATTTTAAGGCGACACAGTGGACTGATTTCTGCGTGCACGTCGAGGAGGAGGATTCGCGAAACAGGATCGTTCCACGGGGTCGTCGAACCAGGTCTCTTATCCTCGGAATAGGCCGGTGCCAACGAGACCGTTGCACCTCGAGGACGCTTCGACATTGACAACCGTGCCGTACCGAGCGCACGCCTTCTGCGTGGTCTTCGTGTCCCTCCGCTATCCGCCATTTTTACCCGCCCCGACAAGCGTGTTTGGCCATCAAAGGGACACGAGTGAAGAGTTTATGGAGCGATTTTCCGCTCGCGAGACGGAGAGGACCGTCGATCGGGCCTCGTGAGAAACGCGCCGGGCCCCGGGGAAAAGAACCGGCGGCCTAAGAGCGGCCGATGCAATGTAAATTTTCGCGGTGCATCGCGAATCCAGCTGCATCCGAGCGGAACGGTCGTTCGTTCTATCAGAAGTGGACGTGCCGCTTTGCGTCGCCTGGTCACGCTCGAAAATACGATATGCGTGACTTGGAAAACGGTGCGTTTGGAAGTTGATTCATGAAATGCTACGAATTCATGAAGTATTCACCGGTCGATAGCGGTACACCGGCCTGAACGATCGATCTCTCCGCGAGATCGTTTCCAGAACGGAAATTAGCCTTCGCTCGGCGTCCTTTCGAGTGCATCGGATAGATGAGGCGGTCGTTGAAGCGGGGTCCGGTGTGGGCCAGTCGCGTCGGGCCTAACCCGTTCTATCCTGTTCCAACGCGAATCTCGGAATTTCTCTCGGGACACCGTGGTGAAGAATCAGATGGAATTTGAAGAAACTGTTCAAGAAGTCTCGCGAATTTTCGATTAGCGAGGAATAAAGGAATCACGCTGACGATCGAGTTTGCAGCCTGATGAGTGGAGAAATCGAAATGGCGTAGAGTCTGAAAGAAAGAATAGGAACGGCAAACCGGGGCGAGTATCGCGTCTGCGAAGAGAGGAAAAACAGGAACGAGGAGGCGCGGGATGAATAATGTACCCCGAACGGAGGAGAAATACTGTTAAAAGGGGTCCCTGCGAGGCTGGAGGGCTTCTGCAGAAGGCTAGCGGAGTCGATCGTAATTCCGTTGCTCTTCGCGGCGCGGCGGTTCGATGCCGAACGGAGAACGGACAAAGAGGAAGAGAGAGAAAGAGAGAGCGAGAAGGTGGCAGGAGAGAGAGAGAGAGAGAGAGAGAGAGAAAGAGAGAAGGCAGCGAGAGCGGAGGAAGGGACAGTGACACGTGAAGGCGGATCTGTCTGAATTCGCTTGAAATTCAGAGCACGAGCGTCGCGGCCACCGCCATTGGACTCTTACGGACTTTTGATCATCCCCGAGAATTATCGTCGCCTCTGACCAAGTCATACCCCTACCCGCCACTATTCGGGACCCGAGTATGACTGACATAATATTAATATTAAGAGGTTACGTCAAAACAGACGTCATTAACCGTACCGGGCGGACGGATCGATCGCGATCAGCTTCCGTAGCCTTCGATCGACGGAAATAGCCGGACGATCGATCGAAAATAATCCGTCCTCGTGCGTGGCGACGCGTGACCGAGATGCCCCCAGATAGGACGTAGATTAATTTGGCGCAAATAATGGGCGAACGTGTCCCGACAATGGCTGACGAATTTCCTCGGCTACCGGACCCCCGGGCTTCGACCAGCGAGTCTAAGAGGATGCAGCTTCGTGGAAGAAGCGGATCGCGGAATAAAAAGAGACGAGGAACGATCGGGGAGAGGGAATAGAAATTCTGGAAACGCGAATTCCCGTGAAAGTACGGCAATGTCTGCGGAGAATCAGCGGAAAGCGTCGTCCAGGCTCGTTCCTTGGATCGCGCGTATTTATAGACCGATTGAAAATGTATGAACCCCGTGTTATTCCGTCGTTAGATCCTTTTATCGGGCTTCGATCTCACTGACTCACGAGTCCTGCCGTCTTCGAGGAAGCCCTCTCACCCTCGTCTATCGATTCCTCCGTGAACTCTACGAGTTCCCAAATTGATTCACCGTTTTCTCCACTCTCGATCCTCCGACGAGAATTCTAGGCTCCCAGGTACCTAGGCACGAACGTTTCCGACATTCGCGAAACGACGCACCTCGTCGGTCTTTTCACCTGTCCGCCCGCCCGATGATCATTCAGTTTACCTGCACCCCGTTCGGACAGCAGCGACAGTTGTGTAACTCGATCAGGCAAATTCAGCCGGAGATCTACAGGGATCGCAATTAATGCGTTCGATTCAGGCGACGTCCGATCTCGGATGACGATCACGTATCGTTGAACGATGCGCACGTTTGCGTTACGACGATCCTGTTGGGTACGAGGCAACCACCTGACGATCGATGGTGGGGGCTGCAGAGGGTCCCGTATCCCCGTTCCGTGCGTGGATCCGACCGATCCATCCCATGGCCCGTGTCGTCGTTCGCCCATCCCATCCCCCGCGTGATCCTAGCTCCTGGTATAAAAGCAATTGCGGATTCGAGAATAGCAGCATCGTGCAAAAAGTTCGCGAACCAGCTAGACCCCTTTGACGAGTCTGGTGCCCGGTGCTTGTCCCTCACTCGTGGTGCTGCGAACCGTACTCCCGACGTTGCTTCCCGGACGTTTCGCGTTTCTTGGAGTCTATACCGTTTCTTGGTTACCGAGGATGGCGCAGTGGATCAGCTTCGTCCTACTCGTCGTGGCTGCGACGATCGCGGTGACGGAGTCCAGGGCTATTCCCGCTGAACCCAGTAAGTAAATCGTTAACGACGGACGCCATGGCGTCTACAAATCTCCCGTAACTGGTCCACCATAAAATCGTCTCGCAGCGTCGACAAACCTCCCGTAACTGGTCTCCCTTGAATACGTCTATCCCCCATGGCGTTGGGTCTCGACGATTTTTCCCATTGACTAGTCCTAGAGTTAGCGACGACTAGTCCCCTCGTCGTCCCGACAGAGAAGATCCCTCTATCGTTCTGTAGCTTCTCCGAAAGTTTCAGTGATGCTAGATCCCTACGGAAACCCCATTGTCTTCCTCCGGGAGAAGAGGACAGCCGTGCATCCGTATCCCCATAGAGCCATGATGTTCACCGGGTACTACAGACCGGTTCGTCGGTCGAGTCACGGTGGCCAGGCGACCGGTGTGTTCGCGCAAGGAAACGCCGTGAGCGGGGAGGCCTTTTTCGGCGGCATGCAGCCGCCACATTTGAACAACGGCCCGGAACCGATCGAGGAACCGGAAGTGTCGAGCGCGGAGGCCCAGGCGGCGCCAGGCGCCGACGATTCGTACAACGAGAGCGAGCAGCCTCAGGTCCAACAGGAGGAAGGGTTCCAGCCTGAGAAGCCTCATAGGCAGGAGGGGCATTACCCGCAGGAAGAAGCCAGTCATCCTCAGGACGACCAGCAGCAGCAGGAGGACGAGCAGCATCATCACAAGCAGCACGGTGTCTCTCCGCAGGTACTTGCCAAGACTTTTCACTTTGACAATGACATTGGAAGAAATCTAGTTACATCTAGGAATATTCCTTCGATACCAGAAACCTAGCAAGGAAGACTTTCGAATTCTGATGAAATTAACGCCGAATTTTACCGATTTACATCGTACTGACAGTCCTAGTATCGAATTAAAGACAAGGTAAATACATCGACAGGGTCCAAGATTCTATCAATTTTCCAATATCCTCAGGAGCAACCGGAACCGGAACCAGTGCCCGTGTTCACTACAGAAGCAGCCCCAGTCAGTCCCGCGGAGGAGCCAGTTTATACGAATCCGGAGGTATCCGCGAATCGTCCAAAGGTTCAGCACGGGAAGAAGAACAAGAAGACCCCGGTGGTGGTGGACGACGACGAAGAGGAAGACGACGAAGAAGAAGACGAGCCAACAGTACCCTTCGTTCCCTTCAAAGGCAATCGTCGCAGGCAAAACTATCCCAACCTGAACAACTTCTTCCCGATGGTGTTCAGTTTCCCTGGCGGTGCTTCTAGAGCTGGTGGATCGTCCGCGGGGTCTCCACCTGGAGCCGTGACTGCCATCGCTAACAGTTACTCTACTGGGAAGGGAGGCGTTGCCAGTTCGGTGGCGACTGCCTACGGCGGATCTCCTAACGGGTAAGTCTTTTATCAATGGACGAGATCTTGGAAAAGATTTTTAATTTCCGATTTTATTCCACGAGAAATTGACCAAACCAACTTGATTCGCGCAGGAAAAAGCGACGCACACCGACGTCCGAAGAGTAAAGCACGTCGAAGAGACTGGTCGATCGTCACGCAGGATCGACGAGCGAGCTGTTCACCTCTCGATACCGTTAAGATCAATATTCCACCGGACATTAACATGCAGACAGGACAGAGCTCGGTGCTCCACTTTTCTATTCCCCGTGACCCCGAAGAACCAATCGTCTTCTTTGAGTGGACACCCCTCTTAGATTTAATCTTCCGCGAATCGATCCGCTTTCCTGCCAGTGTCTACCCCTCCACCCCGCCGCGAGAATTGCAACGAACGGTACGTCGACAGGCAAATTATGCTAACCCTTTACCGGTGGTCTGAAAAATCAATTTCTTACCTTCGAGCATTAGCGTGGTATCTTAGCGTGTACTGTTAAATTAGGCCGGTAGCTTGTAAGAGAATACGTAGGAGGTAGAGTCGATTTCGCAGCGATCGAACGGACTAGTGCAATATTACGTTGTACCACTCGGAGAGATTAGCGAAGGGTTCGCATGATCGTGCAACTGCCATAAACCGTAATCGAAGAGAGCGTCGATCGAAGCTAATCACAATTGTAGTATAGTTCGTGTATAAGGATTTACGAGTTAACGATAGCTTACGAATTTAGCGAGGAGATATTCATTATCCCAGTACCGTAGATTGTTACTCATCGCACCGTCTCTGACGGAGAACATTGTCTTTCCTAAACGACGCCCGAGATATCGGCGTCGAAATAAAGTTATTTACGAACCATCTAGAGTCTCTCGATCTTCCACTCCCCGTCCTGTCGCGAGTCACTCTCAAACCCCGATTCCTCGGGGGTCCTCGAATTTCCCGATTCCTCGAATTTCGCCTGTCGGAGTAACGGACCCGAGACCTTTATCACGTTCACCGTCTCCGTCAGCTTCTGTCAGCTTACTACACTCGTTAGGTAACTCTGTCATCGTAAGTACACCCTTTGATTACTTCTGAGAGCCGCAAACGACTCATCGTCACGCGTTATCGGTTCACGGGCAATCTTCGATTTTGCGAATGCTCGATCACGATCTACGTGACGTCACCGTCCCGGAAATCCTTCGAAGCCCACGAGAAGAGCATGGGGTACCCCGCGACGAAAGTTGCCTCGAACGTGGCACAGGTCGAGCAGGCCAAAGTTTCGCCGTGAACTCGCCGAGTTAAGAGCATTAGAGTGCAAAGTGTGCTGAGGCAAATACGCTTTGGAAGCAAAAGCGGCAGGGGTATTTGAATAGCGGAAGAGATTGCCATTGACGTAATTTCGTTAGGCTCCACGTGCCTAAAAAGGGGACGGGAAGAATGGCGGCACGGACAATGCAAACGCGAGGAGACGCGACACGAGGAACGGGTCGAATTGGTTCGCTAAACAGAGGAGCTAGGCACGGGAGCAGGACGCTCTGCTCGGAGCCTTGGGATTATGTATAAAAGGCAATTAGTCACTATAGGATTCCTACGTAAAAACGTTCGCGTGATTCATCGATCGCCGTGGCTGCTCCTGACCGTGGAATCTTTTTGTTCCACGGCTTTCGAAATTTCCTGTCGTCGTTTTCGTTCGCCAGGAACCATTACAAAGCTTATGCTAGTGGACAGACTCCGTGCTCAAGGCTCGGCCCTGGTCCTCTTCCGCGTTATCGCGTCGGATGACGATGACCCTCTGTTCCACGTATACGCCCAATGAATCCTCGATCCTCGCTATTATTCCCGTTTTAATTCTTTTTTCCGGCTCTTTGCGAGAAAGGATCGACAAACAGAAAACTGGGAGTATCGAAGTAAAAAACCGAGCGAATTTTTCAGCCACAAGTTCTTAAAAATTTGGCCAGCTTCCTTGACATTTACCTGTCCTTTAATAACAAGTGGGCACGTCCACTGACGACATAGTTATATATTCCCTGACTTTAAATGTATCGTAAAGTAAGAGAATTAATCGCGATATATATATAAACCCGATCTAACGCCATTTTGTCAAAGCGAAATTTTATTTCATCGCTATTATTCATTCGTCACTGGACTACTTGGATCATTATCGTAATTACAGGGCACGAGACGTGTCTTGAAATATTTTTTAAATTAAATTTACACACCGTGCTTTAGAACGCAATGAAGAATGACAGACTAATTTTAAACAATTTTTTTAATTATTACTGGGAATAATAAAACGAAGATTTTTCTATAGATCTGTAAACACTCTAACAGCTCGATTATGTTATACCCGTTACGAGGCATGCTTAATGTTGCATAAATTAATCGACAGGTAGCATCACAGATCCCGGCCTTCGGAACTAGCTAACCGTCCAAAAGTTCATCAATCAAACGGACCGGGGGTATTTCCGTGAAAAGGACTGTCATCTAGCATTTCTTCACGGCTGTTTCAATCACGCGATGCAATTTTCCATCAAATTTGAACGATTCCGCTCCGAGCTAAACTCGTGTCTTCGTCAGACTTAATAGCAGAATTACAGGCAACCATTATCGCGATTCATCGAGAATCATTTTCCTAAATAACGCGAAGAAAACTTAGATGATGACACGAAGAAACATCGTGAAACGGGAAATCCCAGGAAATTAGAGGCCCTAATTAACACCCGGAACGCGTGAAATTGCCATGTTCGATTCCGCGGAAAATTCACGGAATTTTCAATTTCTGCTTCGCAGACCCGTCGACATATTGCTCTCGACGCTCCGTTTCGTCGTTTTTGAGAGTTCCAGTCGTCCCGATGACACGGTAGTCCAGTTTTTCATTTTCGTGGTTGGTCCCGACGCGTTGTCGCGCAACGTCGGGAATTCCATAAGTAAAATGTAAACACTCATGCGAAGAAAACAGGCTTCGAATAACAAACTGCTCGAAAAAGCTACGCGAAATGGAAGATGATAGCTGGAACAAAATGGGTGCCTAATCACGAAACGTTAGAGTACGAGCACGTACCTCGGTGGTTAGGATGAGACAACGGAGGATGCATGGAATGGAAGAAATTGCATAAAAATGGTCTCATCGAAAAAAACCGAGTGCACTAATCCATCGTGGAGTAGAATTTTAATGAAACGTCAAATGACAGCTGAGTGATTTACGTGGTTTATGTAAACATCCTTGTAAACACGGTGAGATAATCGGACAGGCATTGCGAGGAATTGAAAAATTGATTTAATTACAAATCAGATTTTTAAAAGGTCCTTAGATACTAAAGAACAGTGACGTTGACGATGACGATGACGAAGGAGCATTGCAAAAAGTTGCACGAATACAGTTTGATAGGAGAACCCTGTTACTCCAACTTCGCCATAGACCAGGATTCGAATGGATTCGAGCACCAATTGACAGGTCCACCTACCTGTCCTAATGAACGGGACTAAAGCATGAAAGGAAGGCTGCAAAGTATCGCAGGAAGATCGTCCTGTCTAAAGAACAGCTTCCTCTAACTCCACCATAAGTATGAATTTCGACGAAACGTTACCAGCGAAAAATAGGGTTGCAATATCATCGTCTGTCACGGTTAGAGCAGCCAGGTCCCGATGATGGTGTGATTGGTAGAGCGCGAAACCGTGACCGATGCGTTCACAGAATGAAGTGCCATCTGTGCTAATGAGATTCGTTGGTTCTTCGGTGAAGAGTACCTGTTTAGTACCTACGTAAACGCGTCGGGGCATCCCAAGACGCTCGGAACGCTCGCGGAGACTATATAAAGCCCGCCCTGCGGATTTTCTCATCGTCATTTGCCACTCGATTCTCGAAGAAGCAAGCAGTCTCTAGCAAGAACGAGTTGTACATCGATAGACGAGTCTGGAAGCATGAAGACGGTGCTGATCCTGTTGGTCGCGGTGCTGGCTACCGCCCTGGCCTACCCTGCCGACCTACACTCTGACGAACTAAGCCCTGTCAACAATGTCGAGGAACAAGGTACGCTATCCAATGCGATATTTCCGACGATCGGTAAGGTGGACAATGGAAGTTTACTCGAACGCGAAGTGCAATGATCGAAAAGTTACGACCAGTGCGAAAGGACACCTACACGGGGTGAGAGCTTATCTTAGGGATGAGAGACGCGCTGCATCAGTCGAGTTGCATAGCGATCACATTTCCTCTGCAGTTGTTTAATAGTCGCATGACAGCTTCTGCTTTGCATCTCGGTACATGTTATTCTTGAACGTAAAATGATTAACATGCCTCGCGTCACATCCACGGGATTAAAATATACCTGCCGGTGTGACTCATCGTTTAGTGAACGTCTAACAGGTCTCTTAACAGCCTGGCAGAAATTATTACCTTCCGACCTTACAAGTTTCCAAGGTTGTCGCGACCTTCCACTTCCTGGGATCTCTCCCATATACGTGACACCTTCCTCTCTGTCGATCTGCACAATTTCCAGCAATTTCCTGCAATTTCCATGAGCGTGGTACAGGAAAATGTGACGTTCTCTAACCTCTAGATAGAGTGCTTCCTCGGTGTTTCTATAGTGTTTCTATGGTGTTTCTTCGGTGTTTCAACTCGATCTCTGTTCCCAGAACCTGCCCAGGAGAGAATCTCCAGAGAAGCAAAGCCGGAGCCTATCCTGCTCGGTGTAGGTGGATTTAAATTAGGCGGGTTCGGTGCAATCGGAGGATTAGGAGGCTATGGGGGCTACGGTGGTTACGGTGGCTACGGAGGCGGTTACCACGGCTACGGTGGTGGCTACAGAGGCTACGGTGGCTACGGTGGCTACCCTCACGGAGGCTATGGCGGCTATGGGGTGCCATTCGGAGGCGCGTACGCCAAGGCTGGGTAAATATTTGTCAGGATATACTTATCTCCCAGATCACTCCGTCCATTTTATCCTCGTGTCACTCTTCTTTTCTGTTACAGCGCTTTCGGCTATGGACGATGAGAAGCCTGCTGCACCGATTCTCTCGACGGTACACACCCGATAACGACCTAGTAGCCAGCGTTGCTCAATTTTCTACGATATTTCCACGCTTGACTCACTGTTTTGTAAAATAAATTTTTCTACGTTAAGTTTAGTCCAGCTTCTTCTTCTTTGCTCACCTATCCCGTCGTATTCTCGATTGATTTAAACTCGTTTCATTCGTCGATTCAGGCTTCTGCGCTTACCAACGCTTCTCGTCGTTGATATCGTTTAATGTTTGCGAGACGACGACGCGATTCGTCACGAATGCGTTCAGAGAAACGAATGTTTGCGAGGGATGTTTGGGAAACACGGCGTAACATAGAGCGATTAATCGAACGACCTCTGCTATAAAATCTGATCGCTCTGGCAACAGGCGATCATTTACGCTGACTCGTCGCTCAGTGATCGACTTTCCCGCGAAAATTTCGTGAAAAATTGAGAGAAGATGAAGCTTCTGCGAATCGTCCTGCTGTCGCTTTTCTCGCAAGTGAGTAGAGATCGAATCTTCTTCGTGATAAGCTCGAGAATGAACGCGTGGATGAAGACTAGACTGATTCTAGGTGCACTGTGGTACCTTGGCTAAGTTGGAATCGAGAGGTAGGGGAAAATTCTTTGCACGAAGCCAAGAATGTAATATCGATTATTAATATTTCCGTAAAGATATAGCTGACGATTGTATTCCTTGTTCGTTTCGATCTTCGTTCCTTCTGTTCCGTACTAAGAGAATGAAACGGAAATGGACCAACAGAGGAGCGTCCGAGTTCACAGGGTCGCTGACCACGAGTTCCTCAACAATGACGATTCTCGAATAAGAGACAGGCTCAGGCAAATGCTACAATTTGGACACGAGGAACTGGCGAAGCTCCTGACAGACTTTCCAAATTTGAGCAACCTCGTGCAACACGAGGTAAGTTAATTATCGATACTAGCTTTAGAGACATTTCTTGTATAATGAACGAAATCAGAAACTTTTTTTTTAAATAATTTAAAAAGCGGCATAATTGTACACTATTGACTTACAAACGAATCTACGAGGTATATATTCGTATAAAATTTATAAATTTATAATTATTAATATTATTTATAAATTTATAAATTAGAAATTTTTGATTATGTAGGATTTGTAGTTGGATTAATCCTATGTGGACCGAGATTTTCGTGTCTAACGAACAACTTCGTTTTAATAATAAAAGGGGTTTACTTAATTAAGATATTACACTAGGTTCCTGTCAGTTCTAACTCTCAAACACACGATCTTCTATGCACTACGTATCGACTACAGGTAATCTGCTTCGCCCATGCCCTTGCACCCTTACTCAAAGTCAAAACTCTCTCTCTTCATACACAGGTTTTCTCTCTCAATCACTCGACCCAGTCATAAATATCTCATCCGTTCCCATGTACTTACTACAGGCATCGTCCTAAACGCATAACAGAGTGCAAGACCTTCGGGTCACTGATTTGGTTGAAACCTTGCAGCTTTGTAGATATCGTCATGTAGTTTAAGAAAATATATCATTATAACTGCAAATACTCAATAATTTTTGAGATATTTGCGATTAAAATTTTATTACGTGATTAATTATACATTTATTTCAAAAACATCTCAAGTTGAGTTGTAGCGTAACGGTGACGATCGGGAATTGCTATAGCGAAGGACCCGGGTTCGATTCTCGTCCGTAGATTTTTAAAAATATTTTTTATTTTGTATTCATTTTTCACCTATGAAAACATTCCAAATACACAATTATAAATAAAATTTCTTAATAAAAAAATTTATTTTTTACGCTCACTTATGCTAGTATATATTTATTAGAAAAAGAAAACGAAAATATAAATAATCATTAGATAGAAGAAATACAAAACCTATCGCTCATATAAGTATTAATTATTAAATTAAACATCCTATAAGAATGTTGCCTATAATTCCAATTTTACTGTGCAGTTATAAATGTTCACGAATTAATTAGAGAAACTTGGAAATATATTAATTTTCTACTGTCGAATTGATTTCCAGTGTCTAGTTCGATTAAAAATTTTACCGCCTGCGATCAGCGCCATCTATGATTTGGGCTCAAAAATCAAGAAAGTGATAGGAATATAGAATAGGCAAGGAGGTCGTCGAAGAGCTCGTCACGTGGTACACAAGGACAGAGAGGGGATAGAAAAGGATAGAAGGGCTCCGATATTGAAAAATTAATAAATTACTCAATTTCGTAATTAATTTATGTACTTTTATAATTTCATTGCAAAGCTGGAACTTTAGGCAACATTCTTATATACTTTTGGTTAAGAATTTAACTCTAAATTGTTAATTATTAATTATTGGTTATTGGCTTCTATGATATTGTAACGACGGCCATTACGATCTTCCGTGAATATATTTAATACTAAACGAAATTAGAAGCAAAGTGTGATCAAAAGTTATACGAGAAGATTCGTAAGAGCATTGCTTTTATAACGAGTGCATAAAGTTTCATAAATTAATTGCGTAAAGAATAGTAATTAATGAAAAAACAATGGCGTCTTCGACAATCTTCGACAACAATTCAAATACTGTGCAGAACAATTATTAATAATTAATTAATTATGGACAAATTTATATCGAAAAATATATGTGAAAGTTCTTAAAGGATCTGGCTATACGATGCAATTATAAAAGTTCGTAAATTAACCACAGATATTGAGTAATTAGTGAATTTTCCACTGCCGATTTGATTTATTAAAATATATTCGGAGCACATAACCAGAGTTAGTAAACTGACATCAGAGCCATCTGTGGTTCTCGTGTCGGAACTCGAGGTTCGAGTCTAACATCATAGATGGCTCTGATGTCAGTTTACTAACTCTGGTTATGTGCTCCGAATATAATTTAATAAATCAAATGGGCAGTGGAAAATTCGCTAATTACACAATATCTGTGATTAATTTATGAACTTTTATAATTGCATCGTATAGCCAGATCCTTTAAGAACTTTCACATATATTTTTCGACATAAATTTGTCCCTAATTAATTAATTATTAATAATTATTCTACGAAATGTTTGAATTATTGTCGAAGATTGTCGAAGACGCCATTGTTTTTCCATTAATTACTATTCTTTACGCAATTAATTTATGAAACTTTATGCACTCGTTATAAAAGCAATGCTCTTACGAATCTTCTCATATAACTTTTGATCACATTTTGCTTCTAATTTCGTTTAGTATTAAATATATTCACGGAAGATCGTAATGGCTGTCGTTACGAAATCATAGAAGCCAATAACCAATAATTAATAATTAACAATTTAGAGTTAAATTCTTAACGAAAAGTATATAAGAATGTTGCCTAAAGTTCCAGCTTTGCAATGAAATTATAAAAGTACATAAATTAATTACGAAATTGAGTAATTTATTAATTTTTCAATATCGGGGCCCTTCTATCCTTTTCTATCCCCTCTCTGTCCTTGTGTACCACGTGACGAGCTCTTCGACGACCTCCTTGCCTATTCTATATTCCTATCACTTTCTTGATTTTTGAGCCCAAATCATAGATGGCGCTGATCGCAGGCGGTAAAATTTTTAATCGAACTAGACACTGGAAATCAATTCGACAGCAGAAAATTAATAAATTTCCAAGCTTTTGCAATTAATTCGTGAACATTTATAACTTCACAGTAAAATTGGAATTATAGGCAACATTCTTATATGATGTTGAATTTAATAATTAATACTTACATGAGCGATAGGTTTTGTATTTCTTCTATCTAATGACTATTTATATTTTCGTTTTCTTTTTGTAATAAATATATACTAGCATAAGAGAGGGTAAAAAATAAATTTTTTTATTAAGAAATTTTATTTATTATTGTGCATTTACAATGTTTTCATAGGCGAAAAATGAATACAAAATAAAAAATATTTTAGAAAACCATGGGACCGGGAATCGAACCCCGGTCCTCCAATATATCAATTCTCGATCGTCGCCGTTACGCTACAACTCAACCCGAAATATGTTTGGAATAAATCTGTAATTAAGAAACTAATAAAACTTTAATCGCAAATATCTCAAAAATTATTGAGTAATTGCGACTATAATGATACATTTTCTTAAACTGCATGGCAATATCTACAAAGCTGCAAAGTTTCAACTAAATCAGTGACCCAAACGACTTGCACTCTCCTTGTAAATGAAGCCGATGTCGCTGTTTACTCTTCCCCAGATACAGTCCTTCGCTGCTCGTCACCCCAGAATTATAGCATTCATAATCATGGGAACAGATTCCTCTCACAAAATAAAATCTAATATTTATAAAATACTTCAACATTTGGACGCAAAATTGAAAGTATCTCGAATCGATATACCGATTAATTTGATTTATCCAAATCCCAGGGCCAGTTGTACAAGGAACTGACCACGATTCTGAAGGACCTCGTTCTAGAAGGAACCGTCACTCTAAAGAGTGTGGATCTCGCGATCAGGGAAATGAAGGATGCGTCATCGACGTTTGTTAACCCGAAGAATGATAACAAACTGGAGGATCCCCAGGAAGAACTCGAGGAGTTAGACACTTATCACCAGGAAGCTTCAGTAAACGAAAGTCGGGAGAACTCGAGTAACTGTTCAAAAGCGAATCCGAAAAATCGTAAGAAATTTACTCTATCTTTCTATTCCCTCGTTTGTCCTCCTTTTTCTTTCCAGGACTTTCAACTTCCCTGATCGACTCGACGAACGAGAGAGAATCTAAAACCACGAACATCGTGAAGACCCTGGACCACGTGCTACTGGAGATTCAGAACCACCTAACCTTCGTTCGACGCATGTTTGACAGACTCTGCAGGTGAGGAGACAAAATGAAATATTGAAATTTCACGTGTAAATCGTGATTCCGATTTTACAGAAAACATCGGTCCACGTTGCCGACTCGAACCAGCTACGACCACCGTGAAATATTCGCGTTGATGAATCAGCCGAAAAAGGTGTCGATACTTTAGATACCTCGGGTATCTCGCGAAACCGTTCATACTTATATAATTCATGATTTATTCCCGCCTAGTATTCCCGTGTACTCCCTGTACCACGAACAATTGTAAACCTCGGTATATTTTATAGAACCGGTTTACCGATTTTGTTTACCGATAATAAAGACGTCGGAAAAAGCTGCAGCTTTCCCTGCTCGTGTCTCTTTCAGCCCAGTTGCAGTATAGAACAGCCCGCGAAAGCACTCGTCGATTATACGGGACGTTTGGTCGATTTTGTTGGGTAACTGCTGGCAACGAGAAAGAAACCATCTCGAGGCGAGCACTTCTCTCTTCGGGGTAAGTTTATCGTTAATGCTACTATCGCGTAGTTGCAACGGAAGCAATTTCGTAGGCTAATTAAATAAATTACACGCGAGAGTAGGCTCGACTTGGTTCTCCATCACGATTTTACATCGAGTTTCGGAGGTCGAGGCAGGAGTTTCGTTTTCGCTAGCAGGTTACTGCCTGAAAATCGAACACAGTCCTGACCTCGTAAAAGCTAGCCTTCCCCGAGAACGCGATAGCGACGTGTTCTTCGTGGGTTTGTTTTTCCTTCGCGGGGAAAAAAGGGAAGATTTCAGAAATGATCTATCACAGACACTCGAAATAGCCGGTGTAAATTTATTCTCCGCCGTATTTTGCCTCGGTACAATGGCTGTAATCCACTCGCATGACTGTCGAATCGCGTGTATGCAAAGTTGCAGCAGCTACAACGAGAGTCCGAAGGTGGTGTTTGTTATCGTGACGCGATCTAATCTGGTGTGAAATTGCAGCTCTGATATCTGAATTGAAATTAGCCGATTCGATTCGCTCGCCATGCATCGGACCCTGCCCACCGGCCGGATAAAACGCGAGCAACGCGTTTTCCTGTCGATGATAAATCATTAGGAACTGGGTCTATTTTCTCGCCGGATTAGCCGGCACCTATGGCAATGCAATCATAGCGGCGGAATGCAGGAAATTGCATTCGTTCAGGTGCAACGTATCGACGTGGAAGGCGGGCTGGCTACCGGTGATTTATCGGGGAAAGTTCGCGTTTTTCGCATAAATTCGAAGAAATAATTCCGCCGATAAGATGGCGGAGGTAATAACCCTTCGTTATTATCCGAAAATTGCTACTCGCTTATAGTTCCAGGCACGACGTAACGAAGCACGAGATTATGCGAGCAGTTCCGAACGACTGTTTCATTTCCTCGTGTTTTTCAACGAGTTTCCACCAGCCGATCTGATCATGCACGAAATAGTCGCGGGGTAACGTGCTCACGCAAATGATAATACGCCCCTGCCTCTCGCTGCTCAAATAAAGGCCATTGCCGAATTTTCACGCGAAGTTTCAATTTTCAAAATTGCCGCACAATTACCCGCGAACGATTGCCTGTAAACAATTGCGAAGGCACGAGGAAGAAGCACAGGTGGATTGGCTGCCTAATCGAAAACGATGAATCGTTGCGTGTTATTGATCAATCGATCCGTAACCATAGCTTCTATCGTCTCGCCGCGATCAATTTGCATTCGTACTCTGCCTACTATAATTAGAACCAAGGAAACACGTTCTCAAACAATGTTTCACCGGCGATTAATCAACCAATTACTGCCAATTTCTCGGAACCCCAACGTGAAAACGCGAGACCGCGAAGCAGCGATGCAAATAGAAAAGTCTCGAAGAAGAGGAATTTTTAAAGAACACGATAAACCGGAGAATGGCGATTTAAAAACGAACCGACTAACGATCAGCACGTGTAGAAATGATGGAAATAAAAAGGTATACGCGATTACGTCCCCGTCTGATTAAAAATCCACGCGAATTTCGAGAAGTGCAGCTAACTGCTGTCAATAGTTCCAATATCAATAATATCAATAATACTTGCCTCCCCAAAATTTCCAATTTTTCTAACAATTTGAGAATCGATCATAGATAGATACACAGAAATTCGTAAATTCTGTTGATGCAATTGGATGTGAATTAATACACTATACCGAGGAATGTCAAATTGACTGCTTACCTTCTAGCTGTTCGTCTGGAAGAGCTTCCTGGTGGAAAATTCGGAAGATGATTGTGGATCTTACTGGTAAAAGTCACCGAGAACACTGATCAATCGGTGGACTGTTATTTCTCGCGGATTCCAGAGGGATGTCCCGGGAACGCAGCCACTCGTCGAGCGCGAAACCTCGAATGGATCACGGGAGCGGCGTCGGCGTGGACGTCGGCGTCGGCGCCGACAGCCGAGGCGCCGTCAACCTTCGTGCCGGCGCGACGTTGATGAAAAGTGTCTCGATCTTCTTGATGAGCGGTCGCAAAGCCTCGGTGAACAGCAACAGGCAAACTTCCGACAGTCCTAAGCACGAGCCACGAAGAAGACGACACAGGAGGATGCCGGTCGCTGGCACCACCAGGAGCTCCGCGTACACCGCTAAGCTGATCGAGTCGTTGAAGAGGAAGACTCGATTCTCTTGGCAAGTAGATCGCTTTGCAGTTGACCCGGTTACTCACGAGCAGCGGGAAATCAATTGGCAGAATTGACAGCGAGGAAATTGGAAGCGAGGAATAGCCTAGTGTCTCTGGAATTTTTGCTAGACGAGTCTTCACGGTCCCTTTGTCATCCCATCGACTAGTTTTCTTAAAAACGTGTCGCGATTTGCTAGCAAAAATTTTGACGTTGAACACTGTCAAACGTGTGTCTCGTGTGTTAATAAGTGACAATAACGGTGAGGTATTTGCGCGTGCGCGTTGAAATCGTATACTGTCAACTATGAACGACCAAAAATCTCTTCGCGATTGACCAGATATAGATCATTTTTGATTTCAATCACAGACGAAGCTTACTCGCTGTCAATTACTTCTTTTGTCGACGATTCTTTTCGATATCGCGATTTTCTGGACAAACGAAATTGCGACTTTGAATAGATTTGAAACCCAAATTTGGCAGGTGAGTAGTTCTCCCAGAGACTCCATACTATTCATCGAAATGTTGACGAGTGTTTGGAAATTATAGTGGAAAATTGGAAGATTATGTCATCTTCTTTGATACGATCTAGCTTGCGATAGAATCTTTGACGTTATCCAAAATTAAAAATGACAGGAGACAGTGGTATTCCTATTTTAACCCTTTGCACTGGACGATTTTTGGTCAAGAGAAGAGTAGGACTTCAAACATTTTCTTCTATAAAGCTGACGATATATTTCTCGAATACGGAGTAAAAGATCGTATAATAATTAACACGTAGAATTACTTAATTTCGATACCTTTCACACCGTTACATTATCTTAAATTTGACATATCGATCACTATCGATCCTCGACATTTTATCAAATGGCGACTGAGGGTCGCTCCTCGTGCGCAAAGGGTTAATATCGTAATGGATTCTTAACACTAGATTTACGGAACCCGTCAATTTGACGGATGGATTGCTTCAGTTATACGATGGTAACAGATTTAGTTAACTTACATTAAGACCGTTAATATTGTAATTGTTTTTAAATTAAACAAATCGTTAAAAAAAAATACACGTGGTTTCCTTTACCTGTCAATTTGACAAGCGTCAAATACGTAGAAATAGGTATGCAGATAGCGTCCGTAAACCTAGTGTTAATAACCTTTGCACTATCCCTAATGCGACATTTAATACTTTTTTAATAGAAGATAAATCGATTCCGTGAGACTATAATTAAAATTTAACTAATCCCCATAGGTCTGAATTGGACAATCTGTGCAAGCTGTACAAGAAACTAACCAGCTCCGGCCAGCAACAAGTAGGACAATCGGTTATCATCGGGAGGAGGCCTCAGGCGAACCAGGCTATAGAGGTAGTGTCACTCGAATCGCTTCGAATTATAGGAATTTGGTCTGGCGTGCGTGAATCTGTCATTACGTCTCTCGAGCGATCATGCGATCCACAGGATTTCCCTGATCCGCTTATACCGTCGGGCCTATCGGGACTATCGAATTAAACTCTAATGGCCGCTTCTCAGGGTATCGACAGGAGTATTTTCCGCGACCTGCTGCACAACACGTTCAAGGTGATCACGGAGGACGCGCTGGTGGAACGTATATTCTGCTGCTGGGACCGCGAGAACGAGGGTGTGATCAGGCTGGAGCCATGGGTCATTGGCTTGGACCTCTATCTTCGCGGCAGCCTACGCGAGAAGATCGAATTCTGCTTCAAAGTCTACGACTTGAACAACGACGGGTTCATCACGAAGGACGAGATATTCCAATTGTTCAAGTACGTGACGCATTTGTCAATATCTTGCGACGAAATTTCGCGACGAATCGAGTGTAAGGATGTCTACCTCACGATTACAGGAACTGCCTGATGAAGCAGCCAGGGGAGGAAGACCCTGACGAGGCGGTGAAAGACTTGTCGGAGCTGGCGTTGAAGAAGCTCGACGTGGACAGGGACGGGAAGATCTCTTTCCAGGATTACAAGGTGGCCGTGACGGAGGAACCCCTGCTTCTAGAAGCTTTCGGTCAGTGTCTGTCCACGGACGAGAACTGTGCCTCGATTCTAGCTACATTGCGATCGTGAGAAGATCGCTATGCCGATTACCATGGACAGCGTGACGAAGATTCCCTTCGGTGGTCCCTTCTAATCGAGGAAAGCATGGTATTGGTAGAATGATATGCACCAATAGCGAAAACTATAGACGCGTAATGCAATAGACAAGGATTCGTAATCATGGCACCTGCCGTTTATTAAAAACAAATTCGATAGTAATCGTAATTACAAACAATAATAATATTAATAATAATATAATAATATAATAATATAATATAAAATCAGTCTTAACCCTCGGATTACCAAGCATCGCTAATCACTCTTCGATCATTTCCTTGTATGTTTTCTTGCGTTTCATTTTTGTTCTCTTTTCATCCTTATTCTATTTCCTCTCCTTCTCTTCGTTCTCCATTTTTTTTTCTCCCGTTTTCCCGTTTCGAGAAACATCGATCGAACGCGCTCGATCCTCGAGCGATAACCCGAAGGCTAATTTTAAACTATGAAACGTTCTAGAGGTATGTTACAGTGATGCAAGGGGTTTCTTTCTTTATTTTGTAATCGAAAAAATTGACTTCTCTGCACGCGCAACAAAATATCGGCTCTCGTCGTCGCGGTACTTCCGGTTCCAGGGACCCGTGCCGCGACCTCAAGGTTCCATCTTTTCATTTTCCACGGACACACTCGTGTACCTTTGTGTATATATATCTTATTTCTTTCTTTTTTTTTCTTTCTTTCTTTCTTCATTTATTTATATATATACTCTGTTATATATATATTCTGTAATAATTAATATACACGCACGCGCTCGCGCGTTCACAGGTTGCATCGCGAACCGATTGCGGCTTCTTTGTACGATATAATCACTGGAACAGGGGGTTGAAAGATTCAATTGTACCGAAGGCGATCGGATTTTTCGCGAGTAATTTTGTTCCTCTCGCGAGGAAAGCGGGGGGCAGAGGCAAACGGAAAGGGGGAATACACGTGCAGACGAATGAAATGATCGCGGTAGAAGAATTTTCGTCCGTTCGAAAGCGGAAGGTAGGATTTTCTATTGATTCAGCTTCAAACGCATTTGTACATCGATCCTTTGTGCTCTAGGGGTTCGCGTAGCGTCTCCGTCGTAGGATATATTTCTCTTTTCATCCCGTACATCGATCAATTACGTGGGAAAGAAACGGCGAGGTTGCCCGAAAAATCCGATTTCTGCCCAGAATGTATTATATTTTGAACGTGTGAACCTTACGTATTATAGTCGTGAATCCCGGTTTCCGATGCACCCTGTGAACACCGGTGTTCATAAACGCGCTCCACGGAAACGAGCGGGACTTTTATGCGCGAATAAAAAATAAACGATCCACGTTCGTTTCGTCAGAGTGCTGAGATCTGCTGAGGGTGTGTCGAACGACATTCGTCCGCTGTGACGTGAAACTAGCAGTCAGATAAAATACTATTTCGTCTTTTACGCACATATGTATAACATATATATTTTTACATATATATAGATATACGTATATTAATTCATCGAAGTGGGAACGACGATTGTGTTCTCTCCTCTATTCGTTCTTTCCTCGTCACTATACGGTTTTTGCGTTATAATCCACGTTTAAACGTTTCCTATCGTGTAATTCTTCTATTTTTTTTTCCTTTTTTTCTCTTTTTTCCTTTAAACACCGATGTCTCGTAAATATATTCTTTTTATACGTTTTTTTCCATTTTTTTTTCCCTTTAATTATCGTTATTCTGCCTGTTTCCCTACGTTCCTCTGCACTAACGGTAGCGTTACTATTATTTAGAGTGATTTCTTTATTTTTTTTTCTTTTTATTTTTCTTCTTAACTCCGAGATTCTACGACGAAGAGAAAGTGTACGCGTGTGTGTGTTGCAGCACTCTTGAAACGGTATGTTAACCCTTTGAACGACTCGCGATGGCTTCCCGCCGTCAAAATAGTATCTTACCCACTTCTAGAAACTAGACAACGAAGGTTCGAGGAGGATAGACGCGTTTTCTTCCGGTTTCTTTCTTTTTTTTTTTTTTTTTTTTTTTTTCTTTTCATACTTTTTAGGCACTTAAACGTCGGGAGTAGTGTGGGAACCTTAAGGTGGAGGTCCATCGAACGCCTGCTATTTGCTATTTACAGTCTTGATTGAGACGCGTGTTACATCTTCCAGGAGGAATCGTGTTGTCGACGAACGGCACCCGGGGTATCGTCCAAAGTCGCAGAAAAATTTCGCTGGTTCTCGCAAAACGATTACAATGTTCCAGGATAAAATAAGATCTACCCCCTACTCGCTGTAGGAATACAATAAAATTATTCTTTCGAAAAATCACGCCGCGAAATATCGTCACGCACGTTTGTCATACTCGTCATCGAGGTACAGTGGGGTAAATAAATTTCTATCGCGAAAATTGCGAAAATTACTCGGGAAATTTCGTTACGATAATCGTGTATCGAACGATACGCGAATGCCGTTCGTCTCGATGGAAAAGTAACTGCCTGTACGATATCTAGCTAAAAAGGTAAGCACGGAAAGGAAAAAAAAAAATAATAAAAAAAAAAAGAATAAAACAGACGTACCGACAACTCAACGACACTTACAAATGTAGAATTCGTTCTGCGTATGCCCGACGATTGAGGCCGGACACATGTAGAATTACTCGTGTCACATTTACACGCATACACAGACACACAAGTACGCACGCACCCCACGCATACACGGCATCGTGCACGATATCAAAATACAATTACGTTCCCTACAGAGTAATCGATTCTTTCCATATATATATGTATATACGCGTAATATATATACATATATGTATACATGTATAAAAATCAAAGCGCATATTACAACGGTGATCCGCGACCGCGCGAATTATCAATTAATAGCGATATTCGATAAACAAGAATCAATATCCGATGATAGTAGTAAACCATAGTGATAGTAGTAAGAATAATATTAATAAAACAAAAAAAAAAAGAAATTTATAATAATCATTAGTACAATATATGTATACATAAAAATGGCATTATATTCTTCATTTTTTTTTCTTTTCTTCATCTTCGTCTTCTTTTTCATTCTTCTTCGTTTATTATTATATTCCCCGCTCTTCGTTATCTTTATTCATCGATTTAGTCGTTTCTTACGCCTGATACACACGCATATACGTTAGGTGAATAGTTAGAACGTCGAAGCAACTTTAACAAATCGTGCGGCCCCTCCCCGTTACCCGCTTCTTCGATACCCCATTACACGTGAAACATCACGGACGATAACGCAGAAAAATAGATTTATCGCGAACTCGATCGAAGAAACTCCGTCCCCTCTCTTCCCTCGTATCTGTCGCACAGTCGAGCGATTGGAAAATTTGGCGAAATCGTGGAAATCAGACTTACTAACGAGATTCGAATGTTCGAGTCGCGAGGACTGCGTGCTTTTCCGATTGACCGGGGGGTCGGGGCAGAGAAGATCTAATTAGGATTTGTGCTCAGGAACTGACGAAGATGATCGGCGGATTTCACGATAGACGAAACGACCCAAGGTTTCCACGCGGAATGGTAAAGTTGCTCCAACGGGAGGATTCATAAAACATCCAGTATATATTCCGCCGAGACGTGCGAATACACGCGAGCACGTCGCAAATTAAAGACTAGCAATTATGGTTCTCTTACAGAACTACGCCGTAATTAGGTAAAACCGTGGTGTCCGCTCGCGCGGCTGATTTATCCTACAAGTATATTACTGATAAATTCTTTCTTTACTAAAATATAATTATTATGGTATTCTGTGTTCCGCCAGTGATCGTCTCCGGCTTTTCAATCGTTTTTAAGCAACGTCCGACCCGAGACTGCGAGGCCACTCGCGACGATCACGCTGTGTGTCAAAGAATGGGGAACAGTGTGAACGTTAAATGCTGAAAGAATGTAAGTGACTGCAATAAAAAATGACGGTTCCTTGTCCTCTCGATTGTCGATATTGCGTTCGTGCTATCATCCGGTTTGAAAAGGTGCTCGTCGAAGTTACGCGAAAGCTAAGCGTCGAATGCGAAGAAGCCTTTACCCCCACGAGGGACCAAAGTTCGGGACCCTGGACTAGTCGCTTCCTCGGGTCAAAGTATCCTTGAGCTTGAGTTTCGTAGAATGGTCGGCAGTTCGTCGTGTCGTAGAGGATGTCAGCGAAATCCGGCAGTAATTTAATTGGCTGGCGAGCTTCCGCGTGGAAACGAGCCTTCTGACTGGCAGTAATAGGGCAGTGTTTCGACGTAGTCGAGTCGCGATCGTCGCGGTGGCACTCGCGGTCACGCGATCAGCACGTTCGATCACGATGGACGAGTGATTCTTCCTCGGGACAGGGGGGTTGCAACGAAATTAAAACGTTCATCTTGCCACGCGGCGGTCGAAATGTTCGTCGGCGTGCAAGATTGCCAGATAAAATTCGCATTCGCGCGGGGGATGCGGTGATTCGTGAGGGGGGTGGTTCGAGGGGGCGATTCGGACGCCGGTCCGTGGATAAAATTCGCCAAGGACTCGCGGGGAACTACTCGTCCATCCTGGGTACACCGACTGGCGCAACACACGGAATAAAGATTGAGACTCTGTCGCTCCACGCCATGATTATTTTGGCAATTATTGTACTTTCCTATATGTACAGCTCTATCGTACACGTAATATACAGTAATGTATATCGAGCGCTGAAAGGCAAACGCACAAGTACACACCATTCACCGAGGTCTACCTCGTGCTTTCTTTTACCGTTTCGAAAGAGAAAGATAAAACAGGAAAAATCAAAACGAGATGAGATAAAGTAAGATAGAATGGAACTCGCTCGCGAAGATTCACATTTTTCCCCTTGAAAAGAAATCTCGTTCGCTCGTATTCTAATATTTTCACGTCGAAGAACCGAAGAACGCGCTTTAAAACAGGCTGCGAGAGAACCAGGGGAGCGTCTCGTCGAGGGAGGGCCCCGCGGTTCGCAAAATTCTTGGAAAATAGACGCACGTGTCGTCGTCGTGGTTTCCCTTCCAGATTCGTTCGCAAGAAAAATATCTCTGTGACGGACACATGGGACGACGACGACCTCTCTCTCTCTCTCTCTCTCTCTCTCTCTCACTCTCTCTCACTCTCTTTCTCACTTTCTCTCCTTCTGATCCTCTGGCCGTTCGCGGTCGATGGAGAAAGGATCGAAAACGCGCTTAAAAAGAAATCGAACGGTAGAGAAGAGCGCGCAGAATTTGTACACACGGCTTCAATCGTGAAAATAGTCATATGTTCGTCGTTTATCGATAACGAAGTCCGTGTTGCACCGTTTAAAACCTTGCTCAATTATTACACCATCCGACAATGAATCGACTCTGCTTCGATAGAATTAAACCTATAGAAATTTTTTGATAGTCGCAACGATGGAGCTGTAGCTTTTAACTCCTTACTTGGCAAAGTTGCACCAGGCAACGTGCGTGAATTTTGCGCACAAAAATGCATGCAAACACTCTAAAATCTATTTAACGTCTACGTGTAATCGTGTCTCACGGGATAAATGTTGGAACTCCTAAAATGGCGTCGTAATTCTAAAAAGACTCGTAGATCCTTCTGCCAAGGTAAGAGTTAAAACGCGTCCTTCATCCCTTAGACTAAATTCCCAAGTAAAACAAGTATTCCGGGATCGTATGTACAGGTATTTCTCGTTTTCTCCCCTGATCCTTATCGTCCGTGGCGCGATAAGCCTCGCCACGATGAACGAAACACGAGTGGATCGTAGCGCGTATTATTATATCGGCAATCTTAGCTTTTCCTCGCGAAAATATTGTCGTCTCTCGTTTGTTTGCTACGTCCAACCCTTGTTTCTCGTTTCGAGGAAGATCATCCCTCCGGGATGCTCCGTGGATCGTTAAACGCGATCGATCGCGGCGAGAGCTACCGAATTATCGCGTGACGAACCTAACCGAGAAAGAAGAAAACGAAAAGACACCCCCCCCGAATCGTTTCCCTTTTTCTTTTCGTTTCTCCACCGAGACGGTGAACAAACGAAAAACAGAGAGGAGGACGTTGCAGCGTGAATTCAACCGAATGATAACAGTCGAAACCTGAGAAATCAATCGCGTCAAAGGGTGGAGATGGCTCTACGTTATTACGTGCTGTTCTATATACGACTTGTGATCGATTAAAATATAGATTATGTGTCGCTTCGAATACAAAAATACAATTCTCGATGGAGATCAACGGGCGCACGGAAGGCCGTATCCGCCTCTGTGCAATCCTTTCTCAATTGCATCGTCAACGATTTACTGGTACGACTGTACACGCACGCACACGCACACACGATACGTACAATGTATATATGTAACACGTTCAACCCTTTCGATGGGTGGGTGGTTTGTTCCGTACGGAACACGAGCAACTACTTTCAACATCGAAAGGGTCAAGGCACACGTTCTACCGTAGTCCAGAAGATATCACGGGGTGCCTTAGTCTCGTGGAGAAAATCGAGTCGACTCTTTATTCCCTTCCTTTATTCCTCTTCCTGTATCCTGTTATCGCTTCTCTTCCTCTTTCCTTCTTTTCCTTCTTTTCCTTCTTTTCCTTGCGAGAGGTACGACGGTAAAAAAAATAGCTTTCTGCAATCGTCCTCTGCGTTGTAAAGGTGGTGGTCGTTCGCTTCTGGACTGACAGTAGATCGTCTGCTGGTCTGAAGGCTCCTTCAGAACTGATGCAATGTTATATGTATATATGCATGTGTATATATATATATATATGTATATATATATATATATATACATATCTATATCTTTTTTGTTTTA